CACACGAAAACCCACCAGTTTCCTCCATTCTAAACTCCTTTTGAACAATGAACATTGGGGGGCTATTCGCGCACCCAGCAATTTATGCTGTTGTGAGTGGGCCGTCCCAATCTAGCAAAAGACTCATTTGGGTTTCTGTGAAAGGCAGCGTGAGGTGTGTTGACTGCGGTGGGGTGCTGCCAGGTGGATTCCTGGCGGGCCACTCCTTTGGAGTTCTGGGGTTTCGGGAGACCCGTCAAACCATCCCAAAGGGCCTGGGATTGGTGAACAAAGCGCATTGTTCATATTCAATGTGAAATATTAATCCCAACCAAGCGGGAAGTGCGCAGGTAGAAGTTAGAGTGTTCATGTTTGATCTTTGGGGAAGTGCGCAGGTAGAAGTTAGGACCTTCAGGAAAAAGGCTGGACAGCATCCCCGGCATTGCAGGCATCATCCCGACTGACGAGGGTGCATGAAGGGAATGGAAATGAAGGGAAGTGAAGGGACATTAAGGGCAACTCACACGAAATGTGGGGAAAGGAAAGGGCAAGTGAAGGGGAACAAAGCGAAATAGAGGGAAACAAAGGGAAATGACGGCAAAATGAAAGGAATGCAAGGAACTGGATGGAAATTGAGAGAACAAGAGGGAAATGAAGGGAACTGACGAGAACTAAAGGGAAAGGAGCGGACAAGGGAAATGAAAGGAGATGACGGGAACTGAAGGCAGATGCCAGAAAATGGAAAGAAATGGGAACTAAATGGAATGCAGGGAACAAGCGCACTCAACGGGAACTGAAAAGGAAACAAAAGAGAAATCGAGGGAAGTGAATGGAAATAAGGGGAAGTGAAGGATGGAGAAGGCCACTTCATTTTATCTGAGCGGCTCCTGTTGGCTCTTCAGAGATGGTTTTACATATCTTTAGAGCTATACCACTATGATCCCTGAGCATACCAGTGCCAGGGATGAGAACCCCGTAAGTTCGCAATCAGGGCTTCAGCGCAACTATCCTAGCTCTTCAATTGAGGGATGTCCGGAAAAGCAAGTAGCACACATCTCAGCAGTCGATCCACGTCCCGTCCAAGGTTCAATGTAGAAACCGGAAGGTCTCCAACAAGGGCGTTGAATTGAAAGGAGGCACCAACAAACTTGAATTTCACACAATGAATAGCAAGCGCCTGCATGATCGAGTCTACTTTATCTTTTGCCCACAAGCACAATCAATGATATGGTCCGTAGTTTCTGAACCTTACAATGCAACATAAATTCAAAAGATATCCCAATCAGAATCATTTCCTTCAACCCAGCAAGGAATAACAATTCACCCACAATCAAAGATGTTTTTTTTTTTTTTTTTTACCACAGCTGGAAGCTTTGGGGTCTCAGCCCAGATAGGTTCCGGGGTGGTCCAGGGTTGGGGGTGGCGCGGAGGTAAGGTTCCACGAGGGCTCCACCAGGGTTCCACCAGGGTTCCACGAGGTTGGGCGAGGGCTGCGGGGTGGTGCACCGCATGCTGTTGGGGATGTCACCTGAGCTTGTTCTTCCCTCCCGTCATACGAGATTCCAGACAAAAATGGAAATTCGGGCGGAGCCGAGCAGCTGAAGTTCTTGCGGTAGTCCACGCCATCCACTTCGCCCAAGCACAGCCCGAACGCAGAGGTGAAGCAGAACATGAACCAATACCTTGGCCCAAAAGCGCCCAACACTGCGAAAGGGCGAGCCTGGAGTCTCCACAACCCTGGAAAAATGGGGTCATGACCCAAAATGCCCTCGAAATACAAAAAGGGTCGAGAAAGGCACAGGACAAGTGTGCCAAGGCGATGATTGAAGAACTTTCAGCGAAAGCGGTGCGACATGCGTCAGGATGCTCCCACGCTTGCCATAGATTGGTGTGGCCAAGCCTCGCCACACTCTGTGAGTTGGCTTGGCCGGGGGGGGGGGGTGGGGGGTTCCACAAGTTGAGCGTATTTCCCGACACCCTAAGGCAAAGCGGCCAAAAGTCATACAAGTCATGGTGTCCTTACTGGAAACCCTTGCAAATGATGAGTCAAAATCCCTGGGGTCTATGACCATCCACCTGCCACAAGTCAAAGGCTGCCTTTCCAGTAGGTGATATTGGGTATCTCCTCAACAAATTGTAGGATTTCTGCTACCCGCTTCAAGGGTGCATGACAATGATCAAGGATCCCCCAGTCAACCCGGCTCGCAAAACGACTTGTTTCGCAAGATCATGTCTGCGAATTGCTCGCCAGAATGCTCCAGCGAGTCATAGGTGGCTTGCGTGGGCGTAAGCAAGTTGTCCAGCAAGCTGCAGCACGCACTGATGAGGCAAATGTCCACCTGAAATGGCTGCGTACCTACCATCTGAACCTGGTTGTACTTCACGACCGCAACTCAAAAACAACGAATTCACATCCGTATCCAATAATCTCAAAATAGGGGACCCCCCAAAATGGTTGGTTTCCTTTTGGCTTCTCTTTCAAACAACCCAGAAAGGGTAACAATTAATAGTAATCACCCTAAGAATAAACAACAAAAAGGAGCATGAGAGCCTCTCATTTTGCTGGAAATCCCGCAGACTCACATGGGCGTGGGTCAGCGGGGACCGCAGGTAGTCCAAGTCTCCATTTACCAGGGCAACCCATTTTGGGTACATTTCTTGACCCACAGCATAGGTTTCCACAAAGCTTCCAACTGGGTCCCGAATTTACTGGACCTAAAAAGCCCCGGCAAACCCAGGGACACGTGGAGTCAGCGAATGCTCTTGAGACAGGCCACTGCAACCGATTCAAAGGGGGCGCCCGTGGAACCCTGTTTCAGCACAGTTGGGTGTGTCCAATCACGATATTTAACAAAATTGCTCATCATGTGTTTAATTATTTTGGCAACTTGAACCCGTCTGGGAAGGAGATTTGGATACGGCAGGCCAGTAGATATACCACTCGCTGAACAGGTATGGGCTGAAGATCCATCGGGCAACACCAACATCCCAAACTAGACCCCGCAGTGGTACATCTGTCACAGGGCGGACCCAAAATTTAGCAGTTTTCTACCCTTTAAGAGAAGTTTTCAGGGTGCGGTCAAACAAACACACCCCAAAATGGACGTCGTGCCACAAAGCACTTCGCATCAAGCCTGATACTTGTTACTGTCTGTCTTCGGATAGTTCCTTGCTTGTGTGACCTGAACCTGAAACAGGTGAGTGTGTTTGTGTGTGTTTCTGCGTGTTTGTTTGCTGGCACTCTTTGTGGGCGAAGGGAAACCCAGAAAACCTAAACCCATTTTTGCAGTCTAGTTCAACCCACACCCTGCAGTTGCCCCAAGCCACTCGCCTGGGACAAATCGTGACGCGTCTCATGTCGGTTCGGCACTCAAAAATGTAGAAAGTTCGGAAAAGCGACCAGGGTGGCCTTGGCCGAATTGGCTGGGCCCTAAGGGTCTCGACTGTTTTTTGGGCCCCCCAAATGGGTTGTCGTTGAGGGCCTTGAGGAATTGGTCGGGGTGCTCCATTGGAGGGTCCGGGGTCTGCATTGGAGGGGTCATGACCCTTAAAAGGGGAAATCTGAACACCGAGAATCGCAAGTACTTTCCAGCACGGACACAAGGGGATTCGGGCACGAAAAAAAAACAGTGGGGGGGGGGTGCTGGTTCAGATCATATATATTTCATTTAGACCCCAAAATTTATTGCCTTTTTGGAGGCAGTTTGGGGCAAGGGTCCATGGGTACCAAGATCTTCGCGTTCTTCAGCAGCCAGATGGTGGCAGACGCGCCACACCTACCGTCCGAGTGGATGGAAAATACGTGGCCTTTTCTTGGTTGACGTTGGAAGGGGAGCAACAAATTAAATTTTAGCAGTTAAGTGGGGATTTCCCACGAAACCATAACAAGCAAAAATGTAAAATGTGTCCCAACGACAACCAAGTTTTTGGCAATTTTTAGTGGGGGCTCGGAGTACTGTGGGAGGCTTCAAACACTCCATGTGGGTTTGCCTCAAAACAGGATATGGACCTTCCAAAATGGCCGATTTTGGACGTAGGATTGAAGGATCTGAAATGGGACGACCCCCCAATCAGAATCAAGGAACAGCTTAGTGACGGGTTCCTATTCGTCTGCACCAATAAATTACTGCACTTCATCAAAAGCACACGGAAATGCACACAAAGCTTCTACGGGGGGGGGGACTTAAAGCTAAATGAGCTCACTGCAATTTTGCACACACTTAATTGACTTTGCAAAGACTGATTGCAGCAATGGCCAACAGGGGTCTTGGGCATTGCACAAATGCAGATCGATCTCCACATTCCCGAAATGCGCAAAGTCAAGACAGCACACAATCGACGGGGCCTGCACAGCTCATACACACACAGCCCGACCTGAGGGGTCTCGTTCATATCTAGAGAAGACGACTAAAAAGCCACAGACATTGTGCCACATGGCTGTGGGACATAAGCCTTTCTGTGATGTCAAAGTGGGCCGTCTCTATGACCGCCTTGTCGTTTTCAGGAGTCTGGTCTCAAAGAAAATGGCGACCTGAAACCAGTTTTTTTGTTTTTCTTCGACAAGGGTGACCCGCTGATTGCTTTCCATGGTGCACCCCTCCATCAACAGAACACGTAACCTTGGCATCTGCTGATTCCTCTGCTGATTCTAACTTCAATGACCCAGCCTCCGGATGCAGCCAGGTGTTTGGTCCCGCAACCCTGGTAAACACTAGAAGTCCAGGAAAACCCTAGAGGCCGGCTTCAGAAAGCATTTGTTGGCGGCTCGAGGGAGGTCTTCGTGACAGGGAAGCCAGCCGGCACCGGGGGGGAGGTTGCTGGATCCGAGAAATCGGGAGGTGCAAAGCTGACCTGAGCTAGAAGCGTAAACTGGTTGGGCCGCCAAAATTGATGTAACAAACTTCTTTTGGTCTTCCAAGGACCCGGAGAAAAAAAGATCACAAGAGAGGGTCCGTCTGGGATATGGAGGATCTTGGGGCCCAATGCCTGCTATTCAGGGTCCTAGATGCAGGTACCTGCAACAACCAGCTTCCCTCTTCGTGAATTGGATTGGTGGCTTGCAGGACTTCGTTCTCCTTTCATTCCCCACAAGAACCACGAGCTACCAATCTAACCCACCAATCCAGGCTTCCCTGGCCCCCTGAACGACGTCTATTTCTGCGCCCTCGACGGGTAAGACTCGCCCCCTACGGCACCCCCCACGGCACACGCCACCAACGAACCGAAACCGACAGCGAGGCCCGCGGCCAGGGCGCTTCTCGAAGAAGCCCCAGAGCTGATCCTTCACGTTGTCCGGGTGCTCCTGGCAAGAGGCGAGGCTCGGCGAGGCAAGAGGCGGCGAGCGGAGCTAGTGTTTTTTGGGGTCCAACAAAGGGAAGCCCATTGAACCCTCAAAATTCCAACTCAAAAATAGGCTATAGCCCCAAAAGTATGGGGGTGAAATCCAATTTTTAAGGGTACTTTGAGGGTTCAGGCAGACGGAAAGCCCCGCCAAAATGTGGGGTCCATTTCTGCGCCGATCTGATTCCACTTCCGGTTGAAAGTTTGGCGAGCAAAGAAGCACGAGATTGAGGTCCTTTCAGCTTTGGAGTGAATTCGTGCTGCAAATTCTACAAGGCAAAACACAGAACTCGCTTGCTTGCTGCTCCCCTGCTAAAAGAGTGGTTTAATGGAAAACCCATTCGTTGGCAAAAAGTAAAAAGTAATCAAGTATCCCCAAAGGAGCTAAATCATGGGGACCCTCATTTTACCCCCGGCTGGCCAGAGAACTGTTGACCAGCCATCAAACTAAATGAAGCCTCATGGGGAACTAAGACGCATCCCTTTGGTGAGATGGCTATGCCCAGATGGTTCCTGAAGGTTCCTATGGCCGGCTTGCAGCAGCCAATCAAAACAAGCATCTTTTCTTACTCCTGCTTGTATGGGAAAGAAGGTGCTTTTGTCTGTGCAACCCCCCCATAAATGTTCAGCTCCAAATGCGCGCAGGAAACTGGGGAACAAAAAGAAAGGCATCCGCAACCGAACTCCATCGAGAAGCTCTTACAAGGCGCTTCCGGGGTCAAATTGAATTCTCTCCATGGCGCAGATGTTCAATTCACGTGGCGCATCTCATGTTTGGGTTCAAAATACTCAGATGCCCAGTGGCTTTGGGGAAAAAAGGGCATCCCAATTTTTGGTTGAAGAGGGCACCACAGGGCAACTGGGAATAGGACACCGATCTGGACGTAGAAATCGGTTGTCTTTTCGCGTTCAGTACACCGTAGGGGCACCGGGACTTGCTCTAGGATGTCAAAGAGGAACCCCCAGAACGACAATTCCCCCTTTTCATTCCAACCGCAAAAGGGCAGCAACGAAAACATCCAAGACGGCTTGCCTTGCAATTGTCGCTTCCCGCTTTAAGCGTTAACCTGAAAAGTGTACGAAAACGCAAACCCTGGACAGACACGTTTCAACATGCTCGTGCAGATCGGCATATCGCAAACCACCCTTGTAGAGCCGGCACTTGCCTCAGACAAACTCCGACATGCCACTGGAAAACCGAGGTAGTTCATCAGAATATATCTGATATCCCTGGTAGATTCTTGGTAGATGCAACTTGTTTCTGGGGCGTCATACATCGGGCTGTATGGCCAGCAACGGGGATCAGATCAATCCCTAACTGCTCCAGTTAGCCGGTTTGCAATCGGTTTTGTCCATGAGTCTCTCTCAAAACAGAGCGCGTTAGGGTTCAACCGGGTGGTTGATCCAACTTGCATGATGACAATTCTTAGGTAAACTATGGAGGCTCGTTTTTCGAACCCTTTGTTTTAAAGGGGGTTTGAACTCCGGTGGTTCTGCGCCACAGACAAATGAACAGGAAAACATGAGACCAGGGGTTGATTCCGTTTCCATTCTTTTCAACCATCCTTCTTTCCAAACAACTGGATCCGCTTGCCCTGGGTTTCCGCAGGTTTTCTGGAAAGACTCGGATCCCTGGAAGGAATGGAAATGGAAGGTACCCCTAGAATGAACCCCCATCAAGATTAAGATGACAATTCTTAGGTAAACAGTGGAGGTTACATGAACCCTTTGTATTAAAGAATGGACATGGAAGGTACCATTAGAACAGTAGCTGGGTTTGCAATTTGTTTTGTTACCCCCACAAGAGTTTTTGTTTTCTTCGGCTTCGGGGGGGTGAACCCACAGCCGACCGAATGAAAAGCAAAAAACCTGAGCACCTCAACGGGCTGAAGGCTCTTGCCTGCTTGTTGATCCAACTCTTCACGTAGGATCGCCACTGGACGCCGAAGCTGTCGTCCATGCCTACAGCTACGAAATCCCGAATCACAAACGAACCAAAGAAAGAGATGTGACTTTTGGGGGGGAACCCCATGTGCTAGAGGATATTCAAAAGAAAACCTCCATTTTCGGAATTCCCCAAATTTCAGACAAACTCAGGTGTATCTAAAGCGCCCTACCAACATGTTGGCTTACAGGTCTCCCTTTGCAGCTGTCGAGTGGGTGCTGCGTTTTCAGCTGTAAATTTGATTGCCATGCCATGTGGATGCACAAAGTCCATTTCGCACCAGTGGGGATGGATGAACCTGAACCCTCAAGATTCCAACTTAAAAATGGGATATAGCCCCAACTTGTGGGGTGAAATCCAATTGTTTAAGGGAATTTTGAGGGTTCGGGAACCCCTGCCACCAATCCCAACCGCTGTGATTGAAACGGAGTTTGTCCATCACCAACCTGCAAGGCTGTAAGGCGCTGACACACAATGCCGGCTCGTGTGGCGGTCGCTGGCGTGGCATAGTTGAGATCTCGAATCTCGAAGATCATCTTCATGTGGACCTGCGGAACTTCCCCTCTAGAGGGAAGATTCAAAAACAAAAAGAAATGACACCCAAAACACTCGGCAGGCCCCGAAAACACTGAAACCATCCCGAAAAGCACTCCTGACCACAGACACACCGAAACAGGCGCTAAAAACAGCCGACCCCCCCTGGAGCCTCCTGGTTTCGGCGAATGGAAGACCCGACCCCTCCATTAGACACCCCTCATCCGGTGTTTGGGACCCGGTCGCAAAACCTGGCGGTTTGAGGGCCCTAAATACATCGGAAGTTCTCTGGGCTGAGAACAAAAAGAGAAAGACACCCACAAAGGCAAGCGAGAGCTTCTGCACGACAATAGACGACACATTTAACGAAGCAACTCAACAACACATATATGGCGTTTGCAGGTGCAATAGAACATCCGATACGGTTCGGAACTAGGGATTAAAGATCCACCCAAAAAACCGACATGTTCAGAAATCATCTTGCATGCCTGAGCCAAATTGCACTGAGCACTGTGTAGCACACATCGAAGACAGGGCGGTTGACTTAATCAAGTTCAAGTGAGACCTCAATTAAACCAGGCCTGCAATGCGGCAAAGTGAGCAACATCTTGCTCCACCACACACTTCAGCAGGGATAATCATTGATCATTGGAATAAAGTCATCACTTTGAGCAAAAGACTGTCCTTCTCTGCATGTCCGTGCGTTTCGATTCGACAAGGAAATGCCAGGTCAAATGTCATAAAATCTGTCTACTGCAAAAGCACACCATTAATGATACAAGGTATAGAAAGGGTGGGCTCGTTCTCCAAATCACACGGCAGGCTGCTCATGCATGATCTGACCCGGACAAATTCCAGGTTCACCTTCTTCGACTCAAAAGCTCAACATGGGCCAAAAGATCCAAGACTCGGCTAACCATGTAAGGAAATACAAAGGCGCCCGCAGCTGGTTCATCTATCCGAATTGGTTTTGAGCAAGTGGCTCAAATTTGAAGTTCGGAGCCTGTACAAAAACTTCAAGGATCCGACACGCCCGTTTCTGGCCTTCAGAGGGATTCGCTCGTTGGATGGCAGCGTCAGCAGGCGGTTGTCGTCCATGACGCTGTTCATGGACTCGATCCAGTTGGCGTCCAAGTCTCCTGACAGCAAAGCTTGGTATCCAAAAACGGGCAGCCCCAAAAGGATGGGTGGTGAAATCCCCATTTGGCCGTGGCGAATTCAAAAAACCGAAAAAGTCCAAAATGGGCTGCCCGATCGGTAAGTGGAATGGACCAAAACCTGCGGTGTGCCCCTCCTGTTTAATTTTGAGCCACACCCATTTTTACGGGTATCCTTTGAGGGTTCATGCTGCAGGTCGCCTTGCCACTGGGTTGCAAGCCTCCTAAAACGGAAGCGCAAGACCAAGCGGCCATCCAGCAGGATCCACTTGGGGTGGGAGTCTGGGATTTGGCCGAGATCTCGCATGACCTGCGATGAGCGGACTGGGTTCTTTTCTCTTCAAAGCGTAGCATCGTTTCAGGGATCCCTAAAGTCCACTGTCACAAAGACTCGGCTGGAGACCTCCGACTGAGTGTGGTCCGGCTCTTTGAAAACAACCCAAGGAAAAAGCGATCAAAACCCCTAGATGAGTTTGTAAGGGGCAGTCCCTGCGGTTTTGCCCTTTTGATGTTGATGGGTTTTGTGTACGTAGGCCCCAGGTTTGGACGCGAGGAAGTGAGAGATTGGTTTTCGCGCAAGAACGGCTAAGGGGACGTCACAGCAAGCGACTGCTTTGCATCGTTCGACCTTGGCACTTGTTTGTTTCCAAATCCCAGAGGTAAGAACCCGAAGGGTTACCTGCTATAGTGGTAGCTGGAAGCACTGGGCTTTGAGATTCTCTCGGCTCTGCAGTAATTAAGAAGTTGCTTGGCATCTTGGTTCTGCAGAGGTTCTGCAAGGAACAATCACCAAATCACGAGCAACTGATCTTTGGCCCAACAGCGCAGGAACTCGATATCTCTGTGTGGCAGGTGGTGTCTTTTGGAGGTTCGGAAGTGTGCCCATTCTGAAACCCTCCTTGTGGGGCAGCTCCCAGCCGATCCAGGACACTGGGCCCATCTCCGGAATTCATATAGCCATGGGCTTGTCAAAATCCAGATCGGTTAGCCCCCAGCGAACGGGACCGATTATCTCTCCAACCACTAAAATAGGAAAAGCCAAAAACGGGTGGTGAATTCACCTACCAACCAGCACGGGATCCCATTGGTTTTGACCCGCAGACATATCCCAGGCTCCAAGCCACGCAAACTCCGAGAACTTGCGACGCGTCCACGAGCGCTCCGCCTTGGAGATGATGCCGTCCTTCCACTCGCGGGTCTGCATGTTCACAAAGCCATAGAGCTCGTTGGTGGAGATGGCCTTGCACGGCGAGAAGCTCAACTGGAAGCTTCTCAACAAATGTGTTCGGTGTCCGGATCCCGTTTTGCTCAGGGAAACCCCAAGACCCCCCCATTTTGATTGACCCCCGTAGTTTTTTTTTCAGAAGCGCGAGCTCTTCAGCTCTGAGTTTTGGGGACCTCAAAGGGTGGATATCATTTACCTGGGATTCATGTACAACCCTTTTCGAGCGGGTCCCAAGGACATGCATAGCCAAGTTGCCCCTCGTGCTTTCGGTTGGGGGGGTGGGGGGGGCAAAACCAGTTGCGCCCAGAAATGGGGACTACACAGGATTATCATGTATACAACCCCGTGCCAGCAGTTTACCTTGCTTGTTGAAGAAGTTAAAAAAATAAGTTCAGTCTGGCAACGAACCCCCTTCCACACCAACAAAAGTTTCCTAGAAGGGAAGTTCTACTTCGAACCGCCATCGTTGTATCAAAGACCTGGTATGGCAACGCTCGTGGTACAAAAAACTGCATGTTTCCTAGGCGCTCGATAAACAGCAGTGGTTTTTTTCTCCATATTCCATGTTCAGCCCCGGGAATTTCCGGACACATAAGGAAAGCTGCGCTTCGGGATGGTTGAGGGGTCCATCCGATGGCCCAACTCGAGACGAAACCCCTTCGACCGGCAACGACCGGCACCTTGGGGCTGAAATCCACCACGGTGGTCTTCTCCCCTTGCCGGGTCTTTGCATTCTTCAGGATCTTCCTAGGCCCAGCTTGCGGCTCTCAGTTGAAACTGGCCTCTCCTTTAAGAGCAAAAGTGCGTGAGACATACCTTTTGAAGGCTTTGCGAAGCCGAAACAAAAACGTGAAAGCAAAAAGGTCTAAGAGGCCTTTGGGGTCACAAATACCAAAGGGGGCCATCCGATTTCCATCTTTATCACTTTCAAGCGGCTCTTGGTATCACAGAAACTGGCCCTAAACCGCAGGGTCCACATGGGCCCAGAAAAGAAACACGACGGGCTCTTTTAACGTAGAGACGTAGACCACAGGTGCTCGGAAAGCGATTTCCCACCTAAACCAGCCTCCGGTAAGTAAGTCCCAAAGTGAACACCAGCTCACTCTGAAACAAGAATCATGCCAGGTCAAAGCTCCATGTTGCGGGCTGTGAACATTGGGATTTTGGGGCAAAGGAAACCAGCTCTCTGCACCACTGCCGCATTTAGGGCATGATTCCAACCATTCCTTTCAACCATCCTTCTTTTCTGGATCCGGTTTCCCCAATTGGGCGTGTCTCAACAAGCGGGACCTTTGTTGGATGGTTTTGAGGAAATTCCAAAGGAAACCAACCACGTGCTTAATTTTGAGAACCACCGAATTGTAGCATGACAATTCCTCGCAAAATGGAGAGTCCCCCACAGGGCAACTTTTAAACCCACCGAACACCACCTGCCCCCCTACCCTCCTAGCACCAAAGGCTCCTTCCACCCCCCTGCCCCCCACCCCTGCGGCAACAGCCGGGCGGCCACATGGACGACTTGAAGCTGCCCGGGTTGCCCATCAGGAAGACCTGAGATGGAAGACATTTTGCGAGGAGAACCTCCGGCGGCAAACGAACAATGGACGGCGCTGTGGATCCGGGGAAAAGGCACCCTGCGGCTTTTTTACAGCCGACTAAGGGCAGGCCTTTTGGCTCAGCGGCCTCAGACTGCGGATTTGTCCGGGTGAAGGGCGGCCCCCAAACAAGCACACGATGTAGCCTCCATGGTTTGGTGCACAGAAACTCTCCAAAAGGCACCGGGTCTCTACGCCAAACCATGTTTGAGGGTCGATGGCTGCTGCTCCTTGTACAATGATAACCTCAACGCCAACGAAGCAAGCAACAGAGTCTTCCGGCAGCAAATACTTTCTGACAGAAGAAGGAAGCAACTGGGAAAACAAACACCTGGGCGGGAGTCAACAACTTCGAGTGCTACATCACCGACAGTCTTCACAACTTCCGCATAGGTTCAAGGTTCCGCGGTTCGCGAGGGTTGTCATCAGTTGCCTAAATGCGATGTTGACAATCCACGAGCCAAGGATTGGTCAACAAGATGCGATGAACAAATCGGTATCCATACTGTGGATGGACGAAATCCTGCACCACATAAGAATCGATGGAATGATTCCCCTGCAAATGCCAACAAATCTTATGGTTTCCCATGGTTTCCAGGTTTTTTGCGAAGTGGATTTCGTCCCACAGTAGGTAGCCTCAGGTGTGAGAGAAACGTCCAGTTCATTGGACTTCATTTGAGCTGCGCAATGGCGAATGCCCAAGAGCTCGATCAGCTGAGTGATCTTCAGCAGGAGATAGCCGTCGGGGTCATGCGTGAAGCCATAGTCAGCTTGCATGACATCCACCAAGACTTCCTCACGGACAAGCGCCGCTTCAAACAGCAGTGGCTTTTTACGCTATGGAATCCTACAGCAGCTGGCTGAATCGTTCAATATATTAACATACAACATGTGTTTATGTGGATTTTCACTACATGCTTGCACCCTCAATGGAACCGGGGTGCCGCAAGCCTATCAAGGTTCCACAAGGGACAAGAGTTTATCACCAAACTTGGGACCATTCACTTGAGTGGATTGGCCAAAGCAAGTCTATGTGTTCCTGTTCACCACGCGAATGGCCTTCCTAACAAGTGTTCTGGTCCAGCAACTTCGAGAGTGAGAAACTCACCACTTGCAAGTCTCCTCCATCTCGTAGTCCCGGGCGCGCGGCACGTCGATGCCTGAAAGACAAACTGCGGCATCAGAATGACCCTTTTACTGGGTTGAAAGGGAAACCGCCCTTTAAACGCCGGTTGGGAGCACCTGCAGCCACTCCAACTGGTTTAAACGGGAACCATAGACACCCAGAATTGCACGACGCTACTTGGCTGTGTCAACTTGTCTGAAACGTAGCCTTGGGGTTGGTTCAGACGGAAGCCACAGGAGAACCAGCCATTTGGGGGATACCCTAAAAAAAAAGAAAGGCACATTTATATGTGTTATGCATTGGTCCCCCACTCGCCAATTATTTGAAGAAGGCCGGCAAGCGGTGGCAGTGATGCCAGTGCGGCTTCTAGTCGAACATCGCAAGCTAAAACCACAGAAAACCCCGGCACCGTTCTCCAGCACCCCCAAGAACCCCCAAGAACCCCCACAACCCCCGAGCCCTAAAGCCCTGCATGATCTCAGTTGTTCAAACCTTGTCTTTTGGGGTTCCCTTGAAATATACCAGGGTCCCGTTCCTTGGCTGCTCTTCACCCCTGCAAAAAGCTGAAACCTGTTTGTGGATTCGATGGACAACTCCAGAGATTTCTCAAAAGTCGAAGTCTACACCTGCAACCCACCCAGAGGCTCCGATCGGCTTCGGCTTTCAATAGACCCCTCCATTAGTCTCCCCGCGAACCGGTTGTTTGGGACCCGGTCACAAACCCTGGCTGCTTGCGGGCCCTACATGCATCGAATTGGAGCCTCTGCAAGCCATCGACCCCTCGAGAAATAACAAAAATGTCCAGTAGATTTAAAGTCCTTATAAAACCAACCAGGCGAAAAAACAACAAACATATTCTTAAGCAAACAAATCTATGCCTAATCAAGGTGTAAAAGAAGCTGAGCTCTCTCCGTTCCCGCCTGGGAACAAGTCCCCCAGCAGCGCCATGAAGATCCGCAGGTCATCGCCCTCGATTTTCGCCACGTTGGTGTCGCGCAGGGACCGCATCAGCACCGCCTGCTCCGACAGGCTGGCGTCCGCGCCTGGCAGTGAATCCCATGGGTCAAAATCCCAAGCCCGTACCAGTGAACATCCCGAAAATGGGCGGTGAATTCACCTACCAACCAAAATGGTACCATGGACCTTCCATTGTTACCATAATTTTTTGTGGCCATGGGTCAACATCCCGAAACAAAAAACAACCACTAAAATAGGAAGCCTAAAATGGGTAGTAAATTCACCTACCAACCAAAATGGGATCCCATTGGTCTTGACCCACAGACACTTGGGTGTGAACGTTCCAAGAGGTATGAATTACTGGGCTCTTCTCAGGTCCCCCGCTAAAAGATTTCAACTTTTAGTTGGTCAAATGGACAACCCCGCTAAACGCTAAAAAGCTAACAAGCTAGGGGGATGGCTGGGAGCCACCAAGATTACAGAAGTGGTAATGCTATTGATGATGCTGATGATGATGATGATGATGATGAGAATGATGATGATGATGATGATGATGATGATGATGATGATGATGATGATGATGATGATGATGATGATGATGATGATGATGATGTGATGCTGTACATCAGCATGCTCATGAATTCACACCAACCATGGCAACACTCGGGATAAACCGAAGGCCATGAAAGGAAGGCCGAAGGAAATCAGCTTCCGGCCAAAACATGAGTGTGAATTGTCTGGGAAACGGTTTGGCGGCTTTTATTTTGTGGATCCGCCCCTGGATGTTGGAAACCTCAGTAACTTCAGTCAGTTTCGCAAGTGAACAGGGGTCATGTGAATCGGCTCGCAGGAGTCGCCGACTCGCAAAGTCATCTTGCGCTCAATTCACAGAATCCCGAGGTGAACAGGTGGATTCCAGACTGGGCAGGGCTCCCATTTCTGTTTGAAGGAGGAGCTGGACAAAGGAAAACTGGCCCCTACGGCTTCTCGGCGCTTGGGGATGTTGCTTAGTCCGAGCAACTGACGGGGCCTGACACTACAACTGATCGGCAACAAACGTGGGAGGGTGCTTTCTGGTACCTTAACCAAACAAAAGGGGATCGAATCTGCAGGGGAGTCGATCAAAAAGGTACCTGCACCCTCAAAATTCCAACCTAAAATTGGGTAGCCCCAACATGTTGAGGTGAAATATCATGTTTGTGGGGAGTTAGAGGGTTCAGGTAGAAAGAACCGGCTCTAGGAAAACCGACACTTTGAGGGTCCGCTTTTTCTCCAAGGAACGGGGGCAACCCTGCAACCAAAACTACCTGCGATAGTGGCCACTTGCTCTGCCAACTTGGATACTTGCCCTGCCAACTTGGATGAACCTAAATGGGTTCTAACAAATGGGCTTTCGGATGCGAATTACACACCCGGTTAGAACCCGTTGAGGGTCATCTGAAAACCAACTAGTGTTTTTGTTGACCTCAATTTGTCCCGGTGTTGGGAACAGGATCGCATGGCGGGAAAAATGCACGGCCGACATCAGGAAACCCATCTTGGTCAAAACAAATACAAAGGACATGGGTTAACACAGGGCATCCTTTTCTTTTCCCTTGAAACAAACCTTGAAAGGGTACCCTTCCCCTCACGGAAGAAAACAAACACACACACACACACACACACACACACAGAGCCACGTGACAACCGAGCAGCGCTTGAAACCGCCAGCCACCACCAGCACTGACTTGATGGCGCGCATCCCCCAGTCCTTGGCTGGGACGGGGTGGAGCGAACAAGATCCAGGTGTACTCAACCAAAGGAAAGACAAACAAGTGGCCATGGGTCAACATCCCGTACCAGTGAACATCCCAACCCCACTAAAAATATACTAAAATGGGTGGTGCACCTACCCCAAAATGGTACCATTGGTTTTGACCCACAGCCAAGTGAGCCTTTGGAAATTAGTCAAAAGCGAGGTGGAAGCCAATGGTACAACAAGTGGTGAACGTCTTCAAGGGCTGGGTATTTGGTTTGCTTTCGAGGGCAGACATCCCAAATTCAGCCCCCGTGTCGTCAGGGGATCGCACGGAACCACTCAGAGAGTGAGAGAGTTGGGTATGGCTCGTGAGGTCTCATTGCTGGAGTTGTGCTGCTGCCTTGCCTGGCTCAGCGTGCGCTCCCAGATCCCATGCTCAAAGTCCAACTTTTAGTGGCTGAGCGGAAAGTACCAGACCCTAAAAAGCTAAAACCGAAAGGGGATGGCCGGGAACCGCCAAACTCCGTGATGCCCAAATTGATCCGCGTTTCTGCGTGGCGACCTCTTCTCTCCTACAACCTGGCGGGAACAGCCGAAGGATCAGCGTCCACCTCTACTGCACTAACTCATCCGACTGCACCAATCTTACATCCCACCCTTTAGAGCGGTTGCACCTACCAAATGAGTCACGACCAAACCCTGGTAGGAAAAAAACCGAACACAACAAAGCATGTAGCGAACTTCATACATTACAATTTTGGCAATGCCCAGGCGATAAAATGTGCAGGTCTTCAGTGGGCTCTCATTGCGGTTCCCAGTCACTCCTTACCTTTCCCCAGGATCAACGCACACCCCCTGGCGGAAACATGTGAAGATTGACCTAGAGTCTACCAGGTCACATTCCTTGGCTGCCTCAACTGGCTCCCTTTCAAAACCGAAGGACCTCGTGTTAAACCCAAGTTGGATCTTCAGGTTTTGACCATTGTCGACCTCCAAGATCCATGTCTTGGCGGCTCCCAGAAAAACAGACGTGCATTGAGTAAGCCCCAACTCGGTTTTCAGGATTTGACAGATCCCTCGCGCACATTGCATTGGGAACGGTAGACGCTGAACGGCATAGGTGTCCTTTTTTGGGAAAATAGATGGCCCTGGTAGTTGATTCAACCCCAGGTAAACCAGGAATCGCCCCTGAATTGTTCAACCAACCAGAAAGGACACCCGTGCCGGAGTCGGTTTTTGTTTCTTCTCCGAGCCGCGTATTTCTTGGACTGGGACAGCAGATCTTTGTTCAGCGCATAGAGCGTGGAGAACTTCAGGCCCAACGCCTTGGCCTCCGTGAAGCCCTCACCTCAGCCAGCGGGGCTTCGAAGCTTCGAACGGGCGGAGGGAAAGTGCCACCGCCCTGACTCTTGATATTGCAGCTGAGTCACTTGCTCAAAATCCGGTATTCAAATGCTTGACCCAGAACCATGTAAATACAAAGGCCCCCGCAGCTGTTTCTGGCTGGGACTGTCCCTGACTAACCTTCATTTACCCGGGATTTGATTGTCGCTCAGGCTTTTGTTTTGGCCGTGGAAGCTAAGTGGTAGAAACACCTGCTAAGACAAGCCCCATGAGAACCACCTCAGCAGGAATCTCCCACTACTGGGAGATTCCTAGCACTAAATATACTAACATTTCAGGCACGGAGCACATGGAGCAAATGCAGATGATTTTTTGCACGGGGTGATTGGGTATGGTCAGTGAGGCGCCCATGATCATGTTTGCACCACAAGGGCTCTTGCCGAGGCGGCCAAGGCGCCCATAAACATGTTCTCCATGATCAGCTTGAAGTCCGGGACCATGACCGTGATGGGTCGGAACAAGGCCTTCAGCCCTTCCGGCAGCTCAGAGCGGCCCAGGTAGCCCGGGTTCATGGTGATGAAGCAGCCCACCTACGCGGCCGAAGGGGGTGGTGGTGGGGGGGGGGGGGAAGGGGTGGTGGTGTAGCGGGCGGTGGGGGGGTGGAGGGGGTGGAGGGGATGAGGGGATGGGGGGGAGGGGTGGGGGCACCCAACAAGGGAGCGATGGACAGAATTGCGGCCTTCCCCCCAAGGGCAAAAGGGCTAATCAGAGAAACTCTGCTGGTGTGTAAAGGAAAATGACCTATACCAGTAAGTTTGACAGAAACTCACCTGGATGCGCTGCTGAGTAAGCAACCCTGAGGGTTCTTTGGTAACCTGTGAGGATGTACTCAACCCCCTTTCCGGCCTCTTAAGTACACCACAGGTACTTGGATCCTCGGAAGTGGCAAGCGACCTCGGAGACAACTCACTTGCAGCAGGGCTATCTCCTCTTGGGGGGACGTATAGCTGGGTCATAGCTCCGCTTAAAACCAACAGGGGAAAATGAACCATCACCTTTAGCAAATGGAAGCAGGTCAAGTCGGAGAGCCATTTGACGGCACGAACCAAGAAGAAAACCCCCGTTGTTCAACAGTCACTTGAGCCTGTGTACTCTCCCACACACACTCCGCATGGTGGGTATACTCCCCACACACTCCGCATAGATGGTATTGAAGTTGGCACCAAGCCATTTTTGACCATGCCCCTAAGGCCCTGCAAAGAAGTCTCTTCAGGATTGTTGTCAACCCCAAACTAAAGAAGGAGATAATAAGTTTGGAAAGACGATGATCGACCACTGGATTTGTGTATGTGTCAGTACCGGGGGGGCCAACCAAGGTGATTTTCCTCTTGATGTCCTGCTCTCAATTCACACCAACCACTACAAGGATACCGACTAAATGGAAACAAGCCTAGTTCCAAAAACCAAGTTGGAAGCCCCTGAAGGACTTTCGGACACTCAACTACACCAGCGTCGGGGGCTTGTCGAGGGCACGCCTGCGGGTTCAGGTTGATCTCATCACCCTGCAGCATGAACCTCTGCTGCTTGGCCCTGATAGCATCGCACACCGCCTGAACGGAAGGCGTGCAGCCGACGTCTTCCTGTGGAATTGCTTCTTTGAGAACCGCATCCAGCGCAAAGTCGAGAAAACAAAAAACAAAGAAGTATTGAACTTTCTGGGTCTCTGGATCTTTGGGTCTTGGCCTACCATCTCAAAAACCACTATGCTGAACCAACAGGGCAACACGCACTGAATTCGGCGTGAGCTGAAGCTATGAGTCGTGGTGACCCCGGCAGCAAACGGGCAAGTGGCTGAGTGGCTGCGCCGAGCCATGTGGACCCAAGTGCCATCTCAAATGAACCAGTCACAACCCAAAGCAACCTAGGTCCTCCAGTGGACAGGTTAGAATAAGGGCACCAACTTTTTTCTGTAGTCTATTTTAGTAGGGGAACCCTCCCGCAAGAAAGGGTAAAAGGGCACTACTGGGGGACCTAGTAACAGTCTGCCGGGGGATGTTTGCATCACCTGGCTGGTGTCACCCTCCCTTTGCATTTGGCCTGGCTCGCTTCGCCTCCAAGGAACACAACAACCCTTCACACATGGCCATTTGGCATAACCTATGGCTCCATTTTGGGGTGGACGAACATCCATTTGCCGCCTATGTTGACGTTCACCGGGCGGTAAGGACGGTGGATGGACATTCTTCGTTTCGCACCAGTTGAGATGGAGAAACACTGGATGCACCCCTACCGGGACAAACCACCACCACTCCAAACCGGATTTTGTCTATCCACAGCATTGGCAACGCTTGTGTTTCTTCACTTAATCCAGGACTGCGCGATTGGAAAGGGCGTGGGTCAAAAATAGGTACCCAAAATTAGAATCTGGCGAATGGAAACCAAGACTAGCACCGGTCCCCCGCTGGTTTCATTTTGACTCATGCCCATGACTGCGCAAAAAAAAACGAAAACAAAACAAAAAACACAAAAAAAAGCCCTCGCCTTGAACTGCACCGTGCACACCGAGAGCACCTCTGGCACCAGGCGGTTGAACTCGTCGAAGCAGCCCCAAGATCCGCTCGCCGAGAGACCTGGACAGACAAACTGTTCACACGCAGCAGCTGGGACAAATGCAACCTTCTGTGTCTCCTACCAATTGGTGCAGAGTGGTTTTGTCCATCCACTGTGCTGACCAGCAAAAAATGGACACATCCGATGGTTGCGTCACAACAATAGCGAAGTGGTGATTTCCCCATCCCAATGGCCGGTTTATCACAGTGCAATCACAATAGACCCAGCAGGTGGTTCGTATCTATGACGCTAGTTTATATTGTGGCTGCTTTCCATTCCAATCTTGATCACAGTAGAAAGGGTGATCTTTGGCAAATGAGCTCCCTCCTGTACCAAAAAGTAGTTGCTTCCCGTCCCAATGGCCACGTTGGTTCTGTAGAAAGCGGATGAAACTGGGAACAAATTGTGATTTCAGTACCATTTTGTGGTTTCACTGCAAAAGGCTTGATGGGGCGGCCCAGTTTAGACCAATCTTGCCTGACGACCCGATTCTAGACCAACAAAAAAAACCGGTCAAGTGGGTGGCCTGGCGTGCGCTTTCGTTTTGAGCATGCCGATCCCGGCCTTTGTAGATGTCACCCAGCGTCAGGTAGTCCATCTCGGGTGCTGCGTTGATGACGTAGCACGCCTGCACGGGGACGACCGAACCGAGCCGGTCTCTTCCTGATTGACCTCACGATTCAACTAAACCGACCCAAACCATCGCCAGCGCAAGAGGGCCCATGTCTGAGAAGGAAACCCTGCAACAGTTTATGTATTTCTTGGTTTGCCTTTGAGCAAACCAGGTTCAGACCCTTCGTCTTGGAGTCCCCGGGGTTATCCGAGTTGTTCATGTTTGTGGGCTGAAAAAAAAAGAAAGAAAGAAAGAAAGAAAGAAATAAAGGATAAAAAAAATAAGAAAGAACGAAAGAACGAAAGAAAGACAGAAAGACAGAAAGGCACAAGAAGAAAGAAAGAAGGAAGGAAGGAAGGAAGGAAGGAAGGAAGGAAAGAAAGAAAGAAAGGAAGAAAGGAAGAGAGAGAGAGAGAGAGAGATAGAGAAGGAGAAGGAGAAAAAGAAGGAGAAAGAGAAAAACAAAGAGAAAAAGGGAGAAAAGAAGAAGAAAGAGAAGACAACAACCAAGAGAAAGAGAGAGGGAAGGGGAAAAAGACGCATGTTCCAGACTCCAAACTATGGCAATCCAACCCCTCCCCTCCCCCCCTCGTCCCCCGCGGCCTTGGCCACGGCGTTGGCCAAGTCTTTGGTACTCTCCGTCTTCCCGGTGCCCGCGGGGCCCGCCGGCGCGCAGCCCATGCACAGGTGCAACGCCTGGAGCCGAGCCGTGGGTCACTCATGGCTGGGGGGGGAGGGGCTGGATGGTCACTCATGGCTGGGGGGGAGGAAGCAGAAACAGTGATCACTTCTCGCCCACTAAGGGTCAATCTTGGATGAGATGACTGGATAGGGAGGGAGCCCATCACTCAATCATAGACTCGATGTTGTTCCATACGTAGCGCACCTTACATCTTGCTAGCATAATTATTCCCCAGAGAAATTGTGGAACCCACCAATCATCCCCAGGTTTGACCATGGGTCACTCATGGCTGGGGGGAGGGAGGGGACGGGGAGGGAGCCCAATTAAGCCCTGTGCAGTTTTCTTTGGATGAGTGTCCCTTGGTGCGGGTGTTTTAAGGGGAAATATAGGGAGCTCGGTTGGAAAAAAAGGGGCTTGATGAATATTGCATCTAAAGGGCCCCAGTTTTGACCATGGTAACTGTGCCCATGTGGGAAGTCGCATCATTTTGGTTGCTCCCAAATGGTCGTCCCATGCAAAGGACCGTGATCAACCCCCAAAATCGACTTCGGACCCCCCTGTTGGCGGGTGTTGCAAAGGACACCAACATGCCAACAGGAAACCATTGCCTTTCTTCAGGAGATCCCTGACAAACCCCCACATATGCCGAACAATTTCTTAGAGGAAAGGGATGTTTGAACTCGTTCAGGATGGCACGCATGTCCTGACAATGGCAAATGGGTGTGAGGTGTTTTTTCCCCCCAACCGCTGGAAGCTTTGGGATCTTAGCCCAGATAGGCTCCGGGGTGGTCCGGGGCGGCCCTGAGTTCAGGTTCCACGAGGGCTCCACCAGGGTTCCGCGAGATTCTGCGAGGGCTGTGGGCCGCATGCTTGGGGATCTCACCTGAGCTTATTGTTGTTCCGTTCTTTTCTCTTCTTTTTTTTTTTTCCGGACCCTTTGTGGGCATCAGAAAAAAACATGAAGACATGTGCCCACCAGCCATTGAGGAGGTTGCAATTCATAAGCGCCAACCTGCCACCAATGTGCCACAGGTCCCACAGGTCCCACGCCGATCGAACTTGGAACTACTCCTTGGTCTGGATTGGTGGTTTGGATTTGGATTCGAAGCCTTGGTGCTTGTAGGGGGTAAATGGGAAGCCTCCTTAACAACCAAACCCCAATCCAGACCGCTGGACTACAGCTTGAGTTGCAAGCCGTAACTTTCGTTGGTTCCAAAATGGGGTGGCCCCGGCTCGGAGTTCGATCACAAATGGGCTCCCAAATCCAACGCGTGACACACGTGATTTGGAGCAACCGATCGAACCCGTTCCTAAACGACAAAACTGGGCTGTCCTCAGATCCCCCGCTAGTTTGACTTTCAGTGGGTCAAATGGAAAACCAAACGCTAAAAAAAGGCAAGAAGCTCAGGAACCGGATGCCTGGGTTTGCCAAGAAAACGAGCCGGGCCCCGCGGTGTTTCCTCTTCCGGGTCTCCGAAGAAAAACAATGAACTGTTTCAGTCCCGAGCCCTGGGCGATCGAAGTGCCTGCGTAGCAGTGACGTAGATACGATCTGTGAGCGGCGTGACCACCAGACGAGGCCCGTTGCCCAGGTACTCCTGAGCGGAGTTCTGACAGAGGGCTGGGAATGAACCTGACTCCCCGAAGGCCCTAAAATGGTTGGTTGTGGTTGGCTTCCTTCTGGGTTCCCGTTAAATACTCAAATGCCACCAACAAAAGTGGGAACCATTTCAATTCCAAGGCATGGCTCAGGGGTCGTTCCCTTCCCTCATCGAAGTAAGGGGCCGAGAAGGGTACCTCCTCACAAGGCCGCAAAGGACTCGTGTGGCTTTTTCGTCTGGAAAGCCGCTTCAACTTTGGCTCAGGGACAACCCCATGGTGTTGGCAGATCTGTGTGACATATAACATAGCGGCATCATGTCAAACATAAATCAAGTTTCACAATATCTGGACTTTAGCAGTTTCAAGCATGATACAAGATATGGAAGTGAATGCCAAGCAGAGTTCTGCTGGACTTGCCGGAAACCACGTGCAGAAAGCAAAAACTGGGTCTTAAACTCGGGGGGGAGGGGGCCGGGGGATGTGGATGCACGAAATCCCGCACCACCGTTCAGACATCAGAAACCCAACAGAATGAGTCGATTCCCCTGGAAATACCAACAAAGAATGGTTTCTAAGGGTTCCAAAGTGGTGCGAACGGATTTCTTCCATCCACAGTATGGGAAACCATGGCGGGCTATGGGGGCAAAACACAGTATCCACACCAATCGTCGCGCCTGAACTGAAATTCAATGTGGCGGGCTATCTGCTTTCTTGGCGCGGCCGGGAAGTTGCGCCTTGGGGGCCATGCTTGCAGTTGGCTCATCGCAAAACCTGGGAGTTTTTATGTTGGTATGTTGAAAGGGTTCAAAATCATCACCCTTCCGAACTACCTCTGGGCTTGGCCTACCCAAAATCATAGACTCGAACTTCCATACCTAGAGAAGCTTACATTCTAGCATACTCCCCAGATTAAGATGGAGCCCACAAAACCAATCATGTTTAGAGGGCGCTCCTTTGAGGCACCCTCTTTGGGGTGCATTTTAAAAAAAAATAAAAATAAAAAAAATGGGGGGGTTATCTCCAAGGATCGTATCCGTACGGCAGCTTGGCATCAGCGATCTCCATGGACGCATCATCAATGTCCTGAGCTGGCCAAAAAACACACATGATGTAGGGATGTTGTTTTGGGGGGGACCTGCTCGTTCGTAGTTTTAAAGGACAACTAGAGGAAACACCACCATCATCTGGGGGGGGGGGCCAACACAAAATTACACCACGTGTCCAAATCTGGCTCTCGAAATTGATTCGGCGGCGTCGTGAAATGAACTTGATACCAAAGCGGGTGCCCATGATGGGACCTAAAAAGATTGTGTGTTTGAGTCCCAGTTATGGCGGGTCTAGGGTTGCTCCCTTCAAACAAAACGGTCCCGTTTTGGAAAACTTGGTCCTTCCGTATCAAACACGTGTTTTAATACAGAGGGTATCACAAGAAATTTATGATGCCATGGGTCGTTCCGACTAGGCAAATCCAATGCACTAGGTCAGTCCATGTTGACCTGATAGAAAAATCAACCTGTGGTTGTAATACCCTGTGCTACACAAAGCCAATTTAGGGGCCACTTCTCAGAATCGGGGACCCCTTGTCCATCTTTGCTTCCTCTTGGTTTCGCTTGAAACCATCCTTTGAAAGACATCTCTCCCGATTTTGAGACCCGAGAATTCCCAGCTGACTCCCGGTCCCGCCTCCTTCCAGTAGCACTTCAACATGCTCTGCCACTGGAAGGCATCCTTGGTGTTCACCTTCTCCTGAACCAGACCTGGGAAACCGAGCATTCCACGCAGAGGTTGGGAACTTCCAACCGGAAGGATCCGGACGTGTCTTCCAACCACCACGCCACAAAGGGCTCCCTCAAAACAAGCACCGCACCCACAGCACACACACACCCACACACACACACACACACACGCACGCACGCACGCCACGCCACGCCACGCCACGCCACGCCACGCCACGCCACGCCACGCCACGCCACGCCACGCCACGCCACGCCACGCCACGCCACGCACACACACACATGCACACCCACACCCACACCCACACCCACACCCACACCCACACCCACACCCACACCACACCCACACCCACACCCACACCCACACCCACACGCACACCCACACGCACACCCACACGCACACGCACACGCACACGCACACCCACACACACACACACACTGCTAGGCCTTTTAAAGATCACTTCGCTGCACTTCGCTGCGAACTCACCCCAGAACTTTCCTCCCAACCCTTGTCATCTCCATTCGCTGCAGTGAGACTTGCACGGAGGTAGACCGTAAACCCAGTGGCTGATGTGCCCAAGAAGCTCTGAGATCAGCCCAACTTAAGCCATGCGGTGCACGTGTCTTCGACGAGCCACGTTCTTGCACATCTCGGTTGTGGGCATCCAAGGTGATGGCGCACATGATCTTCTGCCTAGCAAGCTGACTGTAAAAGCCACTATCTATGAGGGTAGCTTCCCCATTCTTTCCAGCCTTCTTTCTAGAAAACCACCAAACACCCTGGGAAAACGGCTCGTTATTTAGAAGAACGATGGTTGAAAAGAATGGAAAAGGAATCAACCCCTAATCTGATTTCTTTGATACCAGGCAAGATCTGGTTGAAGTCTCAAAACCACTTGATGGTTGGATAGGAATGCCACTCTGGTATCACAGGCATGGCTATGCTGCGATTTGGCACCACCCATTTGGGCCTCTTTGGTTTGCCTTGTTGCTGGGGTACCCCATGTTTGATGTTTTCAATCGAAACCCAAAAGGAAAACTCACGATCTTCGAGGTCCAACCTTAAAAACACACACACACACACACACACCCCATTTGGGTGTGTGTGTGTGTCTTTTTTGGAAAACCCCCACATTCCGTTTCGTTCCCTTTAAAGCCACCCAAATAAGGGTACCCCCCCATAAAAAGAACAGAGACTCCCGAAGAAGCGGCCTTTCTCCGAAGCCGGCGCCTCGTTGGCTTGTCCAGGTTGGTCATGGTCTTCTCGATGAGCTTCAGCAACAGCCGGTGGCTCTCTTGCCAGGCGTCATGCACGGCATCCTCCTTGCCGTCCTGACGGATTGAATCACTCAAAACCGGAGGCTTGAATCAAACATGGATGGACGAAATCCAGGTCGCAGCAGCTGGTAGATGGTTCATAGCAGTTTAGGGTTTCATCCATCCCAACTGGTGCAAGGACTTTGTCCATCCACCGTATGAGTCATACCGGTTGCCTGAAAGGGACCCCGCCCTGCCAAAGTGGAGACCAAGGAATACCAAGGGGCCGCCAATGTTGACAACCGACGGCCCAATGTGCTGGTCTGGATGTACGTCTCTGTGTGTGTGTGGGTGTCTGTTTTGTGTGCCCTCTGTGCTTGTGTGCGTGCCTTGTGTATTCGAATGAGCGCTTTTTTGTCTGTCCCGTGATTGTGGCGTCACCAACACGACCTTCTTTGAATGGCTTTAAAAGTAGACCCTACAGCTGGCCACCCCTGGTTTTGAGACACTCTCAAATCGGGCAAACAAATGATGGTCGAATTGCCTTCAACTTTGCCAATTCTGAGTGGTCCACCTCCTCCATCATAGGTGGAGCTTCTGATTTGTGAGCTAACTCATGGGTTGCAAGGTCCAGTGGCGCACTGATCATTGATCTTCTGACTCTAGCCTGTACTGCCTAAAGACAGGTCATCGTTAAAACTGGATGTGGCCGATAAGGAGGCTACAGTCATCGTTGGTTTCCCGCGCGTACCAATTGTTCTGTACGAATCAAGGATATGGGCTCTCGGCCAGTTTGAAGCCAACAAATATCGCTTGAATATCTTCCAGGCATAAGCAACCAGGCATTGCGGCTGCGTCGCAACTGGACTGAGAGCGGACATGCACCTGCTATGCAGGTTCCACCCCATGCCAAAGCACGTTGTCCTAGATGATTGTAGCGAGTATCAGCCCATTGTAGCGATCTTGTATGTCATCCCGGTGGCATGGTGCTTTTCGGGGCGCTTGGCCTTCGATGAACATCATGCGTCCGCCAACCAATTTTGATTGATCTGCAATGATTACTATAATGCCAAAAGCTGAATCAAGGGATCCCCAAGTACAGGACCTTTGCCATAGTGATCTCGTTCTACCTCCAAGTCAGCTCGCTATAAAAAAGGCAGATTGATGCCAAGCAATTTCGAGGCGAAGATTATGCTCAAGATTGAGCCTGAAAGGCCATGAATATTCCTTGCCGCATGCCGCATGTGGATCTGTCTTTCTTCAAGGGTACTTCTTTGTTCTGGCCTTTAATTCGGAAACTAACAAAAACCAACTAAAGCCATGCTGCCGGGTTCCAGCCAAAACAACAGCTCGAATCGTTTATGGGCGCGGCAGTCACATTTTCTCTGATCCCATCTCAGCAGTGTCCTGCGCGGCGTTGAAGCCTCGCATTCGATGCGCGCGTTTGTCTCATGGCCTTTGGAACTCGGCAAACCACTCAAAAGGGTAGCCGCAAAAAAAGGAAAATCCGAAAACCCAAAAAAAACAAAAATCCAAAAAGGTAGAAGAAGAAGTGAAAATCCGAAAAAAATCCAAGGGAAACCTTTTGGGGAATCCAAAAAGGAGACCAAGCCTCCAAAAAACAACACTCAAATGCACTCGCTATGCCCCAAACATCTGAGGCTCCTCGCTTCTCAAAGCCTGAGCCATGCAGTCACTGTCTAAGGGATGGCCTTCTGCGGGTTGATTAAAGGCAATGTCAGTGGCGTTTTCAAATAAAGACCCGTTGATTTGATGGACACCAAGCCTCTGTGGTTGATGTTAAGGCTTTTCTGGAACTCACTCTGGGTGTCCCATGTTTACATCGCAAAGCGGCAAACTTACCCCTGCGCCAGTTGGAAGTTCGCCCATGGAACGGCCTGGCCATTTGGGTTGCCAACAGTCCTACGACATCCCAGGGGCCCCCAAAGGAAAGGACCTGCCAATGGTCAAAAGGAAATCTGTTTGCCCCTAAGAGAGCCGATTCGTCACTACTTGGGTTTATTGTTTTGTTTGAATGATTTTTTTGTCCCTGAGCTCTTGACAAGCATAGAAAAGAGCTCAGGCGCCAAGCTGGCAGGCCCGAATCGTATCAAATCCTTCCACTTCACCTACAGATTCCCACAATCTGTCCTAAAACCAAAACTGGTGATCTGGCGACTGCTTGACTCACCATACAAAACAAACCAATAGACTTCCTCTCATTGAACATCATCAGCATAAAAAACGACGTGTATTTGGTATGAACGTTTGATGTTGCAGACGCTTTTGTCCTACCAACATTCAAAACTAGTATGGCCAAATGTGCCACGGGCCTCCCAACACTCGACTGATTCCGCATTCTCTGTCTTCTAAAGGTCGCATCACTTGGGCATGTCAAACACGGCTGCCAATTGTTTCCGTAACCCAAGGCAATGAGCGAGGCCTACCTTTGAACACCAAGTCAACTGATGCCGAGTTGGCATCTTTGCTTTCCCCACTGACCCTCGACTGTAAACCATCCAAAAGCTGTGGTTGCAGACAATTACAACTTCTGTGATGCAGAAGCGTTTGACTTCCATCCTCAATGACAAACACAGGGTATTACAAAAAGTGTGCCGTCCTAACCCCAACACTGTGCCTAGCAAACAGGTACCTCTTTGGGTTTAACAGATCTTACGTCTGTGAGGATTGAAAAGACGTCTTTGTTGGTCTCCTGCAATGTGTCACATCCATGTCGAACGTTGCACCATAAATTTGCGACGAAAGATAAAACCAAGGGTTCCCTATGTTGGGACAAACCCACATCCTTACGGATTGGTACTTCCCCCCCGCACAACAACAACTTGCTGGTTCTCCGCGGGGAATGAGGGCATGAACCAGGGATTCCCCCAAAGGAAACCATAGAGGATGGTTTTCTCGGGGTCATTCCAATTCTCATTCCCTGCCTATCGCACCGGCAAGAGAACAAACACATCCTCCGTGTCAGCTCCATGAAATGCCAAGGCTCCGTTCTCCACAAGCATCACCCAGGTGATAAGCCTGAAGCAACCAAAAAGATCTGAGTCTTGCTGCTTCCACTTGCTCAAGCCCCTGAACAAACAATTTTCAGTAGTGATGGTTCCCTTTAACACCAAGGAAAACTAGACAAGGCACATCTTAAGCGACTGGAAGTTGTGTGTCAAACACAGGTTTATGCTGTGTCCGTTGCTTGTGGCTTTTGGAACACAAAATATAGGTCTTCCTTTGATACCGTTGCTTATGGCCTGGCTCTCAGGCTTGAGAGGTGTAATCCCTTTGCCAAAACAGTCCGAACTTTTGTTTACTACGAACATGTCTTCCTAAAAAGTGTGAACGGGAACTTCGGCCCTAAAAAATAAAACTTTGTCGGTCCCCTTCCGCGCGCCCAAACGAAGTCTTTCCTTTCCGGATAAGGAATCTAACCAGCAGAAATCAGCGGCATGTGTTGCGGGGATGTCTTCATTGGTTTCGTACTGGTTCTCAAAAGCCCTACTACGACTGGAGTTGGGGATGGTAGGAGAAGTCCCTGTCTTACTTGGAGGAGTCACTGTTTTACTTCTGGTTTCAAATCGGCTAAGTAAAAGAAAAGTCACGACTGGAGTAAGGAGGAGTCACTGTTTTACTTCTGGTGTCAAATTGGCCAACTTTATATATATATATATATATATATATATATAAAAGCGTACTCCAGGCAAGGCGCTGCACCAGCAACGCGCACTGCGCGGCCTGAGACTTGGCAATGAACTCCCCTCGCTTCGCGCCGTCCTCCATACCTGGGTCTCTGGCTGTGGCTCACAACCAATGAGATCCCATTTTGGGGTGAATTCACCACCCATTATAGAACCTATTTTAGTGGTACGGGATTTGACCCATGGCCATTTCAGCAAAATATGGCTGCGGGTCAAAACCCTGTACTCGTGAACACCAAAATAGGTGGGAAATGGATGTTCGACCCCAAAATGGCTCGTGCCCATCTGGATATGGCTGTGGCTGAAAAAAACGGAATTCCAAAATGGGTTGCCCTGGTGAGTGGAAACATGGACCAAAATATGCGGTTTGCCCCTCCGGTTCAATTTTGAGCCACACCCAGATATCTGGGTTCAGGTACAGACTAGCCGGAAGCTCGGACAGATGGAAGAGCAACCCAAGAACGCAATAAGAGCACAACACAAGGAACAGAAAGCAAGCACGACGCCAAACAACACAACAACACGGATAAACAAACAAACAAACAAACAAACAAAGAAACAAAGAAACAAAGAAACAAAGAAACAAGAAACCAAACCCTAACCAAACCCTAACCCAACCATGCAAAACAGAGACCAACCCAACCAATGAAGGAAGCAAACAAGCTAACTGACAGCCAGGCAAGCAGACAAAAGCCAACACAAAGGGGAAGAAACTAAAGGAAAGAAACAATGAAATACAGAAAGAGAGGCGTTGCAACCAAACCAACGAAACAAACAAACAAACTGACAGACAAACAGGCAAGGCAAACAAAAGCAGCAACAAACAGAAACAACGGAATAGCTAAAGAAATAAACAGAGACATGTATAAACAGATCTGTGGGTGCCTTGTGAACGGCTGCACATGTTCCCGCCTGCCACCTTTGGCTAGGCACGGATTTCCTCAGGCTTGGAGGCGTATCGGCTCAGGCTCCTTTAGCCATCTTTTGTGACTACTTCCTCTCGAGGGGAGTACTAAGACTTCCCTTGACGCCAAAAACCGATCCTGGACCGGAGTCTCGACCGGACTTTGGTGCTACTGGGACCGGGTTCTGGATGGACGCTACAGACCCAGCCATCTTTGCGGTCCACGTGCTGAAGGGAGGAAACAAAAAGGACAAAAGCGGTTCACATAACCAGTGGGCTCGACGGCGCGGCAACGGTGGTTCTAGCGGGCCCCCGCAGGAGCACGTATGTCATCATGAAGCATATATATATATATATATTATATATATATATGTTATATATATGCCGACTCACTCACTTTAATAACAGCAGTTCAAGACAAACTAAGGCGCAGGATATACCTTAAAGCCCGCCAAAGGCGGACTGGCCGAGGTGGGCAACGCGAAGCGTTTACAATCAAGAACGACGCTCAAGAAAACACCCACACACACACACCATCCGCCAATAAATAAACAGAAAGACCAAATCTGAGTAAAAACAGAACGACAAAACAGCGAAGCAACACAACGACAAAACAGCGAAGCAACACATCATAAGCAGTTTCAAACAACCTAAGAAAGGTACACACCATGTCATGCATTACATGAATGGCGTAACACAGGAACAAAGGAACAAACAAGGGCTCGAGCCAAGCAACCCACGGAAAGGAGAAGAAAGGAACAACAAGGGAAGCAAAGCAAACAAAAGAAGGAAGAAGGAATCAAGGGCAAAAGGATAATAAGCAAGTGACGGCATGAAGGAATAACGAAAACCAAAAATCAATACACGGAATGTCGTGATTGAAGATCACAGAAAGGGGCTACGAGAACATTTGTACGGTCCGTTCGACCGTAGTTGAAGATTGCGCATTGCTGAAAGCTAATGCGACGGTTCCTTATCATGTCAATGCATGGTTTCTGCAACCCACCCGATTGAATGTTTCTTCAGGCCTACGAAACCCTACCCTGACGGTATTTACAGGGTCCCCCCAATTTCTGTCCAACGGCACCTAGAGCGCACATAGATTTGAGCTCCGGCTGTTGGGGTCAATTCCTCATACCACTCCCACCCACTTTGGCCCCTTTGGCCCAAAGGCCCTCGAATTTTACCACCCAAATGCTCCGATCGGCTTCGGCTTTCAATGTAAGACCCGACCCCGAAGCACTAGACACCTCGGGAATTGGTGGTTGGGACCCGACCCTTCCAAACCCTGGCCGCTTGCGGGCCATGAATGGAGTGGGAGCCTCTGGTTTACCCAAAACGAGTCGTCCGACTCCGAGGCGCAGCCCTCCGTGAAGTACTTCTCCTTGTCCTGCTTGGCGAAGAACTTCAGGGCCTTCTGGAACCACTCGATGCATTTGTCCAGATAGGACTCCACCTGATGAGCAGACAAAGTTACATGGGACAATTGGGGCTTGTCCCCCTGGTGGGTGGAAAATTTGGAGCTCGTCCGTCCCTTATCAACTGTAGACCGGTGGCAGCTTTGCCCGAAATGCACGTGTCCCCTAATTGAAGGCACCTGTGGTCGCCAAAGCAGAGGGAACCCCTGGCCATTTTCGGCAAGCCTATGGCCTATGGTCAGAAGTAAGTCGGGAGCTGCTTGGAGGATGCAACCACTTGTCAAAGCAACTCTTTGACTCCCCCCAGTTATCCACATACCGGTCTCCGTCGAACCGTTCAAAAACCTCACGAACCGCCACCCTAATTTTGCATCGCTTTGCTCCATATACTACCTCCCCCGCCGAGCAAGGTCCTTCTAAATTGGGTGACACCAACTGGACTCTAAGAAATGGGTTCTCGGATGCATGACTGTCCTTCGGCAGCAATCCCGTTCGAACCTATTTGGCTGTGGCTCAAAAGCTGGTACCAAAATGGACCCCTGGTAAGTGGGAACATGGACCAACACCTGCGGTGTGGCCCTCCTGGTTAATTTTGAGCCACACTCATTTCATCTCATTTGCACTCTCTACTGATGCTCAATAACCCGATTCCACCGCTGAGTGTCTAGGTGTGTCAGCCTAATCGTCGCTCCTATTGGCGAAATTCAGCCATCCTGTTTAATTTTGAGCCACACGCATTTCGCCCCCCCCTCAAGGCCGCAACACCTCCCCCTCAAGGCCTTGCCCAGCAACGGCAAAGGCTCCGGGAAGGGCACGTACTCCTTTCAAAGGGTGGCTCAACCCATGTGCTGAACCAAAGTTGGAAAAACCTCTCTCCCGTAAGTTTTTTTAAAGAAAAAGAAGGAACCAAAAAGATGGTTGCTGAGGAAGATCGTTCTTCAGATTCCATCTCTTGAGGAGGGCAATTTCCGGTGGCAAGGAATGTATGCATATATACATAAAGATGTATATATATATATATACACACATGTAAATAATGCACTCATGTGTTTACATGCGGACGTGTCCTACATATGAGTGGACCCATTCAAATTGCGCTCTAGCTTTCTTGCAAAGGAGGTGTCCCTGATTTGCAGTCAATCACATGTATTTGGCCAAGACCACTGAACTAAGTCAAGCTCAGTTTGGTTTGGCTTGGTCGTCTCTCATTGTGATTCACCATCTGACTGCCATTCGCCCTGGAGTGCGCTGAAGTTTAAAGCCTGGCTTCCCTCGCATGTTGCAAACCGCAATGCACAGAAGGCCCCACATGTCCAGAGCAGGTCCGCTACAACTGGTGCAAAGAACGCACCAGATTCGACTCATTCCCCTAGATCTGGAGACATTGCGGCCCGTTCTCTCACCATATCCTTCCTAAGCGAGCATAGGCCCAGGATCCTTGCAGAAAGTGAACTTTGTTGGTTGGGAGGAATGCCAAAGAAACACCACAACTCGGTTGCTTGCTGCTCCCCCGCGAAAAGCTTAACTTTTAGTGGTTTAATAGAAAAACATTAGTTGGCAAAAATTTAAAGTCCTAATATCCAAGCAAATTGCACCAAAGAAAAGACCAACAACAAATAAAGAGGTATGGAAAGTCAAGTCATTGCTCGTGACTCATGACGTGACGCGCGCCAAACCAAAAAATGTCTCTCCTTGCCAACGCAGGCGTTCATGCCTGTGGCGTGAGGGCGGTTGTCCTGGCACGTTGCAAGCATTGCAGGTGCTCTGAAGGGACAAAACATTTAATTCGGGGGGGTTGCTGGGGTGTGGGAAACTATTGAACCAAATTATGCCGTGATTTCTCGGACAATAGTGCAAGTGTTGCTCATCCCATTGCTCATGCCAAGCACGTGAGCCCCGGACAAGATTGCGAAGGTTTCGCAAAGAGGACATAGACCAATTGGGAGGGCCGGAACCGGACTGGCCCCCCATGTCCTCCCCAAACGAACAATACCGGTCATTTTGTCAGCTGCTCCCATCGTGTCGACAAAACCCGATTGGCTCTGTGTTCAAACTGCGTTATGCCTCCCACAGGAACTGCTGAGGTCCAGGCAAGCAGTGCACCTTGCCAAGCTGAAAGTCGACACTAGGTTAGAATAAGGGTACCAACTTTTTTTCTGTAGTCTATTTTGGTAGGGGAACCCTCCCCCGAAAAAAGGGCAAAAGGCCACCACTGGGGGACCTAGACAAGACAAGCAACCAACAGAGCGGGAGCATGCGGTCGCACAACGCCGAGCGCACTCTTGTATCCATGATGACCTACCAAAACGCGTGAATCCACCCGAAAAGAGTAGCTGCATTCGTTAACACAGACCTCAACATGACGTGAGCCCAGCGTATCTGCGCGACCCGTTGACCGTCCTCGCCATCGGGGAACTCCAGGGAGTAGTTGTCGATGGCGATGAAGAACTTGGGGAACCTAATCGGAATGTATCACATGGCTGTGGCTCAAAAAATAGTACCAATAATGGAACCCAGGTAAATGGAACCAAAGACTAAAATCTGCGCAGCCCCAGCTGTCTAACTTTGAGCCACACCCATATGCACACATCAAGGAAGAAGTGCAAAGCGCCACATTTGGAATGTAGCACGACCACGGTTGCCACAGTGGCACATCATTTGGGTATTTGTCCACTCACAGGAACCCCCGAAAATAATAATAAAACAGAAACATCAAATAAAAAATGGTGGTGTTCCTGTTGGTTCCCTTGTCAGAAATATGACTTATGTATATATATATATATAGCATACACGTATATCTATATGTACCAGGCGACTGGGCACTAGCTTCACATTCAACACGCTAGGTTGGTGAGAAGGTGTCACTTCTCCGATACACGGCCTCCCAAAACCAATTCTTCGCTTGAAGGGCGGGATAGCGTGGTTTCCAAGAGTGGAAATCATCCCTCCCTCTCAAACACCTCCCAAAAAACCATCTCCTCAGGCCTTTCTGCGATTTGGCTACTTGGACACCTGTCACTTGCTCCTTGGTGTCAGTAGTCTGTCTGTGTCTGCCTCTCTGCCCGAAGAAAAACAAAAACATGGACCAAGAAACATGAAAGCATGAAAGTGCTGCGATCCGTCCCTGCCCTCCAGGCCCGGCAAAGTCAGCCATAAACCATTTGATAGTTGGACCTTTGAACAAGACTGGACCATTGGACCACTGGCAATGGAAGTCTTCCAAAGCAAAAGAAGCCGCTGCTTGCTCTTCGAGGGGCTGTGGAATCACCTGGCCGAAAAAAGACGAAACCTAAAGGTCCAGCATCACCACTGGCCCCGCGGCAAGCGTAGCCCTCTGCAACCCCCCTTGAAAAGGAGAAGTGCCATTTGGCCGTGGGTCAAAACCCTGTACTCTTGGCGAGCATCAAGATAGGTGGCAAATAGATGTTCATCCACCCCAAAATAGAGCCATAGGTTATGCCCCATGGCCATCTGACAGGTACCAAATCTTGGTTCGCCTTTACCATTCAGGCGTTCAACCCCCCGCCCAAGCCGCAAAGACAAGGAGAATGTGAAATCTGGCATCCACTAAACAAACGGTCTACCTAGGACTTGGTTGGGGGAAAAGTCTGTCAGATACTCCAAATCTGAAACTATGCGATGCTGGGCGCATTGACCCGCATGGATGTGTGTGTGGTGTAAAAAATCAGAGAAACCAAAACTTGTGGCTTTTCGTGTTTCATTAATCCACATGCTTTTGCCCTTCTAGGGTCATCCCCAGCGCCTGAGCCAACTGAACCACTCGGGAGCCTTGGACCTATCTAAGCTTTCAGCTATCAAGGAGCTTCTTCTAGGTGTACTAGGTAAGCACTGCAGTGCTCAAATGCCCAGTGGCCCTGGGAAAAAGGGCACCCCTTTTGTTGTTGCTTGAATTTCGGGGGCACACCTTACCCCAAAAAAGTGGGAAAAAAAACAGGGGGCAACAAAGAGTGGCCTGACTCCAAGGCAAATCCTGACCCGTCCAGAGTTCGAGGCCTTGGGTAACACCTATGAGACCCGGACCCGATCCCAATGGAGAACGACCAATCCCTCAAGGGCCCTCAAAAACAGGGCCACTTTGAGGGCCCAAACATCCGCGCGTCGGAGCCTTAGGGTTGCTTGCCTCTGTCTCCAGCGCCTAGAGCCTGTTGGCCCCTCGTATCTGTGGTAGAGCACCGGGATGCACTTTGTGGAATCCCACAATCCGAAAGCCTTCGGAGAATTTCACCAAAAGAAGGCCCTGTTTAAGGCAGCTCGTCGCGGTAGCTCAGGAAAATCGGGGCTTGTCCTTTAAAAACAGTTTCACACACACAAAAGCACCCAGAAAAAAATAAAAATAAAAATGAACATACAACACTGGTCAATCATTTTGGGGTTGTGGTTAAAAGCAAGAAAACCGGGGCACCCAACAAAGCACGTGCCTTCCTTTAGCTTCTGAAGAGGCTACCCTGTCAAACTAATTCACCCATCTCTAGAGACAGCATGGGTGTTTCTCAAACTGGTCCCCGGATGGCTTTCTTGTTGGTTTCTCTTTAACTTCCATTTGCGGCAGAGCCCCGGGGAAAATTATGAAAAACAATGTCCATTGAAATTGATTCCAACTTTAAAGTGAAAAAGGGAAAAATGTTCATTTCAGCACATGGAAGCACCAAGCAAAGGAGCAAAGGGAGATTGAGAACCCGACCCCCCGGCTGCACCCAGCCTTCGCAGGCTGATTTCCTGAGCGCCCAAGAGACTGGCGGAGACCCCCTCCCCTTGCCAATAAGGCCTTAACACCTTACGTAAATTCTATTCTCAGATGCCCAGTGGCCATGGAAAAAAAGGGCATCCTTTTTTGGTTGGTTGAGTTTAAAGGGCAACCCTTCCCCAAAAAAAGGTAAAAAGGGCGCCACTGGGCAACAGAGTATTTGGGGGATTCATAGCGGAGGGGAATCCAGAAGGAAGGTTTTGTTTGGGGGAAACATGGAGAGTCCAGGGCAGCTCTTTCTGAGGTCCAGAATATGAAGCACTGAGCCGTGAACATATATTGAGGACATCGGTGCTCGAAACTTGCAACTCGCCATCTGGTGCAGCTCTCGCAATCCCCTGCCCCGGCTTCAAGCCGGCGCGCGCGCCCACCCCCCAACAAAAAAAGACAAGGATCGAGCTGCACCGAATTGGTAGATGGTCCATTTGGCATGCCGGGGACGAGCTCTACACATCCCCGCAACAACCAGGGCACGAGCTCCCATGTCTCAACTGTCCCCTTTCTCGCGGGCTGGCGGATCCGATCCGCTGAAGCAAGGCTCCGTTGCTGAGCACATCCAGCAGATCGTTGGAGGACATGAAGTAGAAGCGCGGGAAGGCACGTTTCTTGCTGTCCTCAAGCCGACATACGCCAACGAAGGACGATAAACCGACCCATCCAACTCCTAAAAAAAATCCTGGGAGATCACTGAGTTGCCCAAGACCCTCCCAAAACCTCACTTTAGCCGCTCCAAGTTTAGCTGAACCGAATTCGCCAACCACTGGATGGGTCAAAAGGACATGTTCGAACTTAACTAAACCCCCTTTTGAAAGGCACCTGGGCCATATCTTTGACTCCCGCATCCCGAAACCCTCCTCAACCCACACCAACCTCTGAGCGGAGCTAATGGACAGAGGTTTCACAAGCTCAGGCATGCAGCGCTCTTTGTCGATCGTCGGAACCCTGCCGAACCCTCGCGGTAAAGGACACCCGAGTTTGTATCTTAGCACCACCCACACACACCCACACACACCGACTGCTTTTTGGGCAGTACTTGATATTTTGGACATGGGAACAAGGCAGTAGTTGGGGGGGGGAGATTTGCTGGATTCGATGACCCATTTTCCCTCTTGGGGTTGCGGTGAAGATCCTCTTGCACTCCAGATCACCAACGAATCCGTGCGGAATCTCCTCTTGGGCCCCTTTTTGTCTCGCACCTTTCAATCCGGGAAGGTTTCAGGATTTCTCCAAACGATTTGGCTTTGGATTTCAATAGCACCCTTTTGGTGGACACAGTTTGTTTGTGGTTCGCGTGGGGTGGGGGGGGGGTCCCCCCAAAAGCGGTGTGTTTTTGTTCTCTTTGAAAACCAGCAAGAGACATTTGTTGTGGGTCGCTGGTTTGTTGGTGTGTCCGTCGAGGCGCCATGAAGTCGTTCAAGGCCTTCTGACACATCTCCAGCGCCCCCTGCACCTTCTCCAGCTTCTGGAAGATGTTCCCTGGTGCTGGGATCTTTCCATTTCCTCCCCAAAAAACACACACAAATAACACCCACAACTTACCCCAAGTCTTCTCCAAATAATAATAATAATAATAATAGTAAAAACAAACAATGATTCTATAAGTAGTATTCTTGGATTTTCCATTTCCGAAAACAATATTGTTAGTACGGAGACCTTTATTAATAGGAGAAGGATTGACCAGGCTTCATCTGGAAATTGGCCAAACTAGGGTGACTACTCAGGTGTAATCCCAGGGTGTAATAGGAAAACCCTTAGACTGGCCCAAAGAAACCTACCCTAAGGGTCCTGGGGCTTGATGTGCAGAACCCAGGACCCACTGAGTTTCTGAAAAAGGGTTGTCAAAACAAGTTCTTTGGAAGCCCCAATATCCATGAGGACCCATAGGGAAACGCAGCTGAGCGACCAACACTTATTGACTCTTGGTTTTACGATGGTTACAAAGGTATAGCCAAGCTCAAAACTCCTTATATGTCATGGTTCTCTTCATAGGAATCAAATCATCCCAGGTAAACAAACTGGTCCGGCCTTTTGACAATGGCACATGGCTTTCCCAAATTCCCACTTACTTGCCCAAAGGACCTGGAACAAAACAGGTTAACCTTTTGGGATCTTTGCTAAAAATGGACTAACATGGCTCGCTGCTCAATTACAAGGTACACCCCTCGAAATTCTATGATAGTGCTCCTCAAAATCAAACCCCCAACCACTCCATGTTGTTTTTGTCTCTCTCTTTTTTGGAGGCTCTGAATGGTCGTCGTTGTTGTCAGTGTTTGTTCCTCTTTTTTTAGGAGGCTCCGAAAACATCCCCTTTGCTGCGCTTGTTATTTCAAGGATTCATTTCGGTGAACCCTGGTGTTGTTGTTGCTTGGAGGCTGGGTACTTGTGTTGTATTTTTTCAAGCCCTAGGGTCCCAAGACGACACCAAAAGGCAAAACCAAAATCCATTTTGAGGGTCCCGTGAAAAAAGACAAGATGAGGCGCTTGGAGTTTGAAAACTTGGAACTAACTGAGTGCTTGGTATGAGTCCTCGCCGAATTTTCAGGTCCACCAGAGGGCAACCTCCGATGGCTCGCCCGATCTCCGGAGGCCTTGGTTGCAGAACTCCTTCGCGCTGCGGATCTGGGAGCCGTTCAGCAGGATCTCCTTCACGTCCATGTCGATGCCCACAAACTTGTCGCTCTCCTGCCGAACACAAACCCTACCCCTGCTACCCCACCGAAAAAGAACAAAAAAAAAAAGTTGGAAAGCCGGTCGATCCGCTGCCTCAGGTACCCCCCCCAAAAAAAAGCACACGGGAAAAACGGGTCGGTCCGCTGCGGTACCGGTCGGTCCGCTGCGGTACCGGTCGGTCCGCTGCGGTACCGGTCGGTCCGCTGCCGCATGCAAAGGTGGACAACCGGGAGAAACAAAGCGGAAACAAAACATGACAGCAGCATGACCTTTAATGAAGGAAACTGTCAAATTCCTGAAGGAATTTGATGAAAAGGACCGAACCGTCCCAATAGACTCGACAGACATTGTGACACTGAAGGACTGAACCCATGCTCGAGCGGCCCGAGAGGCAGAAATGCCGTCGAATTCGGTCCTCAGGCAACTCTTTCTTCACCTCGTCACTGAAAATGAATAGGTTCTCCAAGAAGACCTAGCTTCGAACAGGGACACGACCTCTCCAAACAGGAAAACGACCTCTCCAGCATACGGGTGTGTTTGTGTGTGTGTGTGTGCGAGCTTGGTTTTGAGGAACCGCTTGTGGTTTGCTTGAACGAGGAACTCCTTGTGGTTTGCTTGAACGGGGGAACCAAAAGGAAATCAACCAGCAAACTCCACGGCCAGCATCTTCCTGTCGTTCTTCTGATGGTTTTGTGTTAGTCAGTGGCCTGCGGTTTGGGCGGTTCAAGTACATTTGTGGGACGTAACCCTTTCTGTGATACCAAAATTGGCCATCAACATGTCTACTGGATCACTTTACAGGAGGTTCCCATGGTATCACAAATAGTAACCCTAAAACACTGGATCGACTCCACGGCATCCCAACAATGGACGAGTGTTTACTCCAATAGACGTTGACCTCTACAAATGGATGGCTTCATTCTTGCGGCACTAGTTACCTCCATTTGCATAAAACTGCTAAAGAAGAGCGCATCATTGAACGTCATGACTTTGTTCCACTTTAAACAACTGTCTTGCCACCCGGACTGCGAGCAAACGCGATAACCTTTTGGAGCCTTAATCAAACATAGACCAACACTGGACAAGCGAAAGGCCAAAAGGCCTTTAGCTGGATTCGCTTGGGGCATGAAAAAAAAAGAGCTTGAAGATCACTGATACCTTTTTTGAAACCAACAAAACAAAATAACAATGAACAAAAGCAAAGACATCAAGCCAAATGGGCTTGACCAAACATTGCGCAAGGGTTCCCTATATCTATCCCTCAACAGCATAGCACGAAAAGGACAATCGTTCTTTGGCAACCAAAGGGCGATGTTCCAAAAAACGCCAGCGTTCAAACCTCACTTCCCGATGGTCCAAAAACCGCCTGCACTGTGCATTTGCCGCTAAAATGCTCTTCCTTCAAGTCCAGGAACTCAGAAAGTGCACCCAACACGTGGAAGCCACATGTATGTTGTTTTGTTGTTCCTCTAAAACCACACCAAACAAGGTACCATCAACACAAAGGCACACCCAAGTAGGAAAAAACACGGCTTTTCAAAATCGAAGGGTGTGTGTCACAAAAACGGTGATCCTTCAAGTCCATGCTCCGCAGAATTCTTTCTTTTTTTCCGGGTCTCCGGGCCCAAGAGCGTTGAACCTCCGTCAGCAGAGTAGACACCTCCGAGATGTTCCTCGGGAGAGCACGCGGGACCAGAAGCTTCCCTTGGAACTTCTCCCAAGCCTTCCGGAGGCTTCCACTTAAGATATCTCGGAAAGGAAGCTATGGGAATATGTTGTAACTGGGAGAAAAAAACTCGGTTCCCGGAGGTGTTCTTTCTGCTTGGTTTCAAAAGAAAGTTATAACGACTGGAAATATGCTTGGGTCGATTGCTTGCAGAGGCTCCCATGCGATTCATTTGCAGCCAGATTTTGAGACCGTCTTCGATTGAACGCCGAAGCCAGGAGCCGCTGGGCGGAAAAACTCACCTGAACAGGGTGCCCCCAGAAACACCCTCTGAAACTTGGGCACCACCTCAAAGGTGATTGAATGGAATGGCTCACAATGCCTCTAAAAAAATGATCTGCAAACCCTTGAAACCTCCGCAATCCCTCCCCAAGGTGATTTTCGGCGTCAGCGTCAATCTTTCGGAGAGTTGCCTGCAGATTGCCCACAAACAAACTTCTAGTTTTGGAGGAACCCAGTGTGGAGCAGTCACTTGTTGGCGAAAAACAAATCCGACCGCGGGTAACAAAAAAGAAAGCAAAAGCAACGGACAAAATAATCACTTCAATAAAATTCCAGCCCAACGGCGAAAGCTGGATGAGTATTTGTCATTTGGCCACGTTTATCTTCACATATGAGTTAATTCAGGAATTCGGTGTTCGGACCTTGTTTTATAAAACCATGCCTGTGCGTTTTCCTGAAGCCTCTGTTTGACAACCCACATTCGGTGGGTTGATTCGGTGCTTTTGTGCAGTCGGCTGGCAAGACCAAGACCCGTGATGCTGTTTAAAAGGTATAAGCTTGGCTTTCAGTGGAACTCCGATCAAGGCAATTAATAAATTTGCAGGGCAACCGGTCGATGGTCTCCACCAAACCACTACCTTTTTTTACCATAAAGCCACACAGGTTGCTGGCTCGTGCATGGATAACCGGGTTCCCGTGCCTTTTCTTCTCATTTGCTTCTTGTAAGATATAGATATGTCCTGGCCAAAAACCGCCAGACATACCGCATGTTGCTCTGGGACCTATCAGTCTCAGATGCGCAGTGGCCCCGGGAGAAAAAAAAAGGGGGCATCTCTTTTTGGTTGGTTGACGTTGGAAGGGGAGCAACAAATGTCATTTGTTTAGCAGTTGAGTGGTTGGAGTTCAACCACTAAACCACAATAAGCAAAAATGATTCACATGTTGCAACCAACAACAACCATGTGTTGGTTGGTTGAGTTTGCAGAAGGGCCTTCCGCTGGGGTGGGCTCAGTGGTTGGGGGTACTTCGTGGGTTTCCACCACCAGTGCGATTTGGCCAAGGCTCGCCAGGGTCTTTTGCCAGGACACCACCTCATTGCCAGGCGATGGCCAGTCACACGCGTCCAGTCAACTGAGCTTTTTCAAGATCGGGCAGGCACCCATTAAAACAATGCTTGGGTTCATATGACCCAAAATGGTTGGGTTCATGTTTCACCACCATTGACCTAAGGACTGTCATCCAAATTGGGTCCCAAGACCATTATTTTCATGGGGGCAAGGAACCCTAGGGTAAGGGTGTGCGCCTCAGACAAAGGGCATGAGTTTTCCTGCACCACTAGACCAGGGTTAGATGCATAATGTTATATGAATATCTATCTGGCTGTTCCAAACCACCATATGTTTGTGGTTTGAAGGTAGTGAACACTTGTCTAGGCCATGCATTGACACACAAAATGATCGTGTGTAGTTGCTTCTATGCAACAAACTAACACTCTCACACACACACACGCACTCAAACACAAGCTGATGCGAGTGCCGCTTCTGCTCCCAGGTGTTTTAGGGTACCCCTGTGGGCTTGTTCTAAAAGGGAAGCCAAGGCAAGACCACCCATTCAAGGGGGTCGCCTATTTAGACACACAGACCCAAACAGCAAGTCCACAAAGTGCTGAGCAAAGAGTGGATGTCAATCTCAAAAAGTATAGAACATCCGACCTGTGCCATATCAACTTCCGCGAGGAGACAGCTAAGAAACCACACCAGCTGGATGCTCGTGCAGATTGTGTGCTCCGATGCAATCCTAGTGCCAGGAAGTAAATAAGAACATCGGCGCACACACACACACAGGATACGGAATGCTTTGGTTCCCGTCCATCATTAAATTGGCTTGCCATGGTCACTCGCGGAAAGTGGGGAACTCCCTAGTAGCAGTCTGGATGCCTACTTTAATCTGGTCACCCACCCAGTTTGGTTGAGCCCCGCTTAATTTTGTTTGCTTGCTTGCGTGCTTCTTATTGTTTCTTTTTGTTGTTTGTGCTCGTGTGCATTGTTTGCAAACCAAACATTGCTGTCACATGAACCTTTGGCTGCCTCTCGTTGGGCATGTCCCACCTTCAGCTTTTGCGATCAAAAACTAGGGTCATATAGATGAGAGCCCAGAAAGATAATTATAATCCGGATCTGGGTTAATGAGGTATGACATTTCACAAGGAATCCTGGACTGTTGGGACACAATTGGACGCCCAAGTGACTTGCTCGAATTCCCGGCCTCGGTCTCAAAGGTGGCCAGGAATCGCGAGGCGAACCTGAGCTCCAAAGCACAAAGATGAAGCACCAGGGCTGACTGCTCAGGGCGGCTAGAAACATGGCCCAGGACTCCTGGGGCGAGCGCGAGGGCTTCTATGAATCAGCCATCCCGTGGGATACACTTAACAATCCGAGATAGCACAAGCTCTGGCTCTTTGAAACATCTCCCATTTTGGTCATCCTCTTCCCCGAACCTTTTGCTTTGACTACATATGACGTGTCCCAGACTCCGCCCTTCCAAGCAGCTTCTTCCATCCCCACTCGCCAAGTCAACACTTGTAGGTTTCACGGTACCGTAGGGCTAGTGTTCAAGGGAATTCAAAGGGAGACTCCCATTTTGGGGGGGGGTCCCTCTTTGGATACACTTCAACTCCCATAGCTGGGCACCCATGACGCGAAGGACTAGCCGAGGAGCATGTTCTGCACCTGAACCTGATGCTCCTCCAGCATCTCGAACTTGTCGTCAGCCATCCTCAGCTCGGATTGGTCGATGTCATGCCACGCCCCAAAGACACGAGACTTGGAAATTTCTGCGCCCATTGACGTTGGATCCCTGCGCCCTGAATTGACGTGATGTTGGCTGGAGACTTATGATTTGGGATTGTGGTTCAGTGGTTTTGGGAGTTTGTTTCCTCGGGTGCAAACATGAAGGGTGCACATTTACAGTTCAGGATTGTGATTCAGAGGTTTGTGGTTTCTCTCCCGTCGGGTGCAACAAAAACATGGCCCTCCGAGTATCAACCCTTGTGGGCAAGTTAAGATGACCACACATGGGGGGATCGGATTTGCACTCAAACTTCACCCTCCAAACAACTGGGGGTGTCTTTTTTCAGGGTACCTTATTATTTTCGTGGGTTTCAAGCAAAACCCATGGGTTTTCCGAGTAAACACAGACACCCACAGGTTGCCCAATGCGCTTGCTCAGCTCAGCGTCTTCATGAGCATGACTTCAGTCCCGCGGTGCGAGTCGAACTGGAAGTCGACGTCAGCCCACTCCTAGCAGGGATCCTTACATTATACAGTTTTGGGGGGGTCCCCTATAAGCCAAAGCAAGAAAAACAATTACTGATCATTGCAACTTGTAAGTGGTGGCTTCCCCTTATTTTGGTGGAAAAAGCCACATGTTTCAAAGGGTTGCAAAATGGAGATGTTTTAAGGAGCCCTGTTCAGCTTCCCTCCACTTGGTGGTCTGGATTGGTGGTTTGCTAATTCAGGAAGGGTTTCCTGTGCACCCTCTACGAAAGCCAGGGGTTCAAATCAAGGGCTACCTGACCTATCGCCAGGTAGGTTGCCTATAGGCCTTGAAGAGAAAGAGGGCCAAATACCAGCACCCTTCCCCAGTGACTGCTTTTTGGACGTGGGAAACAGCACTGCTGGTAAGGATCAGTAATTGTTTTTCTTGCTTTGGCTTGTTTTGTGTGTGTGATTTATAGGGGACGCCCCCAAAACTTGCTCCTTTTTGGTTTCTGGTTAAACCCCAAATATCACACACCCAAAAACAGAAGGCCCAAACAAGGGGCAAAGAACGGGGCCTCAGTTTTGTGCAGTTCTTTATCCCCCTTCTGAGGACTTTCAACTTGGATATCTCAGGATGACACATTTGGGTGAGGGTGAACAATTGGTACTCAAAATGTTTCCCTGGCGCATGAAAACGAGGACTAAAAGCTGCGGTGCCCTCGTGGTTTATATTTGACCCATACCCATTTGGTCCCAAAGTCGCCACCACAACCACATTTTTATCCTTACACCCTTATTGTACACTCCTATAAATTAACATTGTCAGCGGATTTTGCTTTGGGCATTGGACCTGTACATCATGTAGCTGATCCTCGCTTGGTCGCAAACGGCCACATATGTAGACAAAAGAACGTAGACGTAGACACTCAGCCCACGAGCGCAATTCGCAACTTGCATTTTACAGCAACACTTGACCATGCAGGAACTGTAGCGTCCTGCCAGTGTACAAGTATCACCAAAGCGCCAAACATTGTGCTGCCAGTAAATTGGGTCTGTCTGACTGTCTTATCAATGACCCCCTTCCACATATTTTCGTCATAGTCACGCCCTTTGTGAACACACCGTGTGCACTTCATGGAAACACTGCCGAAATGGTACATAGTACATGTTGACTTCCAAGCTCGCGATTTTGCCATGTTTAGAAGGTAGGACACCGTGTCCAGTGGAGCCATGGTGGCTCGTCTTCTTATTTTAAGCTACTCCCAACATGGTGGGTGCTCCTTTTGGCCTGTTTCCTAAACCTACCAAAACGGGGGTACCAGCTCCAAAAAAGACACGGCCATATCTGTCCTCAGATCCCCCGCTCAAAGTTTGTGTAGCTTTTCGTTGGTTCAATGGAAATCCGCTCAAAACACTAAAAAGCTAAAAAGCTATGGAACCGGATGGCTAGGAGCCATCAAGATATCCCTCCGGAGAACAGAAAAACAAGTCCTTGGTGAGCTTCTTGAGCGTGTTCTCCATCTTCATCTCCTGCTTTGCTTGGTCCGCGGTATCCTCCACGAAGTCGGGGTTCTTGTGGAGCTCCAAGTTCCACATATCCCGCAAGAGGATTTCCTAACGAATTGAGCTGACCCAGTGGATCCATTGTCTAGGTCCAGTAGAGAGGTTAGAATAAGGGTACCAACTTTTCTTCTGTGGTCTATTTTAGTAGGCGAACCCTCCCCAAACAAAGGGGAGAGAAGGGCACTACTGAGGGAACTAGTTGTATCGCAGGTAACCAAGAAAACCGCTTTTAAAAGCCAATAGGACAACAGCTGGCTATCTACTATAAGGGTTTGCCTGGGGTCCACTGGGTGACGCTACAACTCAAGTGGCTGGGTTCAACTGGTCGTGGCCAGGACCAGAAAAACAAAAAACAACTCATCACAGCCCTGGGGTTCAGGCAGGCCACGTAAAACAATGGTTGGGTTCATAGTTCACCACCAAGTATTGTTGACCTAAGGCCACCGTATTTAAAACATGGCCCATGATTCACCTAAGGATTGTCATCCAAGTCATCCAAGTTGGGTCAAGCAAGGAACCATTCTTTTAATGGGGGCTTTGGGAACCCCAGGGACAGTGTTTGTGACCTGCCACTTTTTGCAGGGATGCACCTGGGCGTCTTTTCGGGACCCAACATGATGGGCACCTCCTTCTGGTTCTCCTTTGAAACCACACAACAAATGGAAACCCTCCAGCTTGGGAGGTTGAGTGCTACCTTTTTCTGTCTACTTCGCTTCCCTGAGTAAGCAACATTTCCAAAAACACACACCCACCTTGGGCACAAATCACAAAGAAAGTCAAAGAACTAGCCTCGGAATGCAGCTTCCTCCAGCATAGAATCAACGCACATTGTAGGACATCCACCAGGTCCCTGCTAATGCCCCCGCCTACCAAGCCAAACACTTCAAATTCCCTTAGGTCATCATTAATTACTCCTGCCAAAGCTTCATGATGGTTGCCCACATATCTCCCTTTCGGATTGATGGCCATACTAAGGTTCCTGATCCCATTCAATTCAACCGCACCCAAAGCAGCGTCAAAACGCCGCCCACCGGACGACGTTGGAATCAGCTGAGCCTTTCGGAACTGAGAAAGGACTCACAGAGACACATAGGACATCAAGGATCCTTGCGTGCCAAAAGAAGTATCCAAAGAAGGATATATATATATATACATAGATAGATATAGATATCAGGAGGAGTATCCCAAAGAGGATATGTATATATATATATATGTATAGATACAGATATATCAGGAGGGTGGCTGAAAATAGAGGGACCCGTAAATGTGTGGCTTCCTTTTAGGTTTCCCTTGAAACAACCATCCAAAAAGAGATCAAGAAAAAGGAAACACTCCCATAGTACCGGTGCAAAGCCAAAAAGTCAAGATGCTGGCGTGACCGTGATGGACTTGCCGCACCTAGCAAGGAGAAAAGAGGGAGATTCCCCGAGACAAACCCGAGGTTGTTAGACATCCTGTTTGTTTTTTTGGATTGGATTCCTGTGGAGATGACATTTGCCTACGATGGAATGTGTTCCATGGTTCAGCGCATCCAAATTGCGAGACTTGGAAAGAGGGATCTGCAGAAGAAAACAAACATCGCAAGCATCACTGAGCTCGCCTACCTTTCGGGTAACTTCGCATTTGTGCATTCTGTTGATCACGGGACACGACTTGTGGACCCTGGACCCAAGCAAGAAGCAAGTCTTCAAGAATCATCTAAACCATGTGACCTTCTGGGAAACCAACCAGCTGGTTGTGAAGAAACATTGCATAAAACCAATCCAAAGCAGTGAAACCCATCCATGTCCAACCAAACTAACCAATCAAAAGGACACCTAGGGCCGACCTAGGGTCCCAAATGGTATCCCCAACAGCCCTGACCCTGCTTGAAATTCCTGGAACCTCCGGAACCCTCCCTGAAAGCCTGAAAGCTGCCGCAAACCACCCCAAAGCCTATCTGAGCAAAGTCCACATAGCTTTCAGCGGTTGGGGAACAACAAATAACAACACAAACAAAGAAACATGAACAGACACAAACAGGACAAAACAATCACAAAGCAAACCGAAAATACAAAACAGAGAAGAAACAGACAAGAACACCACATAAAACAAATCAACAGTCAACAAAACAAGAGCAACTAACGTAAACAACGTAAACAAGCAACACAAAAACACACAGAATAAAACAAACAACCAACAAGACAAAACAACAAGACAACCGAAAAAAAGGTCTCCAACACAAAAACTCCGAATAACACAAACAACCAACAACAGAAACCAACCAGACAACCGCAAAAAAGGTCTCCAACACAAAAACCACCAAAAAAATAAACAACCAACGACACACAACGTAAACAAGCAACACAAACACACACACACACACACACACAAAAAAAAAAAAAAAACAACAACAAGACAACTGCAAAAAAGGTCTCCAACACAAAAACCTCAGATAAAACAAACAACCAACAACAGAAACCAACCAGACAACGGCAAAAAATGCCTCCAACACAAAAACCACCAAAAAAACAAACAACCAACGACACACAACGTAAACACGCAACACAAACACACACAAAAAAAAAAAGAAAAGACAACAGCAAACAAAACGGGTCTCTCCCTTCGTACTTGCTGAGTCATTGGCTGTTCCATGAGCTGCGCCCAGTGCCGAGCTCGCATGGCGGGGTCACGCAGCTCACCCACCAAGGGGCAGAAGACCGTCCACTTCTTCACCACGTCCTCACCCCAAAATACAAAAAAAACACCCCTTAAAGGGGCAGGGGGAAAACACCTGATACTTAGTAAGCGGTTAGTAGGGTAAATACCAAAAAACAACAACAACAACCACCTGGTACTTAGTAAGCGGTTAGCCGGTAAAACAATGCAGGGTACTTAGTAAGCGGTTAGGCCAGGTTATAACCCACTTGGGATACCCAAAAAAATAACCCCTTATAGGGGCAGGGGAATACTTAGTAAGCCGTTGGTATACCAAAAAAAACCACCCAGGGTACTTCGTAAGCGGTTAGGCCAGGTTATAACCCACTTGGGAGACTTATAACTTATAAACCACTTACTAAGTACCCTGCCCCTACAAGTTACAAGTACCCTTCCTCCAACCAACATGGCACCTGGCAAAAGGTACCTTGAAGATGAACTTGCTGTTGAAGGGACCCCCTGTCAGTTGCCAGGTCGGTGGGAGGGAGGGTACTTATTGCTGTCTCCTTGGTTTTTTAGGACTTCAAAAAATAAACGTCCTCTTCACCCCAGGAAAAGTATGAATAAAATAAACCCCTGCTTTTTGATAAGGCTTTAAATCCCTCCCAACATGGGAAAACCACCAACTGCTTATTGATATGCGTGTGTCTGTTTTTTAGGATTTGGACCCCCCAACCACTGCCTTTTCTGTTCACCCCGGACAAATAAAATTACATGTGTGCCTTTGTTGTTGAGGATACCGTCCTTCACGAAGGGAAAATAGCCAAAAGACGACTCGAGCGGTTGTGTGTCCTTTGTTGAGGACACCGTCCTTCCGAAACATCATATCGATATGGGTTCGTCTGTTTTTTGGACTTGGAGACCCCGAAATGGATTTTGTTGTTCAACGGGCCGAAGGTGGCCGCTGTGCGTCAGGGAAGCCCTGGTGTTTGTTGTCATGGAAACTGGCTGGTTTCTTACCAGCCAACTTACATACTCAAATGGACATCCCCCGCCTATAGGCCTTACATAGGGATGGATTTGGGGTATACCCTGTATAATCCATGCAAAACCCCTAATTTTGCGTTATGTCCCATTTGGGATATGCACGTTAGCCCTTAGATGGTTCTCAGTGGGGAAACTGTACTTGCGTGTTCGGACAATTTAGCAAGTGGTTAGTAACCCAGGTCACAACCCACTGGTCAGTTTACCTAAAAGGAGGTAACCCTGTTGTAAAGTGGCCTCATATCCTCTTTCAAGCTCGGCGGAACATCCACGTCGCTGTGCGGAAGGGAAACACTGGCTGTCGTGGGGTTGCGGAGGCACCCGCTGGTGTTTCACTTGCTGGTTGTCCGTCGGAGAGGCTGAACTATGCAAGTTGTCTTCCATTTGGTTAAGACTGGTTAAGACCCCTGGAAAAATAAACATATTTCCAGTAGGGATAGGTTCCCTTTAAAACCAACAGGGGAAAATACTACTAATAATAAAAGTATTCATTTCAGCAAATGGAAGTTGTGGTTCCCGGCCAGGGAATCCCAAGATCCAAAGTCCGGGCATCATATGGCCCACACACCTGCCAGTCCTGAACGCCCATAAAGGCATCGCACTTGCGGTCCACTTTCACCTCCTTCAACTTCTTGAAGAGGGCCTTGATCTCATCCTTCGCAGGTTAAGGCGACATGGATTGAGAGAATAAGGCCTCGCCTTGACTGTTGCGTGGACGCACAGAAAAGCCAAGTGTCAAGTGGGCAAAGCCTAAAGCGCGCTGCAACTGGCAACCAGATCTGCCGAAACATCAATACAACTTCATCCACACGCCCAACGGTGTTCTTTACTTCACACTGAATGCTTGTCTCAGGTGGGACCTCTGTGCATTTCAGGTCTTCCAATTCGATCCCTCCAGGCAAAACCGGCCGCGTCCTCCATATCGCCAGCCACCACCTCATGGATACAACGGCTAGTCAAGAAATCACAAGGGAATTGAAGTTGTGGAAGCCTATTTGCCTCCATTTGCTTAAGTCCCCTGGAAACAAATATGTCCAGTAGTGATAGATTTCCTTTGAAACCAACAGGGGGAAAAAAAAATATAATTAATCTAATGGAAGTTTGGGGGCTGATCAAAAGGTCCTTACACGGGACGACCATTAAGAACAACCACACAAATCGAGGATTCCCCCCCTCTTAATTGTCATTTGGGGGCCCCCCGTTTGCCACCAATACAAGGTTGTCTGGCAGGATGTATCGCTTGTATACCTCCAACACCCATATAGCCAAACATGCCCCTTATAGCAAGACGGTGAGTCACAATCCGCTAGCACATGAACCCTCCAATTGCTGCCCGCTCATGTCCGCCAAATGTGCGTTCACTGTACCTATTGGTTGGGTATGCTAAGTCATCGATTTCACATGTGCCACTTGCGCTTCAGAAACTGACCCCGCCAAGGCCCTGAAGTGCACAGCATCATAACTCCGAAACCTCCAATGCTCTCATCCGCACTGTCACAGCTCCAACTGGAACCATCATAGCGCAAGAATGCGTATAATTATATACTCAATTCCTGAGTGGATCGGCAAATCAAGGCTCCCAAACTGTTTCTTTGCCAGTAAAACGATCTTCCCAAAAGTGGCTTTTGTCCGAAACGGAACTCAGGAGGTGAGACTATATGTCGCCGGTTTGGAGCATTCAGATTTGACCATGGGTCAAAATCCCGTACCCCCCAGCGAACATCCCAATCACCACTAAGATAAAGCCTAAAATGCGTGGTGCAACAAAGCACCAAAATGGGATTTCATGGGTGTTGACCCACCCCCATTTGTTCGGCCAATAAAGCTTTATATTATGGGTGGTGCACCTGGTTGAAAATAGTTCATTGGTTTTGACCCACATTGATTATGTAGCCGGTTTGGACTGGAGCATTCAAATTTGTGCACCTACCCCAAAATGGTACCGTGGGTGTTGACCCACGGCCAGATTTGTTCCGCCGAGGCGCCTGGCCCCACTTCACCACCAAGAAGCCCTCAGTGATCTTGATACGCTGAACTTCGAACTCCCACAGGCCCTTGCCTCGGTCAGCGCACAGGACAGACGCTTGCTTCGGGCGACGTGCAGAAGTGGGTGCGACGGCCAAAGGTTCCTTGTGGGGCTGCATCGTTTTGGCTGACTTGCTGCAACTGGCCTCAGCAGAATTAGCGGGCTCCATTTTTTTCCCTTGCAACATGGGTATGGGTCAACATGAAACCACCGGGAATTGGACCGATTTTAGTCTACGTCTCCACTTGCCAAGGCAAGCCATTTTGGGTACCTATTTTTGACCCACAGCCAAGTTGTGAAACACTGTAGAGCAAGCAACCTTTCCTTTTCCACTAAATAAAGTCCGAAACGCAACTCAGGGAGTGAGGCAGGATCTATCAGGAACTCCCGAAAGCGTGCTGTGAGAGAATCGTGTTGCTCACGCGATTCGTCCCACTCCCCGAGGTTGGGGATTTTGGATTTCACCGGTCGGAGCAAAGGCCAGAAGCAGGTGCCGGGTGTCTCAACTTCCCGCTTGCCTTTCAAACCTCCAGAATTGGTCCCGTAAAATCACCACAAGAGGAAAGTCAGCAAACAAAAAGCAAGGCAACTTTTAAACGGGCTGAAAAGGGACATGTAGGGGCCCCTGCTTGCATTTGCCAAACACCACTCCGAAGGATATGCTTTTTCAATCAAATAATTGTCCTCTCATTGCGGCGTGCGTGTGTGATACCAACAGCATTCTCCCCAGCTGTCAACTTCAGATTCATATATCCATGGTTCGAGAGTTGATTCATGAGATGGCGCTCTGCATGACTCCCCTGCGGATTTCACATGGAAGAGGAGTCCCCTTCTCAGAAGTGTCTTCTGAAAATTGAATTCTGGGACTCCAGGCCAATCAGGTTACCGGGTTCCGGTACGGAGAGTACTCCGAAGTGGACCAAACGAGAGCAACTCACCGCATGCAGAATGAAAAACCAACTCCGAACAGCCAGAATAAGAAATTAACCAACTCTGACCGGCCAAGGCCGGGATGCAGTTGGCCACGTCTTCACGCATGGCCTGCATCAGCTTCTTGGAGTTGTTCAGCTCCTATCGCTTGCCCACGCCTTGTGTATGTGCGCAGAAAGATTGACCACAGACACTTGCAAACATATGGCCATGGGTCAAAATCCCGTACCCCCAGTGAACATCCCAATCCCCACTAAAATCGACTAAAATGGGTGGTGCACCTACCCCAAAATGGGATCCCATTGGTTTTGACCCACAGCCATATGTCAGAGCGATTGTGTGAACCTCCCAGTCCCTGGACAATCCCTGCCAAATGCAAAGATCATGGCAATGTCGTGAATGTATCAGCCAACATCTTGCAGTGTAGGCTTTGAAAGCGGTCGCTGTCAACACCGTCAACGCACGCTGAGGGAACTGAGTCCTCAGGGTAGTTGAAGTTGGTAGCGATGTGGAACAAGTCCTCAAGTCCTTGGCATAGGTGGCCTTTCGGTTAAAAATCGATGGGTTTCCCAAACGAAACCCATCTAAACCAGTGGAACCCATCGATTTTAACCAGGCTCACCTAAAAAGGACACCTATGGTCTTTGGCTTCAAAGATTCTAGAGGCGTCCAAGAAGCTCACAAAGGCCCAACTGGCTTCTTCTTTTCACGTCCTCACTTCTTGAGTGGGCTGGCCAAGAACATGTTTGAACTTGTTAGTTACCAGCAAAATGGTCTTCCCAAAAAGCTTGAACTCCACGAACTCAGAAAGTGAGCTTCCGATCGAGTGGATTGGCCAAAAACAGTGAACTATTTGGTTACCAATAAAATGGTCTTCCCAAAAAGCTTAAACTCCAGGAACTCAGGAAGTGAGTTGCTTTCTATGCAAACCTCTACAGGATTGACTTGACAACTTGACACCCTTCATATTTACCCGGATTTGGACAAGCTGCCTTGTGCCATGCAAGCCATGGACAAAGTTGCAGCGTTTGTTTCAGGAGGACACCAACGAAGATTGCCTTCGGCCCGCGCCCCCTAATTTCGGGTGGTTTCCGCTTCTTGTACTCCCAACACTGACAATCGACTACCAATCATCTTGAAAGTTTTCCAAAACTCAAGGACCCCCAGAAACGTGTGATTTGTTTTTTTGGTTGGGGGTTGCACCATTTTTTCTCTGGGCAGCCCCATGCTTTTCTGGTTGCCCCAGGTTGTTTTTCTTCTTCTGAGCGTCCAGTTTCGAATCTAGGTCTATGCTGCAAGCTGCCGAATGATATGTTCATACACGAGTGGCACGCCGTCCACCTTCCAGTTGCAAGCTGGTAGGTGCAAGTCTACGCCACTACTTTGTGTGTTTGTGGCTCCTTTGTTTTTCCTTTCTTGGCGGGGGGTTCTCTTAAAACCATGTGCTCCACCAACCATGTGGGAAGATGTTCCTTTAGCTGGGGTCATTTCAAGGAAGTCACGTTCACCAGAGTTGTTCAAAAGGGGAACTCGAATGGGGCAGCAGTAAGACAGAAACCATCTCTACAGATCTTGCAGCTTGATTATGAACTTACTGCAAGGCTCAACAGTTGTTTGCGTTTAATCCAATGCCTAAACCGATGCTCAAACAAAGCTGCGGCATGCTTGTATCTGCAAATCAACCATAAGGGTCTCCAAAGGAACTAAATCATGGTGCTATTGCACGTTTCACCCCCCAAACGGGAGCTCAGCTCGCCAAAGATGGATTCCATAATTGCATTGTACATATGCTTACATACATTGATGAACATGCCTCGCCTTGTGACTTGTTTGCACACGTTCATATTTTTAAATGTGATCATGTGGCTGTGGGTAAAACAAATAGGTGCCCAAAATGCAACCCTGGTAAATGGGCACATGGACAAAAATCTGCAGTCCCCTGGTGGTTGAATTTTGAGCCATACTCATATATACATATATAAGTGCTGATATTAGTCTACTTCCAGGTGCTTTGACCGAGTAAGCTCAGGCTCGCTTGTCGAAGTTGTCCAGGTCCGTGGTGACGTCCTGCAGCCGCTTCTGGGCGAGCTCCAGGCCACCTCGAGTTGCTGGGAGTTGGTGGTAAAACTCCTAATGTTGACCCAGGATTCACAAACCCGTCCCGTTCTCAGGGTGTTCCCTCCTAAAGTGGTCTGAATCCCCACTAAAAGGGGACACCCCCCGATGAAAATCAACCAGGGCTTTATTCATCCGGGGTTTACCAGGCAGAAGCTTCCATTCGCTTCAAGTCCCTTGGAACGAAGTCCCATGTCCAGTTCCAAGTTCCAGGGGAAGCCTCCCCATTCTTTCCAGAGATGCTTCTTTTCAGGAAACCATCCAAACATCAGAGGTGAACCACCTGGTTTGGCAAAAAAAATAAGGATGGTTGAAAAACAAATCGGGAACTAAGTCCCATGTCCAGTAGTGAAATCCATTGCCAAATAAAACAAGAGGTGACGCTGCAAAAGATAGTCTGTAAGCATGTGGAAGCCTCCATTTGCTTTTAAGTCCCCTGAAAGAAAAAGTCCAGTAGTCACTTCAGTAGTCATAGATTCCCTTTAAAACCAAGAAAGGAAAAAGATGCATATTCTTAGGCAAATGAAAGCAAAGGGGGTCCATTACTTGCAAAACTCAGGGAATTGTATTTGGGTATGGGTCAAAATGGGTCCCAAACAGCAAACTGCAGGCTTAAATCGTATCTGTCTCCACTTCGGTCAACTCATTTTGGGGGCACCCTATGTGTGACAACAGCCATTTACCAACAATATCCTGACGAAATGTGCGGGCGCACTTTTGGAGTCCATGGGCAAACTGATCCTTGTCATGCGGTGTAACGTTCATTTCTTGAGGCTCACCGAACAAAATCACCTGCGGCTTTGGGGGTACAAACTTAAAGGATTTAAAAGGCCTGGTTAAAAACCTCTGCCCCACAGCCCCACATTTGGATTTTGGAGTGCGGGTAGTTGTTTGTGTTTTTTCTTCTTTCTTTGTTTTTTATCTTTTGCTGATGGTTTTTGCAAGAAGACGTGGGACATTTGGGCTTGTCCACCTGGTTTTAGTGGGAAGCTCTTGTTTTTCTCCCCAGGTCTGGCGGCAAGCAGAGCAGGTAGAGACTCAAGGGGATCAGTTGGCGCTGTTCCGCCCCGGTAAGCGCACCAGCATCGCTTCTGTTATCCTGATTGGAATTCAAGGCTAATTAACCCCAAACTCACCCAAGACAAACCGTAAGCTTGCCACCCTAAACCAGCCCGAATCAACTCTCAATTGCTCCCAATCAGGGCAAACAGTCGATGCTACCAAGGCTTACGGATCACCGCCAAACTGCTCCGTAGTTTACTGCTAGTAAAGCTACGAATGCTTCCTCTCCATCCACGCAACCGCCAGCCAATCAGTCAGCCACCCAGCCAGCCAGCCAGCCAGCCAGCCAGCCAGCCAGCTACCTATATACCCAACCAAACAACTGACCAGCCACCAGCCACATGAAGAAAAAAACAACGTGCACGTTTTCCGGCTACTCTTCAGTCACGCGAAAGAGTGCAACAAGGTTTGCACGGGCTACCTTCATGGCTACATAGTACAATCTGTCTGTCTTCTTCTGCTGAAGCAAAATACAATACCAGCATCACGCAATACTTTCAGAACAACAAGCTATCGCAATTGTCTCTCCGGGACTCCGTGCATGTGCAACAATCAGCAGGAAAGTGAAACACTACGCAACCAAGCGGCTCTTGTAGATATAGTAGGCCTCCTTTTTAAGGCCAGATTGGTACGTCTTGAGCTCGTTCTCAAAGTCGCCAATGGCCTATCACAATGCATTCATGTGCTGTGGACATCTGCCTAACATTTACCCAGGACAACTGCTTCATGTGACCAACGATCAGTGTGCCACGCATGCCTCAGTGCGCCAAGCGAATTCAAGGCATCGGGAAAGTGCAAAGCTGTCGATCCGCTCTGCGCCTTCTTGTAGAACTCACTTTCCTCGAGCCGCGATACGAGGGCTGCAGTTCTGACGTAAACGGCGACCACGGACACTGGACCCGACACTTTCCCACTTCTATGCTGGAACCAATCCGATTGCTGTGACATTCCCTGGCAGTGACACAGACAGCAGGTCCTTCTACAACACATCTTCTGATTTGTCCAGCCGCCATGGAAAACCAGGAGACAATGTCATTATCTTGCGATGGCTGAACAAAAGCTATCCCCGCAAAGAAAAAACACGCTGCCACTAAGATGTGTGCTTCGTGGGTCCCTAGCATACTGCCAAGAGTCCTTCTGCACCATGGGCTGAATCTCTTTCTCTTTGGCCACGATGTCTTGCTTCAATTGCTGCAAGTTGGCACCTCGATGCACAATCGCCGCACAAAAATTACACCGCGTCGCCGAACCACACATTTGTCAGATTCAACCCGCTCGGGACTACACGCCGCTGCTCAATGTTCAAAACCTGAAGGGAACCGATTCATTCTTTGAACGCAAAGCAAGCCCACCAACCACGTACGCGTTGTAGACTGCAGAGTCAGTCTTGCCGATTTCATTTTGAGGGGATTGCTCCGCGGCAAACGAACATGGAATCCAAAATCAAGCCGTTACATTGCTTGGGAAATCTTTTTGTAGCGGAATCTCCTTTGGATGGTCGCGCTTCGGGCTCCATGTTTCGTTGCAAAGTAAGCGTAGGAAACGGTTTGGGGCTGTCCTCAGATCTGCCAAAGGTTTAACTTTCAGTAGATTAAATGGACAGTACCACTAAACCTTAAGAAGCAAAGAGACTAAGGAACTGATGGCTGGGAAACGCCAAGCTAAGTGAAAGCTGTCCTGTTGGTTTCCCTTTCATAGACCTTAGGCACTCTTCGGCGCCATTATGCTTGTTGGGGTTCCCTTAAAGGAACCCTTCCCTCATTCCCTGCTGAGCCAGCTAGCTTAACTATGGGACTGGGGACTTAGCTTCTGGACGTGAGAACGACTGAACTTAGAAACGCGCATGAAGACAAGCACACCTGAACACATGCGACGCATGCGCGCCTGTAGAGAGCACCAGCGGCCGGGTCACGTCCGTACCCCATGCCCCTCCCAAATGGACTATCTGCTATTGGTGATTTCGACCGAGCCCTCATGCTCATGAACATGCTAATGTATGGTATGTAACGTAATGAAACAGACTTTAACGTCACATGACGTCACATCACGCAACGTAACGTACGGTAAGGTAAGGCAAGGTAAGGCAGTATGTATGGATGTACGTATATATGTCTGCCGACCCCTTTCTCCAAAGGGGAGGCGCATGGGAAGGGTTTGTCTTCGTCCTTGTCTTGATGATATATCATCACCACTGATGTTGGGTGATGGATCGCAGCTTTACCGTGGCGCTCTTCTTTGTCATTTTCGTTTCAAGTGTGCTGTTAGACCCGACTGGAAATGCAGAGGATGCGGAGTCATGATTGTCATGACGACTGCTGGCGATACTGGGGATGCATGGTGATGATTATCATCCGAATCATTATCATCATCATCATCATCATCATCATCATCATCATCATCTTGACCCGACTTGACATGCAGGGGATGCAAAGCGACGATTCTCATCATGACTGCCAGTCCCTGAAGTTGGGTGATGATTTGCATCATCAGGATCATCATCATTATTGTGGTGTTCTTCTTTTTCATACACGTTTCAAGACCCGACTTGAGAGGCAGGGGATGCGGTTTCATGATTGTCATAGTAACTGCTGGTGATGCCGGGGGTGCATAGTTCATCATTCATCATCATCATCATCATCACCATCTGATTGCATCCCAAGTCCACGCTTTGCATCCACAGCAATACAACGAAGTCTTGCGAACAAAAAATGTGCCCCCAACATGGTTTTCCCGCCCGAGTTTCCACTCACCGAGGGCACTTCTTGTAAAAACCAACAAGGTTCTCATTATCATGCGAATTAATCCTGATCATAACAACTGCTGGTGATGCTAAAAATGCCAAGTAACAATCATCATCATAGCTGCTGGCGATGATGCGAATGCATAGTAATAATTATCAGCATCCCGAATGTTGCGTAATCATTTGCATCATCAAAAGCATCATCATTATCGTGGTGCGCTTCTTTTTCGTATATGTTTTAAGTGTGCCGTTAACCCCGACAAAAAATGCGTAGTCATACTTGTCATAACAACGGCAGCCCTTAAATATGCATGGATGCGTGCATGTATGCATGTGAACAACAAGGGAGAACACTTAAAGCCCGCAAAGAACAAGGCCTGTCTCAAAATAGGAAAGCCTCGTTTGATGGTTGTGAAGGGACATCGCAAAAGAAACCGCCATTTTTTGGCGTCCATCATGTTGAGAAGCAGGAGGATGGCTCCTCATCTATCCTCAATACCAACAAGGAGTCCGAGTCTCCAAATCACAAATCCAAGTCAAACTAAGGGTTACCTGACAAGATCCAGGAAAGAAAAAACTAGCACACTAGGCGCAAATAATCATTCCTCAATGTTTTGTGTCAAAAAGAAAGGGAATGGGCATTTGGCATTTGCCTGAGAACCAGCGGGCCGAAACCGCCGATTTTGGATGTCCCAAGCCCGACAGTTTGGTTACCAACTAATTCTGGCTTAGTTGGACCAACTTGGAGGGCAAATGCGGGCGAATGTGGCAAACCATTCAGCTCCCTCTGATTGGTGATTTGGATTCTTTGGACGGCTTTCCATTACCTTCGACAAGAACCAAGGTTTCAAATACGCAGTCTCTACCAATCCAAACTGGGCAAATTGAATGGCAAAACAAGCTGGGTATGAATTAGCTCAGGTATCCCCATCATCTCCACAACCCCTGGAAATCTCCGGAACACTCCGTTAAAGCTGGCCCGGTGCTTATTTGAGCAAAGACCCCGTAGATTTCAGCTGTTGGGGAAAAAGGCGGAATCGGTCTGATCTCCGTTTACGTACCCCTCAAAACGAAACACAAGCATGGGCATTCCCCTGAAAACCAAAACAAGGCACCCAAATACCAGGGTAAAAGTTGTTGGTACTTTTTTACCGTGCTTACAATCTATGTTTATTTCGAGTCCACTAAAAATAAAGACAACCAATCAAAAGTTCCGCCTTCGGACAGGGCCTTGGCAACCGCCAGGCCAACCCTCAACTCAAAACCTCAAAAGAAAAAACAAAAACCTTCCGGTTCATTCCCAACACCGATTCCCTACTTCTCGCGCCAGCAAGAAAACCCTGAAAAGAAAAAGACACCATTTGCCAGAAACAAGCTCAAAAGAAAGGAGAAAACTGGAGAAAAAGGCTCACCTTTTCCTTCCCAGTGAGGAAGCCCAAAACCGCCAACACCTGAGTCACAATCAAAACCCTCATCTACCTTACTCACCTTCATCTGCCCGGATGTTTTTTTCACGTGGCTCACCCGAAGACGGCAAAAACAAAACAAAAAAAAACCGAATCTCCCGGCACGGCGCCGATCTTCTTGAGCTGCTTCAGCTGCTTATCGGAGGGCAAGCCCTCGCGCTCCAGCTGCGCCAGAGTCTCCACCACCTCGTCCTGGCGGAAGGGTGGGGTGGGGTGGGGTTGGGAAGGGGGTGGGGTGGGGTGGGGTGGGATGGGTGGGGTGGGTGGGTGGGTGGGGTGGGAAGGCGGGGGGTGGGTGGGTGGGTGTGTTTTTTTTTTGGGTAAGGGACACCAGGGAAGCAGGGCTATGTTTCCTCCCGCCAAGAGGAGACTCACCTAGTTAAACCAACTTTCAATAGAAAGATAGGGAATCCTCCCTAAGCTCACAACGGACAGCCCAATCATGCAGGCGAAGCTTCTGCCATGTCTTCCTCACTTGCTTCGACACAAGCGGTCAACCGGTGGACAGCCAGTCCTGTCTGAGGATGAGCGTGTCTTCCTGGTCGTACATGTCCTGCAGGTCAAGTAAGCAGGCACACATATCACCGCTGTCTGGAACAGAGTCAGTGGCAACGCATACAACATTGGATGCATGTCTCAACTTGATCGTCCTTTGGGAGCCAGTTCCCCAGTCCTTTCACAGTCTTATTTTCACATGTACTCCACAGAATGAGGCTCTGAAACAGGATGTGTGTCCTGTTGCAGAGATATGGTCACTAGAGTTGTCGTGCATTCCCTATAGAGGTGGATCATTGGGGGGACCATGTATACATGTATATATAAAAAATATATGTATATGTATATATATATATATATGTATGATACACGGACTTGGGTGTGTATATGTATATATGTATGTATCATATATATATATAGTATGCATAATATATATATATATGTATATACATTATGCATATATACTTGTGCGTATCGTTTCTTCACCCTGGGCCGCTTGCGAAACACGCCTTGATGTGGTTCATGACCTTGATCAGGTTCATCACCTCGAGTGCATTCCAGGCCAGGCCGCCCCACAACGAAACGGAAAAGCACACAACCACCAAACAAATGCGACATGTGGGCATTCCGATTTGACCTATGGAGTTGTTGGACCCCAAAGGGGGGCATGTTTGGATTCCCGGCTGAAACAAACAAAGGTGCACTGAACAAACAGAAAACAATATCGCCTTCTACATAAAATGTGTCCCAAGTTCAATTCAAACGCGTGTCACTTCGATTGTAACTCAAACGCACCAGTGTCCATGCATTGCTTTGCTTCATTTGGGCGGACATCCAAACCAATCCGAATCGCTTGCAGACCGTCCTTGATTCCCTTTCACGACGGGGCACCTTCTTGAGACTCCTGAAGCCTGCTTCGAAACACGCCTCCATTTGCTGAAACTGGCTGGAATCACTAACCATTTCCCTCCAACAACCGCAAATACTCGAACATCACCTGAAACAATAGTCAGCTGCATGTCAAAATAGGAGCCCTTCGGCTGTCCTTTTGGCTTTCCCTACAACCAAGAACAGGACGCCTCGACAAAGAAACAACACACGCACCGGCCAATGTATTCGCATGGCCGAGGCGCATCTCCATCCTTAAGCTTGGTCTGGTGCCCAGTGTTGGTCGTCTGGTAGAACCTCAACGAAGCTGAGCTCAGCAAGCTGAGTTTCAAGGAAAACCACAAGGAAACCGCAAAATGTTGAGGTGGTTGAGGCCATGTTCGGCTTGCTTGCTCAAAGGGAACCACAAGGACACCGCAAAATGCTTGAGGGTCTCCATATTTCGACCATACCCAAATCCTCACAATGACCCTCTGAATTGTGGGGTGTAAAGTCTTAAGGGAGAAAACCAGGACTGGGACCCAGTAGTAACTTTGAAAACAATCAAAATGCTCATTGGAATGAGGGGACCGAGCGAAGCAGAAACAAAAAACAACAACAAAAACAAAAAACACCCATCCAAGCACGAGCAAGCTGTGTCCTTCATTTGTGGCCCCTTATGCCTTTTGCCGTTTTACCCTGCAAAGGAAGCTCACTTGAATACGTTAAACATGTCCCACGCCATCACACTCCCTTAAACACCGCACCTTTGCAACAGTTGATGTTCAACTCCACCTGAATGGACAATCAGGGCATCCTTGGCTGTGCCTCTTGATCAAACAGCCACCTCCATGGAGCCAAAATTGTGGGAGTGAAACAAAAGAAACCTCCAAATGCCCGGTGATGTTTGCTTCCAGTTGGGTGACTCGTCCTGTTGGTTTACCCAAGGTGTCCAGTTTAAGGGGTTACCTGGTGTCGATTTCGGTCGCATGGGGGACACCTGGGATCGACTTCCGTGTCCTCGGGGTAGCTTCCCTTCCGCAGATCTGATTCAAGCATCAGGCGGCCGGGACTTGCGGATCGCTTTGAAACTCACTCAGTAGTGATAGATTCCCTATAAAACCAACAAGAGACAAATAACAACTATTCATTTGGCTGTGGGTCAAAAGCAATGGGATCCCATTTTGGGGTAGGTGCACCACCCACTGTAGAACCTAATTTAGTGGGGATTGGGATGGGGGTACGGGATTTTGACCCATGGCCATTTCAGCAAAATATGGCTGTGGGTCAAAACCCTGTACCCCTGGTGAACATCAAAATAGGTGGCAAATGGATGTTCATCCACCCAGGTCATGGCCCATGGCCATTTCAGCAAATGGAAGCCCAGCATTTGACCCGCTCCCCAAACTCCTCGCATCCCAGCTGCTCGTCCAAGCTCTTGAGCGTGGCTCCCAGCCAGGCCGTGACCACCGGGCCTGCCCACTTCGACCCGAAAACTTGTTCGACTCAAACGAGGCCATTTGCGGATATATAAGTCCGCCTGGGGAAGCAAAAAAACCGGCAGTAGTGAAATAACATGTCCTTTAAAGCCAACAAGGGAAAGCAAGCCATATTCATTTCAGCAAATGGAAGGACGAGGCAACTCTCATTGTCGTGATGGATAAAACCACAAAACACCCCATTGGAGAACGGTCATTTTGGGTAAATCCCAAAAATGCCTTTCGGGTTTCCTTCTGCCGATTCTCGAGCGAGTGCGCTTGGTCACAAGCAGATGCAGCCTGCCTGAATAGTCGTTTGCCCGATTTCTGGCCATCCTGAGAAAGGACACTGTCTCAAGAACACACACACACACACACACACACACACACACGCAAGCTCAACGAGCAGCGCCCGGCGCCCACAAAGCATGTTGCGTGGGTCAGGCCTGAAATTCCTTCATGAACAATGAGCCTGGCTTTCACCAGTGAGCAGAACTTCGCCAGTTGCGTTTTTGGTTCCGCTTCAGACCGACACAAAAATGCGCAGGTAATGTCGACCTATGATTAAAAAACCTTCCCCGATTAAAGTTATGTTGTGGGCCGGCACTGATTAATAAACCCCCCCGGAAATAGAGCTATGTTTATTTTTTGTGTGTTGTTTTTTTTTTTTTTTTCTGGCGGGGAATCCACACACACACAAAAAAAAAACCACACCAAACAACACACACACACCCGCTAGCATCATCTCAACCTCTTCCACTAGCTTGTCTGATTGGTCAGTATCTGCCTCGCCTGCCTTAAAATTTCAGATCTACAAAAAATACTAGCTCCCAAACTGCAAATTATTTACATACTCTTGTTTGAAAAGTGGCCCCGAATCAACCCTACAAGGGGGTAGTACTTGGGGGTTGAAAAAAACAGTATTTCGGGGGGCCCCCCAAATAAAGATTTCTGGTTGCCCCCCCCAAAAAAAAACTCAACTCGAGATTGAAAAGGCTTGCTTAGTAAAAGGCTCAATCTTTGAAACATTTCCCTTGAAACTTGCTCCCTATGATTTCAATCATCTAGCTTTTGCAATCCCAACAAAATCCCAGCTCTCAAACTGCAAATTCTTTACATACGCTTGTTTAAAAATGGGCCCCGAATCAACCCTACAAGGGGGGTAGTACTTGGGGGTTGAAAAAAGAATTATTTAGGGGGACCCTCTAAATAAAGACTTTTAGTTGCCCCCCCCCAAAAAAAAGAAGTGTCACCAGCAATACTAAATCAATTGGAATCCCAACAAGTCAAATCTCAAAAGGAGGCTCCAGCAATACTAAACCAGTTGAAACTCAAATCCCTCAGCAATACTAAACCAATAGGAAACTCAAATCCCTCAAGTCAAATCTCAAAAGGAAACTCCAGCAATACGAAATCAATTAAAAACTCAAATCCACCAATACTAAACCAATTGGAGCCCCGAATCCGATCTCAAAAGGAGGCTCCAGCAATACTAAACCAGTTGAAACATGTGTCTTAGCAATTCATAATCAAGTTCAGAACACTATTTAGGGAGGGAAGTTGTTTGGGGGGGGGGTTATTAATCAGAGGTAGACATTACCTGGACCCTCAAAATTGCCCCACACACTGGTGATTGCCCCAAAATGATGATTCGCTTTTTCATTGGTAGTTTGGGGTTCAGGTACCCTGAAAGAAACACAAACCCATTTGGGCCGACTGAGCGCCGGGCTTTGTCAGAGTGGGCCGGAACGGTGAGCCGCGGATGGGCCGAGGTTTGCCGTTTTCATCCAGCAGCTTCACGTGAATGACCAGCCTCGATCCGGCACAAACCCAACGCTCCACACCTCCCTTGCCAATGACACAGGGGCCGGCAGAAGCCACAAATCACCGATTTCCCTTTGGGCTTTCCTCTAATTGAAAGCTGCCGGCTATTTTGCATGTCCCAACCTGCTTGTACACATCACCTCATGTCCACTTGGCCGTCGATACCCAGTGATGCACAAACGCGAGGCTCAGCTTGGAGTATCGGTGGCAACACAAAGACACGTACGCCATCCTTGACGGCTGGCATCTAGCAAAAAAAACCATCTCCCTGCACAAAGTGTGGAACCACAGGCCACCAAACAAAGTGGATCAAGGCTTCCAAAACCGATCGGTGTTAAACATGTAAGAATTCAGCAGGGGGCCTTTCGCACCCATTTGCTTAAGCCCACTGGAAAACAAACATATTGCCAGTAGTGATAGATTGTCTTTAAAACCAACAGGGGAAAATAATAAACCGTTTCTTAAGCAAATGGAAGTAAGCTTCATCCACCCGGGTTCTGATTCTGGCTCACTTGGCCTTTCTCCGGAATCAAGCGCAAGCAAGGCACTCACCCTCGTCAGCCATGTACTTCACCTGCGCAGGTCAAAGTATGTCTTTCCCTTGTGACGGATGGCACTGCGGTGCAGTACTCACTTCCCAAGTTAATTGAGCCAAAACAAGTTCCAACTTGCTATTTGCCACTAAAACTGTATGCCCAAAAAGTTTAAAGGACAAACAATCAGGAAGTAAGAGTGTCAGATGCAACAAAGGTCTGCATACGCAAGCCGTCGGCTTTATCATTTCCGGTTTATCCGCTGAGACTGCCGACAGCGTGAAACCCACACCCATAAAATGCGACCCCTTTCAGGGTTCTCGAAGCAACACATAATTGATTTCCACTCTCCCTTGATGCTCCCCACTTGCTTCCACCGCTGCGTATCTGGGTGTCAGCCGAATTGACACTCCTATTGCGGAAATGAAGCAATCGAGCTGCACACCAACAGGAGAGTCTCCACCTTGCAATTGAATGCTACAATTCACAGTGACTGGAAGTCATGCTGGCCCCATACTAATCAACCCCAGTTTGTTCAGAAGGGGGGTGTCGTAGGAGGAAACAAACCACTTTTGGAGGGCCCCCCCACCCAATTAACTGGATGGTTCATGAAAATATGGCATCAACATTCATGAAGCGGAATCCCCAAGGACCTTCACATACCTTCACCATGAAAAAGCAGGGTACCTTCCCCAGTGAGCTCGTGGCTTTTTTTACAGCTCCGTGTCTCACGGCCACTTCTCACGGCTTCCCCCGGCTCGGATCGATCCGGATCGATTTCCGCTCGCCGCTCGCCTCCGTCTTGCCGTCGTTCAAGTCGTTGAGCTCGAAGGCGACGTCCCGCAGGATGTCCTTGCCCTCCGCGTTGGTGGCCTTCTGCTGCACCTGGCGAAGCAGCAGAAGAAAAGCCAGGTCGCCAGGTTCGTGCTCATGGTCCGCTTAGGGATCAAGGCATGAATGTATGCGTCTTTCTTTTCAACCCCTGCTATGAAGCCCTAGTTTATGGGCTAATTCACTGTTTGTTCTGGCTGTATTCGGGGAAATCAGCCCCCAAAGGGTCCAAAATCACCATGGGCTCATAGATGGACCCCTTTGAAGGGAAGTACATCCTTGGGCCTTGGGCCCATGACTCCCGGCTGAAAGAAAGAGACGGCTCTCAAACATGAGTCTTGCGAGTTCCCTCAGCTGGAGAACTCACTCACGCATGGCCCCAAAAGAATATGAGCCACACTCACAACCCGGTATTTAAATGGTGAACCCAGAACCATGAAAAGAATTAAGAAGGCGTCGGAAGCTTTTTACTTAACCTTCATCTATCCGGGTTTTGATTGTGGCTCCTATGTTGACTCAACTCATCCAGGAAGGCAACACCACCGCAGCACCCTGCGAAACCACAGTCAACCCCACGCAGGGAGCAATCTATCCATATCCACGAAAGCTTGGGGAATCTTTGCATGAAAAACATCGCCAACCTTGGGTCCCTGGCCCAACAAAACGAGCCAAAGCTCAGCTTCGGTTCCTTGCTGTGAACAGGTCGCTCTCATGCGTAGAGCTCCGGAAGCTCGGAAAGGTGCGTTGCCAGAAGCTCAGCACGCTGTTTCGGTGTCCAAAGTGAGTTGACTTTAGACCTTTGGTTTCCAGTTGGCCCAGGCGTCTTGGCTCTGAAGCTCGCTGGCTGTAAGGCCATCCTTCCGAAATCCTTGGGTTGTAATATGGTTCTGGGCTGTTGGATGAGCATTGGCCACGTTGAGTGTTGAACAACACCAGTTGCTTCTTCGCCAGCGACCAAATCCAAGTGAACCATACAGTGGATGCTAATGTCACATGAACTCAACCGGGCCTCCTTGGTTTACCATCAAAGTCATCCTCAGAAGTCTAAGAGGCAAGCAGCCCCAGTCGGTGACTTGAAACGCCCCAGAAACAGCCAAATTAAAATAACCCCAGTCAAACCACCCTACCCAAGGTCCTCCAGTAGAGAGGTTAGAATAAGGGTACCAACTTTCTTCTGTCGTCTATTTTAGTAGGGGAACCCTCCCCCAAAAAGGGTAAACGGGCACTACTGGTAGACCTAGTACCCCAGTGAAAGCATCTCTCAACTTCCAACAAACGTATCGCCCAGGCACCGTGACGAGGAATTCGTCGCGCCCGGATTTTCGATTCTCCCCAAGCTGGTTTCTGGCCTTGCACGGGGCTCCAGCCGACCGAAGGAGGAGTGGGCCGAGAACCGTTTTGAGCATGCTCAACCAAAGGATCCATGTACCCTGGAGTTCAGCTACCACCTTAAAAACAATGGTTGGGGGGGTTCATACAACCACCATAATTTACCTAAGGATTGTCATCATCCAAATTTGGTCAACCATTCTTTCGTTGAACCATAGGGTGTGGATTCTATTCAGGCACGTTGGCCCTTACAGGACCGGCTCACCAAAATAGGCACTTGGATCAGAAAATGTGCTTGAGCCGCTTAGTTTTCCAAGGAATGTATAAGGCGTTGGTATGTGCCCCAAAACGATGTCACCCCCAAAGTAGCACATGAGGAATTTGAGATTTTCTTTAGATCCGTTTAAACCACTCTTGCCGAGCCAAACCACCCTTCTGAGGTCCGCACCAGGCGTCTTTGGCAAGCGAAAACACGATGACCATCGAAAGAAACACATAGCTGTGGGTCAAAACCAATAGAATCACATTTGGGTGTAGGGGCTAACCACCCATTTTAGTTGAAATTTGAGTGGGGATTGGGATGTTCACTGGGGGTGCGATTTGGATTTTTACCCATGGCCACATGAAAGGCCAAACACACTTTGGCACTTCACGCAGGCGCTGCCTTTGGCACTCAGGCGGCTGACTATTGCAATCAACAAGGCCTGAGGAAGGATCGGATCGCAGCCTCTGCTCGAATGAAAGCCAGGCTTCCCCGCGTTGATCATGAAGCGGGTCTCCGCATTGGCTTGCTGCTCCTGGAACAAAACATAGGCTCTTGATAAAAGGCAAAGCAGCATCAACTACGATCGTCCAACAATCATGGAAGTAAGCAGGAAGTGTGTTCAATCATAGGCAAAATGACCAGAGGCAAAGGGAGCAGGTGGAACGGAGCAGGCGGAAGGTGGAAGGAAGCAATCACCTTTGCCTATGGCCATTTTCAGGCACATCCAGGCAATCATGAGATGGATTTGGCAAATTCGTGGCTTCTTTTGGAATATGAAAGCAATCCTGTGCATCCCGAAAACGACCTCTAGGCATCTAGTTGGTGGTCGTGCAAAGGATGCCTCACCATCAGAAAAGGACATATGTATCTATGTGTATATATAATATGACTTGGCCACTTACTTGGCCACTTTGGGGACAGTCAAAACCCTCTGACGCATTTATCTCTCCCCGTGGCCCGGTCGCTCCTGCAAAATGCCAGGGCCGAAGCACAAGGACTTCTCCGCGATGGAGTTCAGGAAGTAGGAGTACGACCTCAGCGAAAAAAGGAAAGACACAAAACGGAGAAAAAACAACACACAAAAAACAAGGCCGTGGCGCAAAAATAGGGATCGGCTGGTCTAAAATGGGTTGCGCTGGGGAAAAAGGACCACCTGCGTAACCCTCGGTTTTGAATTTTGAGCCACACCCAAATACAAATGGGTTCCATCGAACCAAACCTTCGTGGATAAATTAAAGTTTGAAATAATTTAGCCCTGATTGCACGAGCGTATGACTGAAAGATGGAAATCAAACGCAAAGGCGCAAACAATCTCAAAGGAAATGTTCCACGCAAAAGGTTGTCCAGCGTTCCATGGACCCCTCCCTCCCCCAAACAAAAAAGGAGAAAGAGGTCCTGTCATGGAATTAATTGGCTTGTCCTTCATTTGTTCTTGCCCGGGATTACAACTGATGTGTGATTTGGCGGTGCAGCAAAAGGTGTCAAACGTGTGTGGATGAGGGTCACACAAATTACCTTTAGCAATGAAACAAGTCTCTCATGGCCATGTTGGTTGTGTAACTAGCCAGGGCTCCCTTCATAGGAACTCCTGATCCCCGCCCAAAGAATCTAACTGTTTGGGGCTTCAATGGAAAATCCGATGCTTTAAAGACCTAGCATTCAAACATGGCTGCACTTGCAAGCTTGGGAGGCTCTTTCCGGGCTTCGTTCGCCAAGCCACGCAATGGTGGTGGTGAAATCCCTAGGCCCAATCTGCACTTTCACCTGGCGAAGCCGCGCGGTCAACTCCTCGAATTCGAGCAGAAAGGCTTCGGTGAAAAGGAGAAACTAGTGCGTATGTGTCGTATGTGGGGGGGGGGGGGAACAGTTTGGTTTAACGCAAAAGGGCTATCAGTAGAAAAAGACAATTTTATACCATCCACGAAGCTGTGCACGAAACCCTCAAAAACACTTTCACCAAGACTCTCTCCTTGGCCCACTTGTTGCTTCGCACAAGTCGAAAGTTCGAAAACAAATACGCCCCTGAGAGCTCATGAAAAAGAGCAGTAATTTCTACTGAGTTGTACCCATCCCAAGAGGCGCTAAGCACGAGGTCAATGACAATAGTGGTCGGGAGAATCTGTCAAGATGTGCCTGTGATCCCAGTGATGTCGACAGCTAAGGTTCAGCTCTGTCAGCGGCGCGCATCCTTTTCAGTGATCCAAGTTGGATGCTAGAGCACTGCCAACCCATCTAGTTGCCAACAAGGAACACCACCGAGTGGGTTTGGTTTATCTCTTCCCCCATTTTTCCCAACTGTGAATGGCCCCAGTTTCACAACTTGATAGGAATCACCAGCGATCAGCTCATAATCCCTTCACCCTGACAATGAAAGTCCCTCGCAACTTTTGGAGCCAGGAACCCCCGGCGTATTTGGCTTCTTTGAGGGGAACCGGGGGCCTATGTTCAAACCAGTCAGGGGCACCGGACTGCCTACAGGACCCAACTGACAACTCGGAAAAAATGTCCCATTGCACACTTGAGTCGATTCCGAGCAAAAAACAACCATCTGAAAGGAAAGCATCAAAGGAAACATCTTTGCTTAATTCAGTTCGTTGAAAAACCAAAGGAAACTAACCATCTGCAACAAAAGAAAGCTGCCAGCCACGACTCCACGACTTCCCGGCAGCCCCTTTTAGAGACGAGCGCATGCCTACCCAGGTCTCATTTGCCAGAGCCAAAACGCGGCAAGTGAGCTTTACAGAAACAAAATGTATGGACCATGCCGCAACCAAGATCAGTCGCACTAGCTGTCTGTTTGGATCAACTCACAACTGGCAAATGGTTCACACCAAACTAAAACCAGTCTACCCCCTGTCCATGAATCGTGAAAGACATTTGGTCAAGACTGCCCTCCTGAACAGACCCTTCCTGTGAACTTGAGTTGCCAGACCAGACTGAAACTGGTCTTACCCACTGGGAACCGTAGATTGGAAACTGAACCAGCAAGCTCAGGTTCTTTCTCATCCCAGAAGGTTTGATTTGCTTAATGCATGTCCAAAAGCTCAGGTGATATCCTACCCGTGGTGGACACCCGTTTGAGCTCGGGCGGTTATTAGGGTTGTGGGTCTGTCTTTTTTGAGGGTACCCCTTTTTGGTAGGCTTTATAGGGCAACTCAAAAACAAAAAAACATGCTAGGGGGTTCAAATCCTATAAAACACCATACTCGTCTCTCCTAGTTGGAGGTTTGGATGGTTTGGTGATGTTCCGGGGTAATTTCCCCTTTGCCCTCAAGAACCAGGGCTTCAAAACCAACTCCAAACCAATCAAAAGCACGAAAACAACCCTGACAAAGGGGAACCCGACCTCCATTTTGGTGCCCAAAAAAGTACAGCCTTTCCCAACCTGCGCAGGACGCCAAATCGAAGCAGACCCCACCGCCCCAGGGCCCTGGTCATCCGATGCGCTCGCCTCGCCTGGCACTCTTTGGGGCCAATGGTTCCGAGCACGCTGGGCGTGAGGCACTCGATGACCTGCGGTGCGCAAGGCTCGGCGAGGCTCGCTTTGCTTCCCCCCACTCCAAAGACCCGCCTTTTTTGGGTATTTGTTGAAAAAAAACCTGGTTTTCCAGGGTAAATACCTTCTTTAGTAGAGGGTTGACATGATAACCTAAACAAAGTGGGTATTGGGTGTATGGGTGGTTCCATAGGCTAGCCGAAAAGAAGTGGCTGGGCTGCCCGTTGTCAGATCCCCACTACATGTGACTAGCTTGTGGGTTAAATCGAAAGTACCGCTAACACTAAAAAGATCCAAAAAGCTTAGAAACCGGATGGATGGGAGCCATGAAGGTGGGGAGCAAGAAGAATTCGGTGGGTTCAACTTTTGGTGTCCCTGTAAATCAGCGGGGCCCCCAAAAAAATGGGGGGGGGGAGGGGGGAATTGGGTGTCCCTCGAAACCAGCCCCATTTCAGTGTACCCTCAAACAAAGACGCATTTCAGTGTACCTGGCCCATATTTTGTCCATGGTGGTTCTCCAGTTGGCCTCCTTTCGAACCAACCAGAAAAAACACCCTCAAAACCACACACCCAGCCTCTGTCCTGTGAGTGTGCGGGAAACCAAAGAAAACTCCAGCCCAGGTTCTTAGAACAAGGAGTGGCGCTGGGAAACCAAACAGTTTCCAAAACAAAGCCCATTTTACCCTCTTTTAAATCATGGAAGTGGAGTTTTGGGGTGGCTCCCCAAAAGGAAACTCGTCTTCCAAAACCCTCCGATCACCTTCCATGATGGAGGCTAGTTGATCCACCTTGCTCAAAGCCCTAAACCAAAAACCCATGACAATGATCTATTGACTGACTCCCAGTGCTTGAGGCAGCCTTGGGAAGCCCATCTGACAGCACTGCAAGCATATGGGTGGCTTCTCCTTTTTTGGAGGGCACCCCATGTTTGTGCCGTTTGAAAAGCAAGGCCAAGTGGTGCAAAGCTGGCAGATTCTGTCTCAAAATAGGGACCTCCCGAAAAGAAAACAAACACATGGTAGCTTAACTTTGGCTTGCTTTCATCCAAGTTAACAAACCAAGTGCGTCCATCCACAGTATGGATGGCATTTCTCTAAGAACTTGCTACCAGGTCGCCTCATCGTTGATCACGTTCCCCTGTGTGGTTGCAGCGAGCTTGCCGCTTGAAAATTCGATGACCACCTGGGATCAGGGCAGATCTGACAGGTTGCGCTCAATGCCGGGAAGGTCTGATCCTCACAAGACGACAACACAAAGATCTAGATGCCCCTTCCAGCACCCCCCAACTTCTGCTCTTTCCCATGTCCAAGATCCCAAGTACCGTCCAAAAGCAGTGGGTGTGCTGGTTATTAACCTCACTTTCCAACAACTGTGGAAGTGGAGGGGTTCAAAGCTGACCATCATCTTAAGGCTTCCTGCCGCACCATGGTGGGGAAGCTTTCAGCAAAACCACACGCGGTTCCTTTCTTCGAGATGCGACCACAACACCCGAACCTAACCTCCAATGCGAGTAAAACAACCAGGGTTCACCTGTTGAATTTGAGGTACTTGTTGCTTCAAACCCGCAAGAACAGAAGTAAAACCCTTCGGCAAAACGCAAACCTCTGCACAAGTTGCTTTCTAGCAGGGAACTTCCGGAAAAAATACAAAGAAACAGATGGATGGTTTCCTTTGGTTTCCCTTCCACAAAGGGGTCACCTATTTGGGTGCGTCTTTAAGGGACGTGTCCCTTTAAATCAAAACCAAAAGGGGTACCCTCAATACAGAATGACATTGACACACCCAGAAAAAGAAGAAAAACAAGCACAAATCCAGCGCTTTCTCTGTCCAAGGCGCCATGCCGTTGGTGGACTGAAAGCCTTCCCCGTAGATGGTGACCTTCATCTGGCCCGTGACAGGCCCCAAAGGCGGCTCCACCTGAGGCCGGCGGCGAGCTCAGTTGCGAGCTCGGACTGAACGAAGTTGGGACACCCGAGGACTGGGCTGGGTTAAAGGGACATGAACAGGAACGAGCTCGTTGTAAACAACGACATGGGACACCCCACAACAACTGGGCTGAGTTAAAGAGAAATGAAAAGCACATCCTGATTTGTCACTTTTTTTTGGGGGGGTACAACTCACTGTGTTTGTGTTTATAAAGCTTTGCACTGGCCTTGCGAAACCCCATTCTCATGCTTGTTTGCTTCTACCAGCAGGCCCAGCAGATTCAGCGCCGAAACCCCCCTTGTTCTTTGGAGGATGACGTTTTCAGCGAATAAAAGGGGGTACAAACTATTACTAAGGGACTTGGACCCTGACCTTTGCTTGTACCCAATCCATGTCTTGCGGTGCCCTGAAATCGAATCCTTGATACTGACGGGAAAGCGCCCCGTTTCAGAGAACTTTTCAGTGGAACAAGTTCAAAAAATCCACGAGGTTAACCAATCTGTGGTCAAAAGCATACCCATCATGTGCCGCGGTGACCTCCAGTGGCGGTTTCTCTGTTGGTTTCCCTTTCGAGAAGCTGGCACAGCTACCTTTCGCGCCTCAAAAGCTCAGTTGCCCAGTGGCGAGGGGAAAGAAAGGGCATCTGTTTGTTGGTTTGGTTGAGCTGAAACGGGAACCCTTCCCAAAAAGAAAGACAAAAAGGCACCACGGGGCAACCGGGAAAACGAGAACCACACCCATGCCCCACGTTGCTTCTGAATCCCCGGCCTTGGAGATGGCGTAGGGCGGCCCCACGATGGAGGACACGTTGATTTGCCAGACGTCGTCCAGCCACTTGTTGGCCCACCCCCCGAAGATTACCAAACGAGACTCCTTCGGGCAGCTCTCTTCCAGGCTCCCCGAAAAGAAAACTCCTTCGGGTCCTTGTCCCCCGAAAACACGCCAACATGACTCAGGTAATTGAATTCCACGAGGGAGTTAGATGCCGTTATCTGATCATCTTATGGTGGTTATATTGTCTGTTTCGTTACCTGACGGGGACCCGGTCCCTTTCAAGGGAAAATGGTCTTCCAGGTCCCCCCTGCCAGGTTCCACGTTAACTGGTGGGAAGGTAGAACAATTTGAAGCTGTCGCCTGAGTTGTTCTTCGCCTATTTTGAGGCCGGCGGTTCCCTCAAAGCAACTACCAATCCCCTTGCTCCAAAGACCAAAAGGACAAAAGGGAAGACATCCCTAAAAAAGCAACTGGTTTCTGTCCGTCTGGCATCATTCAACAAAGAGTTGGAACCTTGCAAACCAATTTGGACCTTGTGTTGCGGTCATCCTTCAGGACTTTTTAGAGCACCCCAGTCATATATTTCTGGCTTTTTCCAGCACTTGTGGCTTCATTTTAGAGGATCCCCCGGTCCATGTCTCAAACCATTCCCTACCAGCACCCAAAATTGGCTCATTACCTAAAATCAAGGGGTCATGGACCCAGTTTTAAGGGTCGTAAAGACTCTAAGTACTTGCGGGGTGCTAGGTACCAGGTACGGAGCACCAGCGACTTTTTTGGGTTTAACGCGACCCCACTGCCCCTCCTCCGGGTCGTAGCAAATGGCCGAGTGCTCGCGCGCCTGCGGCATGGGGTCGTCCGGCTTCATCTCCAGCGCTGGGTCACTCCAGCGCATGATCTCCTGGTGGGAAACAACGCTAGGGGTTGACTGGCTGTGCTCCTTCCAGACCATGTTGCTGGATTCCCTTAAAAACCCCAACCAAACAAAAACGGACCCTGCCAATCTCCTAGGGGTTGATTCCTTTTCCAGTCTTTTCAACCATCGTCCTTCTCTTTTCAAAAACCGGCCGCTTGAGAAGAAACCCTGGCAAGAATGGGGAAGCTTCCCCCAAAGCTTTCTGTGATCTGCATGTTTAATAGGGGTTCGATATAAGAAAAAGCAAAAACTTCAAAATGTGTCCGTTTCCCGTTGTTTAATAGGGGGTCCGAAGAAAAAACACTTCAAAATGTGTCCGTTTCCCGTTGAGTCAATTAAACTAGGTACAGGGATCACTGAACGTGTCGATCCGTTTTCGCCCACGTTTTCTGCCATTTGTGTTTTCGCCCCCCGGAAAAAATGAGCAAATATTTTCAGTAGTGAAATCGATTCCTTTTAAAACCAACAGGGGAACATAAAACATATTCTTAACCCAGAGGCGCCTGGGGCTTTCAATGGAAGCCCCGACCCCTCCATTGGACACCCCGGAGGTGGTTGGGGGTCTCAAAACCTGGCTGTTTGAGGGCCCTAAATGAATCGGGAGCCTCTGGGAAGCAAATGGAAGTTTTCACAGACACGTATCTCCTTCATGTCTAGCACGCCGATGCGGTTGTCGAAGACACCACCCGTGCGGCCCTGCGAGAAGGGCCATGTGGTTTGTCAGAACCCAGAATGGAAGTCATGATGTCATGCTTTCCTCAAGAATCCTTGTTATATATACATATATATATATATTATATATTCATGTATTTATCTATTCATTTATTTACTTACTTCTTTCTTTGGGGGGATCGGCCGAATTCCTTAACGGTTGTCGAATCCTTATTTCTGAATCCACAAGAAAGATTCAAGGAGTTGATGCCCATGCCTATGAAACCCAAGCAAAGGGGTGTGTTGACTATGGCATCGCGACGATTGAACTTGAGGCAAGCGAAAAACACCACATGTGTTTCTAGGTTGCAGGGAAAACCGAAGGGAGTTGCAGGTCTGAAGGATACTCTGGCAAGAAACAACGTGTTGCAGATTCAAGGCAAAAAGGCCCCAGCTGGACAAGCTTCTGTTGCTCTTTCCTCCGCTCATAAGCTTCATTCTGCCCACACACTCCATCCTGGTCATGTATGCCAAAATTCAACCCGCCTGGATGGTAAATGTGGGTGAACATGGCATTCATTGAGGGTTTGGGATGCGAAGAGATTGTAAGCGACCATCAAAATTCAGCTGTCCCCAACTGCCATCACATTTTGATGAAGCCCCCATGTCCCAATTGACAGTTGCGTTGCTCATGTGCGCCCTTGGAATTCCTCTCCCTCCTCTCCAGTCTCCATGCAGGGATTTTGTTTGGCCTACATTTGCCCACAGCCACTCAAGTACTCCAATGTGTGTCACCTACATGGAGCGTCTCTTGGCATTCCACGTGCTCTTCCGTACCGTATTTCTGAGTGCCGCAAAACCCTCACCTCCAAAAGCAACAAAAGGATGTGGCCGTTTTGGTTGAATTTGAAGGATGCTTTGACATGTTGGACAGGCTGGGAAGTGGTGCAAATTCCTACGGGCTACCAAGGCTTCCATATTTTTTGTGTCAAACTGTGGAAACCCTCAAGACACCGGTTGTTTCCATGACCTTTCAACCCGAAACCCGGACGCCCTCAACCAAACGACACGGCTTGCTCCTCTTTCGCAGATTCACACACCCCGAACCCCCCCCAGAGATGGAGCACTCGCCTAGGTTTCACTACGGAACTCGGGCTTCACCCTCAACCAAACCGAGCAGAGGAGGAGCAGGGTCCTGACAAACAATCTTCCCAACCCAAAAAGGGGACCCATAGAAGGGAGGGTAAATCCAAATGTTAGCAAGCAATTGCTGTTTTTGTTGCGCCCCCAGCAAAAAATAAACAAAAACATGAGACAAACCACAGACAAACGCACGACGCCGCACGTCTTCGTGTTCTCGCTTTGATTGCGCCTCGCCGTACACGTCTGCGGTGCCTCCAAAGACAAAGACACGCCAGGAGGGGATCGCCTGTGCGAAAAGCGCAAAGCCCGGTTGTCTCAAGATGGGGCAAGCACAAAATGGTGGGTTTCCTTTCGGCTTCCCTTGGGAACCTGAAAAGGGATACCCTCATGCCATTCGGGGCGGAAGACTGTGGTTCCTTCGGCCTTCTGTTGAAGGCAGCCCAACTCATGTCGGCGTTGAAACGAGCCAAACCGCAGCATTGTGCTGCGTTTGCTTTGCTCGAGAGTCGAGGAAACATGCACAGCGCGTCGCGAGCCGGTCAACAATGATTCAACAAAGCAGTGAATTACCCGCGATTGGGTCTGAAATCTTGCGGGGAAAACAGTACGCTCCAATGTGTGTTGCTTTTGTGACGCTTTGTATTTTTCAGAGTCGTCAACTCAGTTTTTCACAATACAACGGTACTGTGACACTTTGCATTTCTTGGAGTCGACCCAATTTGTTTTCACAGCCTCCAAGTTGCCATGGCAACCAGCAAGGCGTTGTGAACACACACTCGGGGTTAGCAATGTTGGCGAGAAGGTCGCCTTCTTGGTTGAGCCGTGGTGTCACCTCACTCAACGGAACTTGGGTATGGGAAAGCCTGTTGGCAAATTGTTGCGTGACCAACCGTAAATAGATGCTGGTGAATGTAGCTACTTCAGCTTGGGTCCCCAACCAACAATGAGGTGCGTGATTCTGCCCATGATGATTCAGTTTACCTTACGATGTAGCAAAACAACTGCAAAGAATCCCAAGTATCGTGAACTGTTCATTTCTCAATGTGGCCACAGGCTCCATGCAGGAAATAGTTGCCTTACAATTGACCACAGTTGCCACTAAAATTATCCAAAGGTGTGTACATATCACCTGCATGGCGCGCAGGGATGGTACATCCATGCAGACAACACAAACGCCCGTCGGGTCGGCCACCCAAGGTTGGGCGTCAATGAATTCAACAATAACAATTGTTTGGCACCATTTTCTGTTCGTGTCCCACTGGCAGGCTGGCTGGCATGTATGGTTCCACATCGTTTTCAACGTTTAAGGCCAAGAGCCTATTTGTCATAGGTGGGCTGTTGAAAAAGTAGATGGGTGTCCCTAGCAACTGGACGGCATACATTCCCAATGTTGGCCCCATTTTAATCAACCCTAGTTTATTCATAGGGGGGTGGGGGCCCCTCCAAAAATGGTCTGATTCCCAACATTTCACCCAGAATCGGACACCCCCTATTAATAAACTGGTTTGTTGATGAATATTGGTTCCGCAAACCCCTTTGGCTTCCTTTCAGGGAATCCCTCAACTCCAAATCCAAAAATCGGTCTCGGTGATTCCCTACTGACCAGCAAGTTTAAGGCCAAGAGCAACCCATCTATTGTTACCCAAACTAACCTAAAAAGGACCCCCTCCGCTGGTTCTGTCATCTATTGACCAACCTCAGCGATCAAAAGGACACCCAGATCGCCATTGTGGTTCTTGACTTCTTCTCGTGGCTGACCTCCGCGATTGTTTCTGAACCCACTAAAAAAACCTAGGTCCTCCACTAGAGATGCTAGAATGAGGGTACCCTTTTTTCTGTAGTCTAAACTAGCAGGGGGACCCTCGCCACCAAAACAGGGAAGAGAAAGGGGCACCTAGCTGGGGGACCTAGCAACGATTGTCTAGGGGTTGATAGCCCGTGCTCCTTCAGACCATGTTGGTGGATTCCCTTCAAAACCCTAACCAAACAAAAACGCAAGAAAACTGCCAATCAATCGGAACCCACGCAAAAAAAAGGACCCACCCTGGAGCGACCCTCGTCACCTCTGCCTGCCTCCACTAGCTGCAAAGAGCAGTTCCAGCGCGGCACGCCCCAGGAGAGGTCCACGTCCGACCAGTCCTCAGGTCAAGGACCGGGTGCTCGGCGGGAAGAACCTGCTTGGTGGGTTTGGAGGTGCTGCTTGCAATGCTTTTGGGTTGGTGTTCTGTTTTTGGCTAGTTTGGATTTTGTGGATTTTGCTTGAATTTTGGCAAAAATGAACTTGCAATGTTTGGGCTCGAGCTGTTTTTGAGGCTCGGTACCGCTTGTGAGAGTGGTCTTGATGAGAATCCCAGGAAAAAACTTTTGTGCGGTCGCCCCATTTGAGACATACCCACTTGAGTTTGAAAGCGCTTCTTGCGTCTCGTAGGTGCAGGAAATTCGGAGCTGTGCAACCTCACTGGATTTGGAAACATGACACATATAAAGACCAAACCAGAGTGCTGAAGAGGACCCAATTTCTGGGGTGGGTGGGAACTCTCCCTCATGCTGATTGCCCACCTGTCCCATGGGTCTGTCTTTGAGGGTACCAGTTGTTGGTTGCAAAGGGAAACCAAGAAAACACCGAAACTCATTTTGGGGGGTCCCCTAAAAAAAAGACACCCCCACATGAACCGGACAGTCCCTCCAAAAGCAGTGGCTCACTTCATTGAGTCGCTGAGATAATCGTGCTCACAGTGCCGTAAAACGATTCGTGAACAATGGGATGGGGTTTTAGCGGATTTTTGCCTTGCCTTGTTCTCTATGTCCAGCATGAAGAGATCATTGAACTGCTGCTCGTTGTTCCAGCCTCCGAAAATGTAGACGCAGCCTCAGTCAGGCACGAGAGCAACACACCTAGGTCTGGTAAAATCGCTGGCCCTGGCAAATGGAATAAAGCCACTCTAAAGCACTGCCATTTATTGCTAACCAAACTAACCCCAAAAGGACACCTATGACCACAACGCGATGGCTGAAGCTATCTCGGTCCTTTCAGCTACACTGACTCGTGACCTTTAGCACCCTGCGGGTGCTAAACATGTGCAGCTCCTAAAGTTCGGGACCCTCCCACAAATCGAGGATGCTCGATTCAGCGAAAGGCTGTTCACGAGGCAAGAGCTTGAACGTAGCCTATAACATTGCAACATTGCCATACACTTTGGTGGACATCATGGTGGGGGTTCATGTCCACCAACCACTTTTTGAGGCTTTTCCCCAAACTTCTTAGCCATCTCAACTCTTCTCAAAACGGCGAAATGACAGTTTGCAGGTACACACCCAAGGCTGGCAAAGGGTCCGGCTAAGCTATAACCGAAGCTGTTTTTGCAAGAGGACACCTCCCGGGCAGTGATGATGGGGCACTAACCCCAACCGCATCATCGGACACATCTGCAAGTTCTACGCATTTTACCACAAAACTTGAACCAAGGGGACCTACATCCTGGCTTTTGCCTCAGTTGGCTACGTGAGCTCGCCAAGAAATAAAATGTGTGCCTGTGCCTGTGTCCGTGTGCGTGCTAGGTAGCCATTTTCAAGCGGCCTCAAAGGCACGCCACAAAGAACACCACCATGCTTGCAAAACCCCCATGTCACATCTTCGGCCCGCTGTACACAAAAACTAACATGTTCTCACCGAGCACCCCCCCGACTACAGCTTTTTCGGACAGTTGGGATGTTGGGCATGGTGGAATTCACCATGGCTCTTGGCTGCTGGACCCTGCTCCATTCTTGGCTTCCATTTGCTTGAGCCCCTGCAAAAAAGGAAGAAAACAACAACAACATGTGTTCAACAGTGACAAATTCCCTTCAGACCCAAGAGGACAAACTAATAGTGATAATAACAATAAGAATAATCATAATAACAACAACAATAATAATGATAAAAACATGGGTCTACCCATTTAGGAGGCCCAACGACGCGCAGCATCGTTGGCCGCATCCAAGGGGCCGTCCTTGGCGAAGGCTTGGTGCCCCGAACGCGGCGGCGGGGGATTGCCGTGGCACTGAAGCTCCGTCCATCGCCTGCTGCTCGAACTGGTCGAAACGGTTGGCCGGGTGGGGTGGGTGTCGCCCCGCTGCTGCACAACGAGGCCTCTGCAAAAAGGTAGCTGGTTGTGCCTCCAATGGAAAATCCTCTTCCACCAAGAAAGTCAGAGAAAGTGTGTTCTATGTTTTTCTTGGCCGGTTGCTCAAACCTTGCTGGTGCGATAGGCAGGGAATGAGGTGGAATGAGCCGTTTTGGGATTCGCTAAGAATGGAAACCACCAGTTAGTTTATAAGGGTCATTTCCATTTCTCATTCCCTGCTGAGCACCAGCAAGTAACGACCCCTCTGGAAAAGTGAGTTTCACTTATTGTGGCTCAATTCGGAAAATCCAAACTGTTTCAACCTAAAAGTTAGAGTCCAAACAAATTTTCCCAGATAGCCATCAAGGTGGTCTATCCGCTTTCCAGAAGCTCAAGCGGACAAGGGGATTTGTTTCAGAGACTTTGTCTGCCAAAAACCTTCGTGACCTCCATTGTGGAGAAGAATCACGACAGCAAAACGGCCTGGAAACCCAAAGGTAAAGTTTGGGAAGCTTGACGGGAAGCTTGACTCAATACTGACCAACACAGGAAAACCAATGACAAATAAGTGCGGGTCAAAGCCCCATCCTGGGGCATTGAAGGTACAAGTCTGAGACAGAGCATGAACATCGTGAACCTAAGGTGGGCTTTTCGGCAGAGCCTATAGCTAAAGCAAACGCCAAAGAAGCCATGTTGAGACCTGCGCATGCTATATGATTAATCAGATCATTCAACTGGAAGAGTTCTGGGATCATGAAACCCTGGTTCGCATAGCCAGTTTCATGTTGGTTTCACTTTGCGTGGACCAAGGGTGGCACGTGCCATCCATCCCCGAAAGGCAGCAAAGCTAGAAGGCGATCCTACAGTCCTTGTTCATGGCTTGGTTTGGTGGTTTTGACCTTAAAAGGTACCTTCCCCGTTTGGTTTCTCCTCTTTAGAAAAAACGATCCGGGCCGGACCCTTGTTTAGGCGTTCTTTTAGCCAGTGTGAACAAATACAGCCTCATCCTGGCTTGCCTTTACAGGGACCTTCAACAACCTCTTGCTGTCTTTCGTTTGAAGGGGGCCAGACCTCAGCTGTCTAAACACGCCACCAAACCTCCAAACGTAACTGGCCCCTGTTCCGACTCTGTTCCAAATTCCGTCTACTCTAAAATACAACGTATGGGTGTGTCTTTGTTGGGGGACCCCCCCAAAAAGATGATTTTCCTGTTGGTTTCCTGACACAACCAACAAAAAAGAGGCTCCCCCAAAAATGACACACCCGCATGTCTGGAGGAGACCAATTGTAAACCGATGCAGATCGACAAGGCGCTGGTTGTCCAAGTTCAGCACCCAGGTGTCGTTGAAAGGTCGGCGCTGATAGCCCACGCCTGGCAAATTTGCCCAAACACTCGATCCATAATTTCCCAGATGTTCCCTCCAATGGCTGAACTGCTGTATGTATATATATAATATATAATATATAATATATACATATATATATATATATACTTTTCTATTATTTTTGTTCGTTCATTTATTTGCCTACATGGATTGTGTGCGGCAGTATTGCTGCGCCGCGGGTTGGAAGTTTCTGAACGAAAACAGGCATGGGCCTGAACAACTGTTGTTGCCCAACTCTGAGAATCCAAGTACCTATGTGCATTTTTAGGGGACGTCAACCAAAGGAGTCGACCAAGGACCTGCTCTTTGTTTGTTCGCGGCCCAGGAGTGTAAAGGGAGCTGTAAATCAAATCAAAGTGTAATTACCGAACGCCCTTGGCAGGAGTTTCCCTCAAACACAATTTGTCCGTCTGCTTCCATCTTTTTGCGAAGGCACAAGTGTAATTGCTTTACCCAAGACCCAGGTTGCCGTTCAGGTCGACTCCATGAGACGTGCCAAGTAGCCATGAGGAATCGATTCAACTTCGGGGGAGATCGGATTTCCGCAAGACAAACGCTTCCCCCCCCGTTTCTTTTTTGGCAAGGACCCTGAAAAAACAAACACTGCGGGTCCTGGCTTTCTGAGTTGATAGGGATCGCCCAAAGGCCTGCTAGGTGAAAGAACCATCCAGGACAAATGCTTTAAGTTCAGCCTCATCTCTAAGGGGTGATCCCCAATCTTGATCCCTTATCCGTTTCTTGGCATTGCGAGGGAAATCACTAGCATGGAGGGATGAAGGATTGATGTTGAAAGAACGCTCTCTATTTCTGGTTCATATTGAACCCACCCCTCACTTGTTCAAGCCACTTGGAAGAAACATACAATAGGCATAGATTCCCTTCAAACTCAACAGGGGGAAAAACACAAAACAAATTCGTCCTTCTTCAGCAACTGGAAGACCTATCATAGTTTCGGAGACCAACCAAACATCGGCTGCAGTTGGCCCCCACACCCAAAAAAAACAAATACGTGCCGCTCGTCTCGTGTCGGGTCGTTTCGAGCATAGGCGTCCTTTTCGGGGAAATAGATGGGTTTCCCTGGTAGATGAGAAAAACACCACCAGGTAAAATGCAAGAATCGCCAAACCTATTTTTCGGCCAACACCACCAAAAAGGACACCTGAGCACCGCTCGTCTCGTTTCGAGGATGTGTCGAACTTTCGAACATCGCCTCCGTGTCCGCCGAAGAGCACCACGGAGTTCTCGTGGAGGCTGGTGGTGTGGTTGGACCGCGGCGGCGGCGCGTTGGGATCCGCCGCCTCAGGGTGCTTTTCGCCGCGCGGAGCGGACGGAGGTGGTTTTTCGCGGCGAAACAAAACACACAAAAACACGCACAACCGGCTCGGTGGGTGAAGAGTTGGCGGACTTTTTGATGTTTTTCTGGTTTGTGGGGAAGATTCCCAAAGTGAACCGTAAGCTACTCAGTGTTGATTGAGCCCGTAGGGAACCCAGTGGATCCATTAGTAGACAGCAAAAGCAAACCCACCCTTTCAAAATCGAAAGGGAGACACACCAGCTACCCACGATCAGGGCTGGAAGCTGGGATCCACGGGCGAACCCAGGATCCGGTCCCGAACCTCTTGCTGCAACGGGTGTCTCAAAACCAGCGACTTTGCAGCCCCAAGATCCATCCTGGGCTGTCCTCAGATCCCCCGCTAAAAGTTTAACCTTTAGTGGGTCAAATGGAAACCCCCACTAAACGCGAAAAAGCTGAGAAGCGAAGGAACCGGATGGCTGGGAGCCACCAAGCATCAGGATCCTTCGGGTGGCTAAGATGACTTACCCAAATGGGGATGACTCACTCAAATGGGGATGACTCACACAAAGCAAGGGAATGCATTGTGCCAAATACTGAACCCTGGTGCAATGGGCTTGGAGCCGTCTTCGTTTCCAGGGAAGGTGAGATAAGGAAGGCACGACCGCGCGTTTGCCTACTCAGTGGTGTCCCAGTTTGCCGGCATTTCTCTTGTTGTTGAAGGGTGGCCCCGTTGGTTGCTAAACTGTACCAGGCGCATGATCATGATGCAATTTGATTTGACAGTAACCCTGTTCCAATGATTTAGGCCCTTGAGGGAAGTTCTCACTGGGCTCTGGGCTCCCCCTAGCTCATCGGCCGATTTTTCCCCCGTTGCTTGCGGCTTTCTGGGAAATCCGCCCATGGCCATGGGTTCACAGGTCCAAACCCAAGCGACCAAAGTGCCGGAGCTCGGAGGCTCTGAGGCTCTGAGGTCCCTGGCGCTGCCGTCGTCCCGCTGGCCCTGGGACACCATGGCCACCAACTCCTCGTGGAACTGCTCCTCGCTGGTGGTCATGATGTTCCTTCCGTCCGACCGGAGCGGGAGGATCCCGACCGCGGGAGAAGGATCCAGGATGGATGTTGGTCGGGGGAGAGGGATCTTAGGATGAGGCCCTGTGGATGGAAAGGGCGAGGGACACTAACCCGGATGAAACCCTATGAATAAGGGGAGAAACCACCTACCAGGACTACCAACTGGTGCGGATGCGCAGCATAGAACGGGTTCCGAAAAACGGGCACCGATCGCTTTTGCCGAAGCCCGATGTGTGTAGAATCCGATCTTGGCACCCATTTGTTCAAATCACCCAGACTAAAGGGACTTAGTGTTCGTCTCATCTTTCTAGAGCTTATCACTTGGAGCGACAAACAGAAAAAGAAAAACAACAAGAACGGACTTGAAACCAGGGCCAGGGGGACCCTGTTTCTTCCAAACCTCTCAGAAACCAAAAGGTTGGAGGTCAAAAACAGGTTTGAGGTTTTTGGGTTGGAGAACCTTTCCATGGAACCGGGAAGCGTGGCCTCTGGCTATGGTTACAATTCACAACCCCTAAGAACATCCAACCTGCTTTCGGCAGTCTTTTAAGTCTGTTGCTGAACCGGTCACGCTTGTCGTGCAAGATATGTATATATATATAATAGGATAAGATATATTCCATGAAAGTGCACAGACATATCTTTGTATATAGGCCCGAGGTTGCAAAACTAGAGACTCACGCTCACGCCACTGCGATCCATCCGTGGGGTTAAACCACTCTGTTGGCGAAACCACCGCGGTGGATGGCTCCAAAGCGAACCGCCCCGTGCCAAGTTTTGGTCGCTGGGTGTCAATGGCGCTTCAGCTCCTAGCAGTTGCTTCTCTCCGGCACATGGAACCACAGGTGGCTCTGAGAGACAGATTGGATTTGATTGGCTGTGGATTTCATTTTCCAATGAGCATCTGACTATGCCAATGACACCAAGTATTTGGGGGGTTTGATCACATGGCATGACCATTGGGCAACACCACTAATACCACCAAGAAGAGAAATCCCCCACACACGCACACAAAATGGACAAAGTTGCCCATGGACATTTGTGGAGGAATATTGATCAGAACCCATACACCCGGAGACACGGTGCGTGGAACAGCACTGCAGCTTACGCTGACTGCATCCGAGCGGCCCAGCCGGGTTGGGCGCATTTGCCTGGCCAAGAGCTTGCGACGTCGTTGGCGAGTCGCGAGCCGGTGGTCTTCCGCTCGGAAACGGGAAGCAAGCTAACTGTTTCAAGAGAGCAATACGGCCATGGGTCAAAAGCCAAATCGTACCCCCAGTGAACATCCCAATGCCCACAAAAACAAACTAAAACGGGTGCATTGCTTTTGACCCACAGCCATATAATGTCAACGTTGGATAAATCCGGAGGACCGTGCTAGCCGGGGTGGCTCCCTTTTGGCAAGCAAACGATCGAGGGTTTGGGAGTAGTAGGGTGTCCCAGAGTTTAACCGCCAACCAATCAACCAACCACAACATCAACACCAACACAATGGGCCATACGACATAAATGTACAAAGTCATCTTCTACCTCTCGCAAATGCTATGGTGGGAGGAGGAACATCTTGCGCTTCTTTGTGCCATTAGCAATTAGGCCAAGTTCTGAGTGGGTTGGCCAACACAAGTCTAAACTTGTTGTCCAACAACTCAAGAAGCGGGTGAATGTGCTCAATTTGCTTTTGACGAGATGTTGGTCAAGGAGCAGTTGGTCAAGCGTTGGCCGTGTTGCATTCCGCTTCCCACAAGGGTACCGTGACTTTCAGCTTCCCCCGAAATGGCAGTTTGCAGCACGGTGGCTTGGAGATCACGGGATGGCTTCCCATTTACATTCTGCGAGAACTCCCCACAAATCCAAACCAACTGAGACTTGATTCAGAATCACTCGTCGCCGCTCCGCCGAGGATGACCTGCATCGATAGATCTCGTAGATCTACTATAACACGTATTCATCGCGCAAGTAAAGCGTTGGTAAGTCCACGCAATGAAAGCGTAGCGATAGCAAATGGGCATGCAATTGTTGAGGCTACCCCTTTGAGGTGGTTGTTCAAGGGAAAAGCCGTTCTTGGAGGTCCACTAATCAGAACCCAAAGTGCATCTCAGAGTATTTGTTTGAGCTTATCCAGCCTTCCTTGCATAAACCGCCAGCAATTGCTTTTTTTTGATTCACCTTTCATGCCCATGTCCCCTAAAATACAGGGCGGCCCCTGAAAAAGGCATCCCACTACACTTGATGTTCACGATGGGTTAATCCAAAGATCCGATCAGCAAAAGGCTCGAATTGACCCAAAAACCAACCGTAACCGTTTACCGATGTTTAACCCACATGTGTTTTGGTGATCTTTATAGGAACGGCTCATTGAAGACATGGAACCCAACCAAATCTCCTTTTGGGCAATGGACGCACTTGGTTGATTTATATTAGGATTCCTAATCCTAATCCGTACTGGACACCACTACAACAAGGGAAGCCACCACTCTGAGTGCATGTCACAAGGGAATTGTTCCATCTACCTCCCCCCCTGTGCTCTTTAGGGAAACCACTGCCACATGGCATGAGGGCTTGGGCTTGCTTTTGAACAGCCAAGGTTGGGAGTTTCTCAAAATGCTGGACCCCCTTGTGGTTGGAATTTCAAGGTCTGCGAAAGGAAACTGATCTCCATGCTAAGGGGCCAATTCCTATTTTGGTCCCCCCCCCAACAGCCACCACCGCGCCAATCATCATCCCCACCTGCAACCTACCACCACCCAATTTTACGGGGGCCAAACAATTTCAATAAACAACTCAACTCCAAGCTTGAGAAAAAGAAAACATACCCTGAAAAAAGGCCGAGGCCCAAACTCCTCGGGGGTGCTGGAACCTGTAGACTTCATTTCCAGCTCGGATTTTGACAGCGAACCGCCCCCGCCCCCCCCCGCCGCGCCCCAGGAATCCTGCCTTGCGCATCTTCATGGTGCTGCCTCCAGCACCTCCACGGCCCGTTCCGCTGAGCCTAAGCCGAAGTTCGAGATGGCTCCCTCGTTTTCCGTTTTTTTTGGGTGGCACCAAAAGGAAGACCGTCTTTTGTGGTGGTACCGCCTGGTGTTTTTTTGGGTTTAAAGGGAAACGAAAGGAAAGCGTTTGGCCAGTTTGGGGGGTCCAAGTCTTAAAAATAGACAGACCCACATGTGCTCTTCTTCGGGGTATCGCATGCTTGTTTGGTGGTTTTACAAGCAAACCAAAAGGAAAACCAACATCGATTTTGGGGGGTCCCTTCAAAAGTCAAACCACCCTCAAATGCTACACTTCTCTATCTAGAGGCGCGTGGAGGAGATCTCGGGTAAATAGTAACATTGCCAATACGTGTAGCAGGGTTCCCTAAAGGATACATTCAAGACATGGGTGTGTCGTTGTTTTCCGCTTATCCTTTTTTGGTGGTGTGAAAGGGAGTGAGAAGACCGAACTCCTTTGTGGGAGGTTCCTAAAAGACACATCTACATAGAACCACCTCAAAAGTGCTTGGTGGACATTTCCCAAAAAGAATGCTAATTTTAAAGGAACTCCATTTTGTGATGATTATCATTATACTGCTATTTGCGACCATGTTGGGAACATATCCTACGGTTGCCAAAGAACCCCAGCGGAAAACTGCAGAAAGTGGACCCAAATAGGCTCTATTCGGAGTATTTCGTTTGTCTTTTTATGAGGGTACCCTGTTACTTGGTTTAAAGCAAATCCAAAGACAACCATGTTATTTGAGGTACTCTCAAAACATACAGACCCATACGGCGCTGTTAGTCTTATTGGGGGGTTGGGGGTAAATGAGCGTGTCATTTGTTGAGGGTCCCAGTAGACCCGGTGGATGCATTTACCCCGCGCTTGCTTGCTTGCTTCACTGGCTTCTCACGGCGCATTGTGCACGGCAATCCAGTGACCTGTATAGTGTGTAGCCAAGGGAATTTCCAGGAGTGTCTGGGTGAATTATAATATTTCACCAACCTGAAATTTGGTTGTTGGGGGGCTATTCCCACATAAACCACCATTTGGGGTGAGGTCGTGTGAGGTCGTTGTAATTCACCCAGATGGTGTGTAACCAAGGGAACCACCGGGAAAAAAAAACAGATGTGGCACTTGCACTGGGGTCCACTGGGACAAGGTGTGGATCATGCAAAAACGTCAAATGTGGGGACTCTCAGTTCCCCAAAGCACCCGGAAATGAAAGGTCAACCTTAAGACAAAAAATGGACCCAAGAGGGAAACCCAAAGGTCGCCTGTTGGCAAGTGAGGATTTGAACAGTCACGGGCTATTTTAGCACCCAGAACCTGCCATAGAGTCACTGTCTAGTGGCACGACCAACGTCCAACTATATAGACAGCCCACTCACCTTTGTGCAGAACGGAAGAGTCGGGCAGTGGAGAAACCATTTGGAGGCTCCTACTTGAGAAACGAGCGACAGAAGTTTAACCTCAAGTACCAGGTAAATCAATGGCATATCTTCTTCAAGTGTCTCCCGCAATTCTACTTTTGAACAGCCGAGTGACCTAAAAATTAGATAGTCCCTCTTTGCATTAGCAAAGTCGTCCGGGTTCACATCTGACGTGGATGGACTGAGACAGTTGCAAAGTTGCAGACAAGCAGCATCATGCCCATCCTCAGCTTGCGAAGCTAAACAGGTGAAGCCAGCCCCCGATTTCTCGTTAGTGACCGGCGTGGCGGATAAACTGAGTCAGCACAAAGGGCAGTCCCCGTCACGGCGTACCAGTTTGGACGGGCCAAACAGCTCGTCTCAAAAGACCACAGGTCAATTGTCAGCCCCCAACTGACATGGGTGCGTGTCTGTGTCATTGGCTGTTGTCAGGGTGCCCTTTTCAGGTTGGCTCAAAGGGAAACAAAAAGGAAGCAAACCAGTTTGAGGCTGCCCCAATTCTGAGACCAACCCACATAGGCAATTGGTAAGTAAAATCCAGTTCCCTTGAGATGGTGAGTGCGCCCCCTTGTCAATGAGGGGCGAATATGGGCTGGGGTCAAATAAAACTACCAATGGAAACTGTAGGCTTTATTCCTTGGTTCTATTTTCCAGGGCAACCCATTTTGGTACCTCTTTTCGACCCACAGCCATGTCATCCAAGTCACTTCTTCTGCAGAATTCCGTGCCACTTCTTGCTACTGCCAGGGCCGGCGGCCATGGTACCTCGGCGCTTCAAACCTCTGGACGTGCACGGATTCAGCCCCGGACGAAACAAAAAAACACGCGGCTTGCGCCGTTTGACATGGGCAAGTTGGATGTTTTCCGGGCTTCTCTGAGGATTTTGCTTTTATTCGATGTTCTCCCCAACAACAAACTGCTCATTTCGTCGGTGACCACTGAAATGAACCAAAGCAACAGTGGTTCAGAAAATGCAGCAACAAAGCTGCAAACACTCCCTTTCACCACTAACCTATGCAGAACCCCGAACCCCAAGACGGCAATACCAAAGCACGAAGGGTGAGGACTGAGTATGGCTTGGGTCCGCGCGGGGCTAACCCGGGAATCCTTGAGGAATCCTCCTGGAAACCCAAGGATTTGCGAGGTCAACATTCTCACCTGCAACCCTGGGATTCAGCTACCACCATTCACGCCAATGGCTGGGTTCATACAACCACCACTCTTTACCCAACATTTGTCATCCTCCAAATTGGGTCAGTGCCATTCTTCTAATGGAAGTGGGATAGGGTGAGAGCCAATTGACTCAAAGATCCATCGAGGTACCCTACCGGAAGTCCTGAGGTGCCTTCAAGCTTGCCTTCCGTTCTCCGTACTGAGGCAGAGAGACCCACAAAAGAATGTGGCATAATGTTACCCCGGATGAATTAAGCCCTGGTTGATTAATAGGGGGGTGTCCCCTTTTGGCGGGGATTCAGAACAGTCTTGGAGGGAACACCCCCCTTAATGATGGGACGACTTGATTCATCCTGGGCCAACATTAAAGGATCGATGCTGAGCTTTCTTTCGCTCGTTGATCGCTTGATCGCTTGCTGCAACTTCAACTTCCAGCGGGATATGTCCCAATCAAATCCCAAACACGCTGAAGACTCTTCAGGTCCAAGGAAGCCGCGTGATACGAACCCGCCAAAAGTGAGCCCCATGTTGTTTCTCCTCAAATCATTGCCTCACTTCCTGTGGCCAAATAAGCTCCAAACTTGTTGCTTGCCACTCAAATGACCCAACCCCCAAAAGTGACGAAAGTCCATGAACTCAGGAAGTGAGTTGTTTTCTGTGCAGACAAACACGCAAACAAACAAACAAACAAACAAACAAACAAACAACCAACCAACCAACCAAACAAAACAAACAAACAAACAAAACCACCCTGGTTACCGCCCTCGCTACCGCCCCTTTTGTGAAACCCGAGGTGCGGCTGGAGCCGCGGCGGTCCGCCACGGCCCGCGTGGCCGCCCCCGCCAAAGAGGAGAAGCTGATGCTGCCAGCCCTATCGACCAAAAAGGCGCGGCTTCGTGTGGAGTGGAGGCCAGCCCAGTGGATCACAGCCCATGGGAAACGGCTTCAGCTTTTAAACCACCCCAAACAGGGTAATCCACCCTCAAAAAACACACACATAAATTATATTACCCTGGGTTCAAGTCAACCTGCCCCAGTGGATCCCGGTGGCCCATATAGGAAGCCAGCTAAGTTCCTTTTTGTTTTTTGAGAGGGTGGCAAGCCTTTGGGTAAATATATGTTAGTAGGGGAACCCTCCCAACCAAAAAAGGGGTCAGAAAGGGCACTACTGGGGGACCTAGGGGAATGAAGCTAAATGGGCGTGGCTCAAACAAAGGAATACTGTAGACTACTTGGGGTTCCCTGGCTCTGAAGCTGTTGGATACATGATACAAGTGTATAGGGGTTAGGATACGCTTCCCCTCCCCCATCCAACCAACATCCCCACACAATCCACACCGGACACTTGGAGGGTGAATGTGTTGAAAACACATGGGATCTAACAACCCCCTCAGATGGGTGAATCTTCATGACTGAATCTCCATAGCGTCGGTACTCAACCACTGAACCACCGAAGGCATCACTTACCGGTACTTCACAAAGCAGACCTGCACCACTGCACCACTAATCCCGACAAGTCAGCGAGTCACGTCCCGCGTCGTCGAGTCGCTCAATTTGACTAAACAAAGCCTGGTCTTGTAAGGGAACCACAAGGACATTGATTAAGCCATTTGATAAAGTCAGAGTGGTCTACACCCTCGCAGCTGAAAGCTCTGTCCACAACACCCTTGCATTCAGAAAGCCGCCACTTACCGATACTTCACAAAGCAGACTTGCACCGAACCACCTTTGAAGCCAACGAGTCACCGAGCCGAGCCCGCGCCCGCGTCTGCCCAGTCGAGAACCCAAAAAACCGCCATCCGCGCCTGTCGCTCATGGAGGCGCGGGCCTTAGAGCCCCGCAGCTTCAGGGAGGAGCTCTTCTTCCGCCCCGTCTCCTCCGCTGAGCGGTCCTGCGATCCCAAAAGGCGGCTTGCCGGGATCGGAGCGATGTCGCCGGCGGGTTTGGGGGGGGGGAAAAATGAACCAAGCACCCGTGAGTCAGCATTTGTGTGGCGTCCCCATTCGCATAAATCCCCGTCTGTTAGGTTTTCCCAGTGGCCGGCCTCCAGTTGCTTCAAGTCCCCAGGCAAAAATACACAAGCAAATATGTCCAGCAGTCCTAGATTCCCTTTAAAAACCAACAGGGGAAAACTATAGATTCAAGGGTTATCGGTTTGGGGCCCAAAAGGAAACAACAAACCGTCCAAGTGCGCTGCTCGCACATTTTCACGCTTGAACAGCCACACTGCGGATGCAATGGATGTAAAACCCCAAACTGACCGATCAAATTCTTCACCCCCCTCTGCGTGTTAAAGGGGCCTTTCACAAAGCAGCCAAACAGTAACACAACAGAGGGAGAGGTCAGGGGAACCATTGACACATGCAAACCATGACAGTTGCGCTTTTAGCGCCACTGCCACGTAGAGTAGTTTCCACTACTGTTGTCCCATCCGCTCCATCCGGACCAGTTCTGCCAGCTGCCTTGGCTCCAATGCTCACCCTCGCGGGCGGCGGGAGCACTTGCATCGGCATAGCGAGCGGCGTTGCGAGCGAGGTGCTTGCTGCTCTCGTTCCTCGAAAACTCGATCGAGTTCTGAGCGTAGCGCTCGTTCTGGCTGAATATCCAGTCCATTTCGTGGCGGAGGTCCTCGAGGGCGTTGCTACGCAAATGGATGATGCCATTCCAACACCCAATGCTGCGAGGCTTGTCCTGCTCGGAGACAACATTCACAAAAGCCCGAGGACTGTATGGCATACCTTGGAACATAATGATCCAGCGGGAACTGAGTGCATCCTGCAATTCACTGGGCAAGAACTCCAACTCCGTCTTCACGTACGCGAGCCTTGCGATTCGCGACTCCGAAGTTGATCCAAGGCCAACTCCCAGAGTGCGCTGGGCTTGCGACTGCTTTGGAGCAGCCAAGACGAGGTTTGCACACAACTCCATGCGGAGCATATCCGCATCCCGACGGCCCACCTCAAGCATACGAACCCTGTATTGAAGGTCGAGTTCATAGCGATCAAGCAGAGAGTGGTAGCCGTTCTTCAGGGCGGACTTGTGCTTCTTCCGGGCCTCCTGAAGTACAGCACTGTCCGGGGAGTTCAAGCCACGAAGGATGCTACTCCGATCCTCCTCGCGGAGGTCAAAAGTTCCCACGGATGCCAAAACCTGAGCTGTGACATGGGTGCTGAGGCCCATCTTCTTCAGCAAATTGGAACGCTGCACAAGGTAATTCTTTTGCTGCTCTTTCAACAGGCGAGGATTGAGGGGTGACAACTGCCCACATGATGAGCAGTGGACCTGCCCCTCGAACACACTGTTGTTGCAAACCGGGCACGTGGCGACATTCAGCTCAACGTTCTCCATTGGGTTGAAAGTCTTCTGTCTCTTCGCTTCCCCTTGCGGGGCGCGAGGAGACGCCACATTGGTGCGGGTTGTAGCAATGCGCTCCAGTGCTGTAGACCGATCATCAACCACGGCTTGGTCGCGCTTCATCCCCTGGGGTTCATCCTCAGTCGCCTCAGCTGGTGCACCTGCATCCGATTGCTCAGAGCGAGTGTACCATACATCGCCATTTGTGGCGTCCAATACAGAAATAATCGTGTAGTTGGGCACCTTGTCGCGCGTGAGGACGCCATCGCTCTCTGTCTTGAAAAAGCAATTAAAGCCCTGCGCGAATGGCCATCCTGAGGTCGATCTGTATTTCCAAGGGCTTGTTAGCACGTACACCTGAGATGTAATTTTCGTTCGTGCTCGGGATGTCAGCGAAGAAAACGTGAGGTCTGCCTGTCTCGTGCTGGTCACCTCCTCCTGGAAGCAGTCCGTTTCGCATAATGTTGGCGAAGTTCCGCTTATCGGTGCGATGATAGAGCACCGTAGGAGGGTTGCTGCAGACGTTCCAGCCAGACCAGCGCCCGAGGTCAGTCCCCGGGTTCACGTACCACTCCTTCGCGATGCCGGAGTCGTCGATTTGGAGCCAGTCCTCGTGGCCTTGAGAGGCCTTGATCTTGAAAATCCAATGAGAACATGGGACGTCTCCGCACCGGCTTGCGTCCGGGCAACCAAGCGCAATGAACCTCTGCTTTTTGTCGAGCTTGAAGATGTCCATGATATTCTGAACATTCCATGGAATGGGATGTCGCAGCTCCTTGCGAAGCGCGAGTCCCAAATCTTCAAGGTCCATGTAGCCGTCCTCATCCATCACGTACCCACATCCTTCTGTCCCACGACCACGGAGGATCTTTGAGATGCACGTCAGGGAGCTGTGGTACTCGTTGCTGATTCTCCTGACGGAAGGGTCGTAATCAAAGGAGGGCTGCTTGATGATTTCGAGTCGCTTGGGGCCCTCACCATAGTCAACATACTTCACGCCATCATGGATGCTATAAACCCAACAATCGTAGTGGCCTCCAGTCACGTTCCTCCCGTAGGAGTCGAGTGGTACCGGCCTGCTCGTCGCCTCGTCCCTCTGTGCCACCGCAGCCGCCTTTGCACCGGCTTGCGCCGGGCGAACACTTTCGGAAACCTCAGCACCGGAAGGCTCACCTGAAGTTGCAAACTCGGCTGGATCGACAGGGGCGAAATCGAGGGGCTGCCGGACCTCCACTTCTTCACGAGTGAAAGGGAGCCCAATCATCTCTGACAATGAAACACCGCACTTCGTTAGCGTTTCCTTGCAGTACGCGAGAACCTCAACGTTGACTGTGCAATCCTCTTGGTGGCGCACCTCGAGCACATCGATCGGACGCATGGTGCAATCATGCGAACGTGTCAGCTCGGCTACGCTGCCCATTGCGGGGCGCAAGATGGAAAGCATATACAACATGTGATGGGTTCCGCGCATAAACTGGACGGTCTTCGTGATATTGTCATCACTGAAGCACATATGATACCTGTCCAGCAAATCGATGGTCTCGACGAAGGGTGTGGCATCCACATACACAAACATATTGTTGGGGTCGCCGATGATGTAATCCCGGACTTCCGTCATGAAACGGTCCCAAATCATAGAGAAGCCGTAGAGATAGCTCTTCGCGCCGGTCATGACTCCAAGGCATGCGCAGCCCTTGCGGGCCGCGAAATCCCTGGTCCAAGCCAGGTGCCGTTTGGAGTCGGCAAGAAGTTGCTCGGCGTCTCCGATGGGGGTGTCGTAAGGATATGTACCAGTGGGCTCGAGGCCGTCCTTCCCAACGAGCTCGTTGCCATTCCAGTAAATCATCGGAATGATGGTGGCTGCTGGGTAGTCGGTACGCACCTCGTCGATGAGGGCGGCCAACCGCTTGCACAGCTGTTGTAAGCCCTTGCCCCAAAGCATTTCAGACCTCCATGCACCGACGCGCGCCGGGCGAGAGGCATCCAAACGCTCCGCAAAGTCGTACTTGCGAAGCTTGCGCTTCTTGCCCGAAACCATGGACAGTCCTGAATCAGCGACAGTCACATAGATAAGGAGGTCGCGGTCTGGTACACGTGGGGCCTGCAAGACTTTCAAGTACGGTTCGCTTATGGTTAACAGGGGTGTAAGCAATTGCAGGTAGTGCGGTTGGTCCTGCACCCATGTATGAATAAGCGACTGTGCAGAGGTCGTCTCGAGGAGGCCCTTGACCGTGGCGGCGAGGTTAGCGTCGTATTTGCCGTTCGTGCATACCGAAGTGGTAGCGACATTCTCCATCCATCTCCTCCATGCCGGATCGCAATCCCTCGCGGGATGCGCCATAGCCGTCGCGCTGCTCATTGCGAAGAAGATGCAGCACAATCACTCGAAAGCAACGGCTGCATGGTGGCATGTTCAGAAAATGCATTGTGAACGGCATCGGTGTAAACAAACGTGTATCCCTCGGCTTCCTTCAAATGCGTGCCACGGCTTTCATCATGCTCGTGAGAACCATCACACTTGAAGTACTCAACCACGGAAATAGTGGGCATATTACTGGCAACGACCCACTGCTTTTTCATAGGTTTTCCATTTCTCCCTTTAATACCGATTTTGCAACCATGGAATTCATACTTGTTCATCTTATACTTAGTCAAGAAACTCCATAGTTCGGGCCATTTCCAATAACGACACGCCTTGGGAAGTTCAAAAGCAACTCTAACGTCATCAGAATAGACATCATTAAGAATGCGTTTGAACCCTCTCAACAGTGATCGGAATTGCTTGATGTGACCCTCAATTTTGGCAGCACCTTTGGGAGTTTGCTGGTTGACATAACCCCACGGGCATCCTCCAGTGCAAGGCAACGAAACGTAGAACATTATTGCACCTTTAGGATTCTTGCTCCTAAACTCGGCAATTTCATGAACTAGCCACTGCCTGCATGTATCAGAGCACCCGTCTTCGGTTTCAGTTACCCGAATGACACGACATCCTTTTGAGGAGTCTCTTGATTCGCCCAACCGTGAGGTCGTCGAACAACAGAATTCAATAAGGAGGCGCTTGGGCTGAGCGTTGCATAGCGCGGCGATCTGCCCCCCCTGATCACTAACTTCTCCGGCCTTCGTGCACGGGGAGAGCAGCAAACTGGTGGCACAGGCTCGCGCCTGGCGATTGGGGGAGATACCGATCAGCTCAAGTGCATGGTGCCACACTGGGGTGCTGTCAAACGCCTTGGTCAAGATGTCTGCAGCTTGGAGGGTAGTGTCAACATTGATTAATTCGAACTGCCTATTCACGAATTGCTCCTGGAGCCATCTGAAGCTAATGCGTTGGGTCCTATCCGTGTGCCTTAGCTTCTGTGAGTGTCCCTGCTGCAGGATAGTGATCGTGGCCTGATTGTCTTCCATCAGCTTAACTTTCCACTTATCACTGAGATGCACAGTTAGGGCATTGATGTTCGCTACACTTGTGCCCGCATCAACATTTCCGTACCGAATTTCATCCAACTCGGGGTCGATGCGAGCAACAATGCCATC